ATTTTTGTCTCCATAGCTGACTTCCGTGTGTAGTTAATTTTCATACGAGGCTGTTTAAAACCATCTGATTAGTCACATTTCAATGAGGCATCAAATTTCCAGGGAGCGCAGAGTCACGTCTTCAGAAGCCTGGCTTCACCTGGTCTGAAGGCCTGTTAGTGTCAACACTGAACGGACGGAAGCCCCATTCCTCAGGGAGGCTAAGACTCACATCACCTCTCCCGAGGGAGACACAGCTGTGGGATTGCTCTCAGAGCCAGCTTAAGGAACGTCTGCTGTTGGAACATTCCTTTAATTCACCAAATAAAAATCTGCCCACAGGAGAAGCGAACTGAGTGAAATCTACCTAAACAAGGTCACGGACAGAGCAGAGGCTACACAAATTCTCAGTCTCTTCAGTTTTCCAGTTTATTTTCCCAACAAATCATACAAGGGTTAAATGAATAATGCAGAGAGCTGTTTCAGACTTGACGTCTGTGAAATGTCCACTGGTTCAAACCCTGCTCCCCCTCTAGTGACCGAGCGAGGACTGCAGCCCTCCCGGCGCTGGCAACAGACTTAGCACAACCACAGGCTCGTCCTCCCTGCGATCCCAGCATGCATTTCACGGCCCGGGTGTGGGCTGTGTCTCTGACCAAACAAACCGGCTCGCACAGAAGTGAACCTGGAACCACAGTCTTATTTATGCTCTGAAGTGAAAAGCCAGGGCTTTAAAAAATTTTAGTAAAATTCAAAGAATTTAAACATGATAAAATCAAGATAACTCTTTTTTATCTTAAACCTGCAGTTCCCAAGGAAAGATTTTATTTCTGATAAGTGAAATCTCATTATCAGACCACTCTTGGGATAGTTAGATTGTAAGTTCCTTTACAGCAACTTATTATACTTAATTGGTGCTCACTAAACCCATTTTCATTGCTAGCATAAGACCTACTATTTACAGTTTATCACACCAACTTTTTATTCATTACCTCTCAAATGACTTTATGAAATTTAGAACTTTAAGGTCCTAAAGAAAAGCAATCGCTTTTAAAAAATGCCCATTTTTAGTTCTTCATGTTCCCTGTAATTGGCACAAAGCCACACTTTTCACAGGTTTGCTGCATTAAGTTCATGTCAGCAAAAACTTTTGAGGGCATACCCTATGTGTAGCATACTACTAGTGCCACAGGGGATTAATAAAAGTCTTTTTTTCCTCAAGAAATTTATGTGTGAAAACTCAAACCTGGTGTGTAAAAGTTAAAAAATAATATAAACGCAGTATATAATCCTACATACTTTTATAAAGTTTTAGCAGTGCTAAAATGAGTTACATATATTAAATGCCAAACTAATGAGATATTTTATAAATCTGATAAATTTATTTATAAAATTCATAAATGCATTAGAGATTATGCCTTTCTGTGAATTTCTGCTGCTTATATAATTATTAGTCCTTTAAGAATATCTACTCTCTGATGTTAACAGAAATGAAACTAATTTCTTCCATGATGCATAGAATTGTATAATATTGTCACAAAGAATCCCAACATACTTCCTTCTAACAACTTTCTACATGCCAACTCATATTTCCATTTTCCCTCTACCCATCTTCCTATTTCTGATTTATGGCTGTCCTGTCTCCACTTAACAGAAGAAATTTCTTGTCTTTTTTTTTTGGTGGAGTACACATCAGTGGTTTTGATATAATTAAAAATATCCAGGGATCAGCCCCGTAGCATAGTGGTGGCCAGACTGTTTGGCGTGTCTTGTATAAACGAGAAAAGAGGTTTAAACGAAATTTAAAAATTCTCATATTTTTTTCTCATAAAACAACTTAAACTGTCTAATCTATCCTGCATGATACATATAAAAATATCAAGCACAAAGGAATGAGTGTTTTAAAATCTTCAGAACTGCCTTATGAATAACTATATATACGGTAGTAATATAGTATAGTTACTTATAATTGACTGTGTACTACACATGTACCACTGATCCAGATTTTTGTTGAACACACAAAAGAACTAAATTAATTCTACATATTGTTTCATATCATTCATTCACAAGGTTCCATTTGCATATTTTTTTTTTAAAGATTGGCACCTGAGCTAACATCTGTCACCAATCTTCTTTTTCTCTTTTTTTTCTCCTCCTCCCCAAATCCCCCCAGTACATAGTTGTATATTCTAGTTGCAGGTCCTTCTGGTTGTGTAATGTGGGATGCCACCTTGGCACGGCTTGATGAGTGGTGCCATGTCCGCGCCCAGGATCCAAACCCGCGAAACCCTGGGCCACCAAAGCGGAGCACGCAAACTTCAACCACTCGGCCACAGGGCCGGTCCCATCCATTTGCGTACTCTTTAAGAACAAAAAATCAAAGGAAACTTCAAAAGGTTATTAACAAATAGACAAACTCATAAAAGCATTTTCAGTAAATACAGCAACATGTGAAGCAATACACGCATTATAATTCATATTGTTTGATTCAAAGATGAAATAACTAGACCTACTTTTTTAAGAGGATTTTCCTGGATTTTTGTTATAAACACTGTGAAGCAAAGTGTGTTTTTATAGGTATTGAGTTCATGCACAATATGTTTCTGGGATTGCAGCCCAATAGAAAAACACTGCTATTCACTGGGGAACAATATTTAATGGCAAGAAGAAGGAAAAACAGAGGATGGAGAGAACGAGGAAGGAAAGAAGAATAAATAAAAGGATGATGGACAAACGTAAAAGGTCTATAAGAAATAGAAAAAACATATTTGGGACAAAAATATTAACATAGTTTATGATATTTATAGTAAAAACTTACTTGATTTGCTGAAAAAAGTAATCCTCTCAAACTAACGTAGTCACCATCACACGTTAAGTATATTAAACGACATGTAGAAAAGGCTACAAGTCTTATTTTGCTACATTTGAAAAGTGATTTATTTTTCCCCTAATCTGACAGCAGTCTAAAGTGGCTGTGCCTATTAAAATGTCTTATTTAGGGAAATTCACTGCAGAATTCAAACACTCTAATTCTACCTCAATAATCTCTTAATGTGATGGTCTTAATTCCAGATCTTTAAGAAAAGAACTCAGGGGCCGGCCCGGTGGCGCAGCGGTTAACTAAGTTCGCACTTTCCACTTCTTGGCAGCCCGGGGTTCGCTGGTTTGGATCCCGGGTGTGGACATGGCACCGTTTGGCACGCCATACTGTGGTAGGTGTCCCACATATAAAGTAGAGGAAGATGGGCATGGATGTTAGCTCAGGGCCAGTCTTCCTCAGCAAAAAGAGGAGGATTGGCAGTAGTTAGCTCAGGGCTAATCTTCCTCAAAAAAAAAGAACTATTTGTTCTGAAAAGTTCAGGCATACATATACCAGAAAGCAGTGGCTCAATCAAATAAACTCTACAATTTGATATAAATACAGCTACAAAGCAATGATACCACCAAAGAAAGAACCGAGTGTGAAATACGAACCAAGCAGTTGGGTTTCAGAGACTCTACATTCTGGATATCTTAAAGAATCCCAGTAACATTAAATTCCTTGGATCCTCATTTAAAGTGAGAAACCTGCTTCTGAGCCACGCGCACAAGTACCTCAGCCTCTCCCTGCCTGCACGCCTGCCCACAATCAGAGGGCGGGGTATTCGGTTAGGCACATGTTTATGAATAAAGACAGGAAAATCCCAATTTTAAAGCCAAATATTTTCCCTGTTTAATTCTGGTATCTTATTGGTCCATATGCTGCCTCCTCCTCACAGTATGCTACCAAAAATCTCCTAGATTTTGACTTTCTCTTAAAGCATAAAGATAACGTTAAGCAGACAGAACTGAGGCGCGGAAATACTGCAGGAGAAGGAAGAGCGACTCTGGTGGTGATCTAAACACACGCTGACTGGCTGGCGGAAGACACTGGCTGCTCCATATGCTTCCTGAACGCTGCTTTGTGACATCTGTTGTGATAAATCCATCTCCTTCTCTAATTGAAGAATCCTTGGGAGTTAACCAAAGCCAGTTGAGTACAATTTAATAGAAAACATCTGGCAGACTCACCAACTGTGCCTGCCTCACACCACTGCAGCAGGAGAAAAAGCAGCGGTCACAGGGCTGTCTTGCACACGTCGCTGGGTTATATGGATCTGGCCTTGCCGAGGCCAGCCCTACTCCTAGATTTTCCACAGAGCCCAGACATTCCTTTTTCCTTTTTGGCTTAAGCTAGCTGAATTTCAATTTGGAACCAAAAGAATACTAGTATAGAGTGCCTGTCCAGTGCAAAAGAAAATCCTGTTTCTGACTCCATACATTCATATATAAATATCAGATTCCCACCAATATTCTACTATAGTAACTGACAACGTGGCTGTGACTATCAGGAAAAGAAACAACAAATTTGAGAAATAACCTCAATCACTCTTAGAGATTCATAATACGAATTATAAAGACTCTGAGAAGTTATCCAGTAAAGATATCTCTAACTCAGGGGCCTGGCCCCGTGGCCGAGCGGTTGAGCTCACGCGCTCTGCTTTGGTGGCCCAGGGTTTCGCCGGTTCGGATCCTGGGCGCAGACATAGCACTGCTCACCAGGCCACACTGAGGCAGAGCCCCACATACCACAACTAGAAGGACCTGCAGCTAGAATATACAGCTATGTACTGGGTGGCTAGGGGAGAAGAAGAAAAAAGAAAAAAAGAAAAAGATCGGCAACAGATGTTAGCTCAGGTGCCAATCTTTAAAAAAAAAAAAAGGAAATCTCTAACTCAGTTGAACTCATATTTACAATCACATTTGAGTGTAGAATCCTTTTTTTTATGAAGTTCTTATGCCTTTTAGAACTACTATTTGGTCGAGCACAGGTCGAGCAATGCTATTTGGAACCATGGTTGCGATCCTTTAGACCCAGCATCTGAAGAAAAATTGAAACGAATTTCTAACTACTTTCTAACGTATTTAAAGTGCACCAGGAGGTCACAGAGCTCAAATCTGAACGTAAAAGCAGTTCGTCTGCTGGACTGGAACTAACTTACCTGCATTGAAATAAGAATGAAATCAATTAGGCTCCCGATTCCACAAAAGCCCACAGTGCAAAACTTCAACAAACCTAGAAAAGAAGGCACGGGCATTTACAACCTGGAAAGTCTTATAAATATTACAAACTGTGCCATTTCCCAACAAACCCTCATACATGCTACAAACTCTTTATATCAAGAATATAAAATTAACACTTTAAAAAATCAAATCTCCACCTGAAAGTAGGAGAAAAGTTTACAGGACTCTCTATACAGAAAAGTTACCAAAAATTTATTAATTCACTTAATAAATAAATATTAGGAACTGAAATAAAAATTCGATGTATTCTTACAAAATTTCTTAAGAAGAAAGGGCTCAAGAAATAAATCTTTAAATCTCAGTACACCAGAGTTACAGAACATCTTTCAGTCCTAAAATCCTTATTGATTTACTTACACTTATTACATTATGTGGTCCAAATTTTAATATACATTTACAGTAGAGAGTTCAAATAAACAAAGACGGTCAAGGCACAGAAAAAAAAAAATCAGGCAAAAACATTGATCTTGTAGTTAAATTGCAAACTTCATTAGTAACCCAATAATCTTGAATTTATCCTATACTTTTTTTTCTAAAAATCTCCTATTTATCAGCTCTACAGTCAGCATCAACGATTCTGTGCACTATATACCCCCCTGTCCTTGGTCCCAACCTTAGAGCTAAGGTACTATAACAGAGCACAGAATCTGGGACACACGCGAGGATGTAACACAAAGGCACGATGATGAAACCAGGAGAGGTGGGTTGGGGGTGAGTAATCTCTCTTCTATGTTTAAATCCCACCTGAGATATAAAAATGGCATGAAACAAGACTCTTTGTGAAAAGTTAGTTCTAACTATCAACTACAAATAGATGCCAGCTACAGTTGCAAGAGGGGACAAGGTCACCTCCTGCACACAATTTGGAAATACACAAATAAGACCAAAATATGTGGTATATTAGATGATTTTTTTTTTAAGCACTAAGAAGTATTAGACATCTAGCAAAACAATGTAGTAAGTGCTGGGATAAAACATGTTGGAAATAATTTAAAAACTACCAAAATATAGAGATTACTTAAAATTTTGCTTTTGGTTTTCTTCAAGACACTTATTACCACCCTAATATTTTAGTTTTGTTTACTATCTGCATCCTGGAAGCCCCATTAGGGGAGGGTTTTTATCTGTGTTGTTTACTTTTGTGACCTTAATGCCCACAAGATTGCCTGGCACACGGTAGATGCTCAGTATGTGTTGAATATATGGATAAACTTTCTCAGCTTTTCTGTTTCCCAAAGACCCCTAACTTTTTACCCATTATCTTATAACAGCTCCTTGAATTATTTTTTTCATTAGTTGCATTTTACTATAGTTGCCCAAGGAACCTTATCCATTCACGTGGTGTATTACATCCATTCACTCACTCACTGCATTTATGAAATGCATCCCTCTTCACATAGCAATTTAGTGTAAATTTGTAAATATCACAGTTTCCCGTCTTCAATTTGTTTACAAAAATTATATTAAGGGGCCTGCACCATGGCCTAGTGGTTAAGTTTGGTGTGCTCCGCTTCAGAGGCCCAGGTTCAGTTCCTGGGCTCGGGCCTACACCAGTGGTCAGCCATGCTGTGGTGGCAACCCACATACAAGACAGAGGAAGACTGGCACAGATGTTAGCTCAGGGCTAATCTTTCCTAGCAAAAAAAAAAAAAGAAAGAAAGAATATTAAGAATGGTCCAGCAAGTTTGTCTTTAATTAACCGCTACTCTACAAAGAAAATGTACCCATGTTAGAGCCTTGGCCCTCGTCATGCCTTCTTCCAACAACATTGTCTTTCTCAGGCCACTTCTTCTGAGAAGTCTTCCTAACCTGCCTGTCCAAAGCAGCATGCAGCCCCCACAGCCCAAGTGCTCCACCACGTCTTCCCTATGCATTTCCTTTATGGTTCTGGTCAGAAACCTGCCACAGCCTGATCCGTCGGTCTGCTCATTCACTCTCTGTCTTCCTCTGCCATGTAAATTCCTAAAGGCAGGGTCCTTATCTGTCTTGTTCAAGTCAGAATAGTACCTGACAGACAATTTGAGTTTGATAAATATTTGTCGCACGACCATCAAAAAACTAGAAACAATCTAAATGTCTAACAGGGAGAAACTGCCTCAAAAAATTAAGACGCTTCTAACAGTAAAATAGAATACTACGTAGCTGTCTAAAACAATGATATGGAAGTGTATTTACTGGCAAAGTAATGTGATAACACTCAAAACAGAGAAAGATAATGAGGACATTGAAATCTGGATATTCTCCTGACGAACCCCTTCTTCCAGTGCTTCAGAAAAACGAACAGGAGAGGGCCCACTCAGATAAAATGTTAGATGAGGGAATGATAGGTGTGTCTGGAACACTGGCAAGTGTCATCTACTCCCGGAGGAACGCACTGAAAGAAACCATAGAGCAGATCCACGATGCTGTTTCAGCACTTAAGGAATCTGCCAACCAATCCACAGCAACAGACAGCGAGGACTGCCACCCAGGGAAGAGCAGGACAAGAGGGCCGTGAGGCAGGCATCACCAAGGGGCCCGAGGACACTTTTGGGGGTGACAGACATGGTCATGATCTGGACTGTGGTGATTGCTTCACAGGTGTGTAGACATATGTCTACCTTAACAAACTGGACATTTTAAATACGTGCACTTTAATGTACGTCATTATACCTTAATAAAGCAGTTTTTAAAAATTAAGGAACTAAACTGACTGTTTAAAAAAATAAACTTGAAAGTTTAAAATCATTACAGTGATTTACCCCCATCTCACTCCCAACCTGTGATATTAACGATGGTCCATCTATTTCTACAAATTTCAGACAAAAGGATGACTGTGCTAATAATGAAGGTGCTGATAATGCTATCTTAAACTTGTTTTAGCTTTTCAAATATAAAAATACCTTCTGGAGATAAGACAAGAAGGATGCTAAAGATAAAAGAGATAACGAGACAAGGTACAAGCTTAGAGCAGTACACGGACACGGCAAGCATCTGAGAAATGCTAGCCCCGCTGCTCCTTGTGCTACCACTATTTCTGTATCTACCACTATTATTATTATAACTGAGAAACTGAGACAGCATGAACCCACATTCTTTATAGTAGCATCATCCAACCTGGTCTCATCTCCTGCAAATTCCTTCTTCCTGTGTCACAGCCAAACTGCCCAAGTTCTCCCTGTGCAGGCACGAGTCTCTCCCCGTCGATCCCTGCATCTCTAGGTGCCACCTTGGGCTCTGCCTTGCCACCTCTGTTCCCAATCATCTAGGTAACCCCGGTCAGCCTTTTAAAACTTCCGGAAGGTCTTCTCTAATGCCCTCAGGATCAATTTAATGCTGTTCCTAGATGCTCCCTGGCACACTGCCCTTAACTCTCAGCATAGCACATATCCCAGGGTACAATTTATTACCTATCTGTCCCCTGTCCTTCTGTGAGCAACCTGAAGTCAAGGCTGCGTCAGTCCCACGCCGAGTCAATGTGACTACTGAAGGAACAAACTATGCAATAATAAATTATCTTATTTGTAGACAAACACTGATCAACTTGAACACCACAAAGTAGCAGACATTCTAAACAACATTTACTAAAACCAATACAAACCATTACTCTTATAGATTTCATTATTTTGAGCATCAGCAAGTCCAATTTTTTAAAAGATGCAGTATTTGTAAAGTACCAAAAGTAGACTGACTTTTTTTTTTCCAATTAAAAAAATGTTAGATCTTTTTGTACAGATCCTATTTACTAATTTCTTACTGAGAAAAGGAATATCAGCTTTAGATTTTAAAAATTGTGGGGTTTTTGGTGAGAAAAATTCACCCTGAGCTAACATCTGTGCCAATCTTCCTTTCTATGTTTTGTATGTGGGATGCTGCCACAGCATGACCTGACCAGTGGTGTTCAGATCCGTGCCTGGGATCTGAACCCATGAACCCTGGGCCATCAAAACGGAGAGCTCAAACCCAACCACCACACCACTGGGCCAGCCCCTTAAAAATTGTTTAAAATTCCAAATAAAAGTGTTTGTAATCAAGAAGGATCCATTTTTATCCTGACCCATTACTACTACAGATTTCTTCTTTCAAAAAGATCATGCTGCCGGGTGACATTAATGAGGGCCATGTTTTGAGTGTACTTTATACTCCAGTAATTTAAACATTAAATTGTAAAAACACAAATTCAATAAAAAGGCCTTTGGGTATAAAATAAAAAGAACAAAGATTAACTTTTGGTATTTTTTGTTTTATTACAGGTTGAGTTCTGTCAATACTCGCCTGTCTGCCTAACTGCTTTAGAGCTCACAGGAGACCTCACAGTGAATGGCTGTCTGCCACACCAAGCGCTCTACAACAATCCAGTAACTAGTTATCACTAACGGAGAGCTTTCAAAGCTTAAAAAAGCTTACTCCACAAATCCCTTTATTTGTCTTATGACCTGTGGACATTATGTACCAGAACAAATTGGTAACTTCAAACTTAAAAAAAAAAGGAATAATATAATTAATGATTTTAAAGATTTGGGTTTAAAAACATACAACACTTTATTATTCTCATAATAAGAAAGTATTTACCTTTTAAAAGGAATATCACTATGAAAAGAGTATCTCTACTGCTAACTGCTCCAAAAGAGCTATTATCTTTGAGGATTCATCATCTTTTAATGCTACAGATGGGCAAAACAAAATATGCTAGTTATTGCATGCTAAAAAAAATCACAGATGTTAACACAGTTAAACACACAAAGACAGAATATTATTAGAAAAATAAGGCTCTGTGGTGAGAAAATGCTTCCAGCTAAAGCAGCACTGGTATATCGAGGAACAAATCAATCAAAGGAAGTAAAGGCATACAGGGTCACAGTTGTGGGCTAAAAAGGAATTTGCTAGAAAGAACATTTTTCTTAAAGGAATTTTTAGATCTTATCAAATTTTATTCACTCTCACCCCTCAAGAAATTTCCCTTGTTTAAACCTGAAGTAAAATTTATATAACGAAGTATCACTTTCAAAACTAAAGTACTTAAAAAGAACAAGTTTCATATCTTCATGGTTTACATTATTTATTCTGTTCTTATAAAACTCCAATGATCATAAACAGTATTAAGGAGGTATTTTAAAAAGCTATGTATAAATACCCCCACTGCTATAGAATTTTAGACTCTATCTATAACTATTCTCACACCAGTCAACATTGTACTATCCAGTTAAGAATTTTTTTAAGTGGTAGTAATCATTTCGGTTGAAAATACCAAAACTTCATCTTGGATTCTTAGTAAAAAAAAAAAAAAAGTAATTAAAAACATTTAAATTTCTAAAATTTACATTGTTAATTTTATATATTAGATTAAATTAGTTGATAAAACATCAAAATCCTTAACATTAAGAAACCTTAAATGCAAGTAAGATATGGACAAAAATATTTGAATGCTTAAAGAGGTAAGAGGATTTTCAGGTAAAGATAATGAATGTGACATGCCCGCTTAGCTCCTCCTACTCCAAGACCCCACTAAAAGATGGTAAGGGGTTTTCAAGTCACAAACTCAACAGAATCAAGAGACTGGAAGAGAAGACAACAGCAACAAAAATTCAGAAGCTGCAAAGCAGATAAATAAGAGGTGACAGACTTAATAATCTTGAGAAAGTTGTATCCTAATGCAACAGTCAAAATATCTGTTGAATTAATGAACATCCAAAGGTGGCTGTAATAATAAAGTACGTTACTTAAAGATTAGACACTGGAGCGTAAGTCAAACGTCAGCATTACATGTGCAAGTTTACGGAACCTCAGCCTCAAAGGAAAGGCTCTCTGGCTGAAGCTAAGGACAGATGGGAGCAGCAGTGGCTGGAGAAAGGCCTCTCCTGGCAGGAAATGCACTCACGAACCACAGCCACCACACAGAGGTCTACACAAAGCTTTACTGCCTATAGCTTTATTCTGCATGAAAAAAATTCACAATATACATCCCAACATATTATTATGTGCTTCAGCAAGTCAAATGCATTGCTTACGCCCTACGATATGAGAGCCCATCCAACACACATCACCAGAAGCAAAAAAGTCACTCATTAAGCCAAATATCTAAAATATACTTATTATTCAAAATCATCATAGAAGAAACTGTTCTAACAAAAACTGTTTCTCCTTCCCTCCTAACCTTTTAAAAACTTTTTAAAAGTTAGAAATCTTTGCAAAAAATGCATATGATCCTGTCCTCTTAAAGAGAACAGAGAAGAAATGCAGGACTAAGGCAGAAGGCCGTGGATGGAGTCTAACCATCAGCAAGTCACTTTACTCTCTCACCATGAACCTAGTCGCTCCCTCCCTTCGAAAAGAGAGTTCAACTAAATGATTTTTATTTTGGCAACCCAGAGGCCTTCTGTGTACAGTATGTGGTTTTCAGCCGCATTTCGGAAAGGCACAGTTGCCCCAACAACTGGCACCAAAGTGCAGCTGCACAAGACTCGGGCCAGGACCACTGCACCCATCTCCCCGCAGCCCACTCTGCCACCAGCCTGTCTCTGCTCTGAGCCATTTCCCACAACTCCTCCAGTGCCAACTTCCCGAAACGTAAATCTGCTTAAAAACTTTTATGGGTTCTGATGTCTGAAGGGTAAAGTCCAAACTCCACAAGACGTCAAAGCCTTTGACAGTCTGACCACAGGCTGGCTCTGCAGGCACTTTCCATCTCCTACCATTGTCTTCCCTACACCACACGCTAAATTACCCACCATCCTCTCAACACACACACTTGCTCTTCCACACCCTGTGCCTTTGCACACGCTGTTCCCTGTAACACCCTAAATCTCTGTAACCTGTTCACCCTTCAAAACCTGGTTCAAATGTGACCTCATCTAAGAAGGTCTCCCTCACACCCAAGGCCGACTACCTCAGCCCCTCATAGTGGGACTGCGTCAGAGCTCTCATAGAACTGTCACGGTTCTGTAAGGGCACTGTGTCATAAGTGGCATACCAACATATTTGTGTTGGATTTATTTTCTTTTTAACCAACATGAACTGTGATCTTCAACACTATTTCCAGAGCACTTAGTTACTACTTAACAGGTAGTAGAAACGTTGAATAAACGTTTGTTAACTGAATCAATTTGTGTATATAATTTTAAACTTTGACTTGTCTTTATGGCCTTATGACACTGAGTACAGGTAAGGCTGTCGGAAACATACTTCCCACCAGCCCACAGTACAGACTCCTCCGTGATCTCTGGTGGGTAGCAACATGGAAAGAACAAGATTAGCTTTGCTGGCTGGAGAGCAGAGCATTCAGAAGCTTTAAACTTGCTCAGTGAAGGGCTAATCGACAAGCAGACTACCACAGTGAATAAAGCATGATCTCCTGAGCAAGAAAATTAGGGTTCAAATTCAGATCACTAGTGGAGCGTCCTTGGGTAAATCTCTTAATCGTGTGATAATTTCTCTACCCATAAAACCAGGATGATAACAACAAGTTTGCCACAGAACAAAGCAAGGCCTCCGAGTCAGTAAATGCCTTAACCCCTCTGGTGACAATTCCCCTACCAGCTAAGGGAGATTTAAAGAGGATGATAAACTCAAAGCTCAAACAAGGACAGGCAAGTGAAGGTCTTGTTTACACAGAAGCTATCGTCTGACGTCAACAGTGCCCATCAGCACTAGCAGCTGCGGCAGACGTGCAGACGGCAGCTAGCTGGAGGGAGGGTGGGAAGCTCCGGTAATGGAGGTCGGGCTCCACACCGGCTCACACTGCTGCCCGTAGCTCCAACCCCAACTTCAGAAAGAAGTAGTTTCCACGCCACGGCAACACTGACAGAGGCTCAGGTGGAAGGCAAATACTTTTTGGAGGGATAGGAAGAGAAATGCATCTATTTGTCAAACATTTATTGTACGTTCACTGTGTGCCCAGCACCAGCAAGGACAGCTCAGGTCTGCTCTAAGTCAGTGCCTACACCATCTTGAGTGTTTTCATAGAGATGAAAATACAGGAAAAGTCAGTATTTCTTACCTCAGCTGAACTGTAGAGCCAACTGCTGGCTCTATACTCGAGAAGAACGCTATTTGACTCCAGTTACAGATAACTTGTCGCTGCTAACAGTGTGCAGAGATTTAATCCGTAAGAACAGGTACTTTACCCACAATACCACTTTCACGAGGATTTTTCTTAACGAAATGTACTCACCCAAAGCAGGGTATCCAAGGTAAAAGCGATCTGCTCCCAACCATCCAAGAAAGAGAGACAGTGCAACCGCCACCTTGTATGAATAGCCATTTCTGCACGAAATTAGAACCTGAGTGTCACATGCATGTATTTCCAACATTTAAACACTTCAGGAAACAAAACTGTTAATTATCATTTATTTGTCAATTGGTTTATTCATCCACTCATTCATTCATTCGATTAATGTTTTTGGGGTGGCTACACATGCCAGGCACTATTCTAGGCCACTGGGATATATTAATGAATGTGGCCTTGAAGAGCTTATGATCTAGAGGCAGCAAGCAATAATCATAGACCTATTTAAAAGGTAAATCACACATTATGCCAGAAAGTCAGAAAAGCTGTGAAAAAATGAAGTGGAGGAGGGGATGTAGAGAATCCAGCATGCTGGGGGTACAGACACGGTCCACTGAAACAGGGCGATCAGAGTGGCCTCATGGAGAAGGTGACATTTGAGCAAAGACCTGAGGGAGGGAGCCATTCCACACCTCCAAGGGAAGAGCATCCCAGGCAAAGGGACTGCTACTCAGGGGCAGCACGCCTGACACTGTGAGGTCTGTTAAGGAGCCTGGTGTGGCGGGAGTGGAGGGAGAGGAGGAGGAAGAGTAGGAGACGAGGTCAGACAGGTAACAGGGCAGAGGGCAGAGCACGCGGGGGCCTTGGACTCTGGCTTTCACTCTTAGATACGGGGAGCTACTGCAGGACTTAAGTAGAGGTGTCATATGGTCCGCTTTAGACTTTAAAACCATCATTCCAGCTGCTGTGCTGAAAACAGACTGCAGAGGAGTACTGGTGAGATATTGTCACAGTGATGTTGTACAACACGCCACCCAGAGCTCAGTGGCTTACAACAATAAGCAATTATTCTCACACCTGCAGACTGCGATTGCTGTGGGTCAGCTGCTCTATGGGTTCAGCCGGTGATGCTGTTTCAGGCGGAAGTTTAGCTGAGTTCGAATCCAGGCTGTGGATTCAGTTCAAATCAGTTCCACTGAAGTTTTTCTGGGGCCCAGGCTGAAGGTGCAGCAGCTACTTGGGGCAAGTCCTTTTCAGGACATATCAGCGAAGCACAAGAGGAAAGCTAAGCCCTACAAGCGCACGAGTCTCTGCTTGTTTCACACCTGCGAACACTGCACAGGCCAAAGCAAACCACGTGGTCAAGCCCAAAACCAATGGAGTCGGAAGGATACACTGCCCTGTTAACAGGGACTGAGAGGGATAAATTGGCTGAATAAATTCCAACTATCACAGGGTCAAAAGAGTCTGAAGGCTACTTCAGTAACCCAGGTGAAAACTAATAGCGGCTTCACCTGGAGTAACAGCAAAGGAAACAGTGAGAAGTGATCAGATTCTGGATATATTCTGAAGTACAGCCAACTGGATTTCCGGATGTATTAGACTTAGGGTATGAAAAAAATAAAGAAGCAAGGATAATGCTAAAGATCTCATCCTAAGTTACTAGAGGGATAAACTAGCATTAACTCAGGCGGGGAAGACTGAGGATGGACCAGACCCGGGAAGGATGATCAGGATTTCAGTTTTGGATATGTGAGTTTGAGAGGTTTATCAGACATCCAAGTGGAGTTGTCCAACACAGCCAGATTTACAAGCTTGGAGTTAAGAAGAGAGTCTGGGCTGGAGATATAAATTAGGGCATTAGAAGCGTACAGGAAGCACTCAAAGCCATGAGATTTCCAGGTGAGTGTAGACAGATAAAAGAAGAGATTCGCAGACTGAGCCCTGCGATACTCTAATATGAAGAGATCAAGAAGAGAAGAACCAGAAAGGAAACCAAGAAGGAGCTAACAGAGAGAAGTAGTAAAACCAGAAGAATACGGTATCTTGGAAGTCAAGTGAAGACAGTGTGTTAAGGCGAACAGAGTGATCAGCTGTGTCAATGTAACTGACAGGTCACATAAGATAATGGCTGAGAATTTACCAATAAATTTAACCAAGAGGAGATCATTAGTGACCTCAGCAAGGGCAATTCTGGTGACATGGTGAGAGCAAAAGACAGAACAGAGCCAGCTTAACAAAGGTTAGAAGGAAAAACTTGAAGAAAGGAAGTATTAGACAATTCTTTTGAGCAAAGGGGAGTAAAGAAATAGTGAGGTAGCTGGAGTTATTTTTAAAGTCAGATCTGATCCTATCAGTCTCCTGCTTAAAATCCTATGTTTTTTGCACTGTACTCACAATTAGGACATTTTCAGGGAGTTGGGGGAGGTGGTAAACAGCCCAGAGATTCTGTTTACGCATCCAGTATACAGGGATGTCAGACGTTACGTGGAGGGCAGTGGTGCCCCATCCACCTTGGAATGCGGCACCAGAATGAAAGTAGAGAAACAAATGAGGAAGCTTTGCAGAAACTCAAGCTATAACCTACTGGGCAGTAGCAGTGGGAGGGAGAAGTGAACAAAACTGGGAAATATTAAGAAGGCAGAAGCAACCAGAATACATGTGGGGAATGAGGGAAAAGGAGAAGCCAAGAATAACTCCAAAGTCTCTGCTTAAGAAACTGGGCAGGGGCTAGCCCAGTGGCCAAGTGGCAAAATTCGTGCACTCCGCTTCAGCAGCCCAGGGTTTTGCCAGTTTGGATCCTGGGCACAGACATGGCACCGCTCATCAGGCCATGCTGGGGTGGCACCCCACACAGCACAGCCAGAGGGACCTACGACTAGGATGTACAACTACGTACTGGGGGGCTTTGGGGAGAAGAAGAACAACAAAAAAAGAAGACTGGGCACAATGTTAGCTCAGGTGCCAGTCTTTTTAAAAAAAAAGAAAAAAGAAAAAGAAACTGGGCAGAACAGGTGCCATTCACTAAGACAAGGGAGGAAAGGATCTGAAGGAAGAGATGACAGATTCAGTTTGGGGCCTTAATATACATAAAGATAGTGAGAGAAGCCAAAGGAGTGGATGAATGAAAAGAGAAAAGGACCACGGAAACAACCTTGGGGATATCAGGATTTAAGGAAGAAGGAAGAGGAATCAAAGGAAATGGAAGAGTGTTTTATACTAGAAGTCAAGGAAAGAAAGTATCTTCAGAGAAGCAAATGCCAAATGCTGTAGAAAGATTAGGATATGGACTATAAATATCCATTCAACACAGCAACAAAGATGGCTGGTGAATTTCAGCATGCTCAAAAGCCATACTGCATTAGACAGAAAACTCCACAAACGTAAGTACTATAGAAATAAGTCTTTCCAAAAGCTTAGCTGGGAAGGAGAATGAAATTAGGTAAGCAATTACCTAAATAAATAAACTGCCCTAAAGAATAATCAGAAAACCGGGGGTGCCAGAGACTGTCTAGTTGTTCACCAAACCATATTTTTCTCATGGACATACAGCTAAACTACAGATTCTAGCCCACCCTGTAGTTAAGTGCAGCTATAACTGAGTTTTGGCCAACGAAATGGGACAGAAGTGACGTATGTCATTTCTAGGTCCGGCCCATCAAATAGTCCTACAGGGGGTTCCCTCCCTCCTTCCCATCTGCTGGCTGAATGGAAAGGACTCTAAGGACTGGAGGAAGCAAAGGCACAAGACGAAAGGAGCAGGGCTCCTGCACGACTCACTCACTTCACCCAGACCTCCAACCCAACACAAAGTGGACCATGACGTGAGTGAGAAATAACTTTTACGTGTTAAGCCACTGAAATTCTAAAGACAGCTGTTGCAGGAGTAAGCCTGCTCCAAGCATTACGGATGGCCGGTACAAACAGGTGTGTGGCTTGGTAATCCAGCAGACAGTTACTAGACTTCAGCTGCTGAAGGACACATTGCAGAACGGCTGTATCTGCAACACTATCATGGCGTTTTAATCAAGTATCAATACGACATACAGTTTGAAAAAGAATACACTAACATTGACACAACTAGAAGGATGCACAAATAAGATACAGAACTATGTGCGGGAGGGGGGCGGGGGGGGGATTTGGGGAGCTAAAGCAGGAAAAAAAAAAAGATTGGCAACAGTTGTTAACTCAGGTGCAAATGTTTAAAAAAAAGAATACGCTAACAGGAGTAGAAGGAAAATACGAAAGCTGGAAAGGGACACTCAGTGAATAAGAATTTGTTAGTGAGTCTTTATTTAGCAGCTGAGCAGCAGCTGGCTCTTTGGTGGGCATGCACTGAATGTCCTGATAAAGGAAAATGATATATCAGCTTATCTTAATTTTGTGACATCATTAAAATTATCCATCAACCTAAGTCTCCTTGTTCGGATTCAATGCTCATCAAGCAAATTCTATTTTGCATTTGTAGATTTTACTATAGGAGGGGAATAAGTCAGCCAGTAGACTTGGAGTATCTAGTTTCCTTGAGAGTTTTGTTTCTTATCATAACTGACATCAGTTTCTGGTGAGCATGATTCGTGCAGCTCAGTTGCATTGAGCCAAATCTACCCAGAGATGCCGAAAGAAAAATCAGAATTAACTTGGAAACTAAGCAACAGAGCATCGTGGTGCCACCGTGACAGGCAATATGCACCCGCAAGGCCCAACCGCGGTAATTAGCTGGACTTAGCAGACGCCTTCCTAGTTGTTATATTATAACCTGTGATATCCTGGACCAACACTTAATAAATTATTGGTCATCTGGAAGGTTTAAGGTAGAAATACCAGTCTACAAATTTAAAAATTGACTAAACCATATCTAAGTACTTTGAAAATAATTCCTTTTAACAATTTTTACTTTACTAATGAGAAATCTTGGAACCCAAGAAGCTTAAGTGATCGGCTTAGGATTACACAGCAAGATAGAAGCTAAAGCCCCTCATTAACTCAGTGAAGTAGGGTCAAAAGAAAAAAAAGACTCCAGTAACAATTTCTAAGAATTCTAACAGAACTTGTAGAAATAGCCAAACAGTGGTTATTTCTTGATACCACTGCCGATAGGTGCCATCAAATAAAATGCAACAATGTACAGTTAAAAAGGTAAAAATATAGTGCCAGCAATTAATAAAAATGGGTAAACCTAAATGTTTTTATTACAAACAGAAATATAAGAATAAAATATTAGCTTTACTGTAGCAAAAATAAAAAGCAAACTTAAAAGTCCTTTAAACAAAGAACATTCCTAACAAAATAGACATTTGTCTTAATATCCCAAATGCACTTTTGAATTCTGTTTGCCATTACCATTCATCATCCATACCTACTACAAAGAATGAAATCAAGTTTCAAAATGCCCTTAACATGGAAATGATCGATAGTTAGCATTCTTTTGATACTATAGGTACACAATCCCTTATTTGCACTGTAGAAAGCCCCAAATTTTGAAAATAGAATTTTTTCATAACTCATTTGGTTGTACAAACTAACTGAACTGATGTGGCATAAGCCCATTTACAGTCTTTATTTATCCCACACAGTGAACTACTGAGCTTTACTCAGTTAGTAAATTGCACTTATAAAATAATGTGCACACTTAAAATAGAGGTTTTCTGTCACAAGCAAAAAGATAAAAGTTATATTAGTGCAGGAGTTTCCCCATAAACTAACCCTTTATCTCCTCACTCTATTCAATCAAGATACAATACAGGCAAGTAATCTGAAAATTTAGCTTCAGTAATGTACTTACACATTTCGGCAAGATATGGGCTTGAAAAAACCAACTTCACGTCCAGTAAAATGTGTTTCATTGCCACCAAAATCCTTACAAGTTATGTTGGGTGCTGGAAAACATGGAACTAAACGCAGAAAAAGGCAAGAAACCATTATTGTTGTTCTGTAGGAAAGGACTGTGTTTTTTTTAAGACTAGTAAAGAATCCAAGAAAATAGAAGGTTCTAACCACCTCTTGAGATAACATCTCATCTAACAAGAGACTTTTAGGTAGGAAAAGCCACATTTTATGTATATAAGTATACATATTCATATATAAGACAAAGATAATACGACACAGCGGTCTCAACACAAAAACACAGGAGCCGTCACATTGCATTAGATGCACGACCCGTCTACTTCACTCTCCTGCCTCCGCCAAGGGGACAAGGGAAGAAGTGCACAAGGTCACTGCTCTACTTCATCTCTAGGGCACAGGACACTTCCTAAATTCTCATTGGTAACTCACTGGCTAATTCACGAAATTTAACATAATCTGATTTTGCATTTTCAGTTTACATCAACTGTTGTAGATGATGGCTGCCATAAACCAAGATTCTTTTTATTTATTCTGAACGTATTCTTCTATTCCCTCCAGGATTTGACGTAGCATGCTTTCTCAGCATTTAGCAATTTCGATCTTTACTCACACCCAGAGGACATGATAAGAAGAGAAAGGAACACTTACGGAGCTTGCCGTGTACTAGGCAGGCACTGTCCAGAAGCCTTTATAGCCTCGTTGTGTAAAGAACAAGGACTCTGGAGTGAGAATGCCCTACCTGGGCACTGCCCCTTTCAGAACCTTGGATTCGATGTAGACGAAAACAGCAGTAACGTCCCATGTATCAGACGACCACGGTGGGGGTTAACCATGCTGGAAGGCACCTCGCACAAGGCACAGCACGCAGCAGGCACCCAGCGAATGTTAGTGCCCTTCCTCCTTCACCATCTCTAACTACAAGGCACTCACGTTTCTAGCCTAGTTTCAGTAAATGCTTCTCTCTCTGTTTAGCATCAATAATTAGATTTTTTCTTTGAGAAAATGAAAATAGAACTTCATATAATAGTCCAAAAGACAACAGAGACTCCAGAGTTTTATTATGAGAGGAAAATGGTATTTATTTTCTATCTACTTTATAATTATCTTAAGATTTCCAACAAATCATTGTCTCTTTTTAGGCCAGAGTAGTACACTCAGAAAATGATACCAGGAAAAAACCAATAATGACTTAGCACCATGCTGTTGGGTTGCTGATAGTTCAAACTACATCACCCCATAAATTTTTTTTAATTGCTTTCTCTCCCCAAATCTCCCCCAGTACACAGTTGTATATTTTAGTTGTGGGTCCTTCTAGTTGTGCATAAATTTTATTTATGTATGTATATAGGTATGCATAAGTGTATGTATTTAGTGTATTTAAATTTCCAAACAAGGAGGTGCTGAACACTAAAAGGCACAGATTCAATACAACTGAGAACCATTTAAACAAGAAAAAAGTAATAAAATGAAGGGAAGAGGGAGAGTAAAGAAATAATTACACTAGGAAACAACTAAGGGAAGACAGTGATTGACCCACAAATTTAGCTTAGAACTTCCAGGTAGTTAAGGCAAAAAGCTTTACAGAGCTACTGTGCTATATCTGAAAGAAGGCGCACCAGTGCACCCACCTCTCACTTACGGGGGGAGCCTGGTCTGGGTCACAACACAGGGAAAGAGAGCGTTCAGAGAGAAGGTCCTCAGGAAGGCCTCTTACAGAACAGAGGCTTTCCACACGGCCACTTCCTACGCCGCTCCAGACACAGGCAAGGGCTTATGTTCACATCTACAGAGAGGCGGCAAAAGTTAACAATTTACACACAGCTGTTTGGCTACCTGCCTTGATACAGGGATAAAACGTATTGACTTTTGTGAATAAATCATCACGTCCCTTAAGTTACATCTCTTGAAAGGCTGCCATCTTAGGTCATGCTTTTGACCAGAGCTCTACAGTAGACAACTCAAAATTGAGACGAGCAAATGTCTGAAACGCTAATACATATTCTACGTTACCAGCTGAATGGAGATCAATATGCTCTATTTCAACAACTGGAGGCAATTTTGCTGCCCAGGGGACATTTGGCAATGTCTGGAGACATTTTCGGTTGTCACCACTGGGAAGCTGCCACTGGCATCTAGTGGGTAGAGGTCAGGGATGCTCCTCAACATCCTACAACGCAGCAGACAGCCTCCTCACAACAAAGAGTTGTCTAGTCCAAAACATTAACCGTTCCGAGGTGGAGGGACCCTGCTCCAGATCAGCGGTCTTCAAAAGATTTTGCTCATGTGCTCCCTAAAAATAATTTTTTAGAACTATGTACTCTCTTACACATTTTTCAGTTGACATCTAAAATTTTTCATCATGGTTTTAAGTTGTTCAAAAAAATATAATTTCCAGCATTTGGAAATACTGCCGTTGAAATTGAAATGTTACAGCACTCTTCAAAATGGAATCTAAACACCACAGCAATTTGATAGCCATCAGGATCCAAGAGAGAACAGATAGGAAAGAGATCTCCTTTAAAACTTGGACATTTTATTTTAGAAAAAAGTACACATATAAAAGCTGAGGATCTGGAAATTGAGTCCTTTAAAGACAACTGTTATGGGCTGAATCGTGTCCCCCTAAAAAGAGATGTTGAAGTCCTAATCCTCAGTATCTCAGAATGTGACCTTATTGGAAACAGGCTCTTTGTAGATTTAACCAAGTTAAGATGAGGTCATCGGGTGCACCCTAATCCAATAAGACTGGTGTCTCTATAAAAAGAAGTTGAACACACACAGAGGAAGATGATGTGAAGACAGAGGCAGAGACTCGACTGACGTGGTTGCAACTCAGGGAATGCCAAGGACTGCCGGCCACCAGCAGCAGCAGAAGAGGTAAGGAAAGATTCTACCCAGAGTCTGAGAGGAACACGGCCCTGCCAGCACCGTGATTTCAGACTTCCAGCCTCCAGAACTGGGAGACAGTAAATGTCTGCTGTTTTGAGCCTCCAGGTTGTAACACTGTTCTAACAGCCCTAGGAAACTAGCCCAACACCTCTACCTGTTTACCACTTGGAAGCTCTGTCTACCCACAGGAGCACGTGTACTCCAGTCTAAAGACAAGAGTTTAGGCACAAGCATGTAAGTTAGTCAAAGAGATGTCTGGTTTAAAAGTTAAAGTTTGGAGGCTGGTCCCACGGCCAAGTGGCTATGCTCGTGCGCTCGGCTTTGGCAGCCCAGGGTTCGCTGGCTCAGATCCTGGGTGTAGACCTACACACCACTCGTCAGGCCATGCTGTGGCTGCATCCCACACAGAAGAACTGGAATGACTTGCAACTAGGATATACAACTATGTACTGGGGCTTTGGGGAGAAAAAAAAGAGGAAGATTGGAAACAGGTGTCAGCTCAGGGCCAATCTTCCTCACCAAATAATCATAGCTTTAAAAAAAAAATAGTTTTTTGCTTTGATAAGGACCATTACACCTCCACAAAGAAGTAACCTGCAAGAATATCTATAGATAAACACAAACTTTTCCTCAAAAAGCATCTTTAAATTTTTCAAATCCTCAAAGTAGTAAGTTCTGGATTAGAGAACTGTATGATAAAACAGAATTCTATTACCAAATTTTGGATGATTTTTCTCCAAATGTATTACCTTGCACTTGCTCAGTTTGAAGCTGTCACTTTCTTGTGTTATGGCCTTGTTAGATCTTTGTGCAGACTATCAAAAATCACATCTTAAAGAGACAGTAGCAATATAGAACACTATAATTACGATTCCAGTTGGGGCTACTATCCAGTATACCCTGCCTAATAGAAATGCATTGTAACAATACCCTTGTAACGCTATTAAACATATTAAAGGTACGTGGCATGTCAAGCACTGTGCTTGGTTAGCATGCTCAACAAGGGTTAGGCACCCCTCTAGAAAATGGGAGACCGTCAACATTGAGAAGACTAAGAGAATTAACCTGGCATGGAGAATGAATATAACATTGTGAGTGAGTGTCAAATTAATGCAAGATTTTGTGAAATGAAATTATTCCATTCAAAAGAATCGACAACAACCCTGAGTTTATTCATTTTTTATGTACTTTATAGTTTCATTTGACTCATTAAAAAAAAAACCTGTTAAGTAGGCAGAACTAGTAATATGTTCCTTTTTCTTTTTTTCCTTTTACAAACAGGAAAACTGAGCTTCCAAGAAATTAAATGAGTTGACCAGTCTCATAAGTAGGTAGTACTCTCTAAGTCCTAGGCTACCATTCATTATTCTCAATCAACACTCTTTCCATTATACCATGATAATGCCATGCTCACAATGATTTCAGGAACAAGCGAAAAGAAACAAATCAATTAAGATGAGATTAAGGAAGCCAGTTACCAATAAACGTTAACTAGTAGACAAAACTAAGCAACAGGCCACAAGCCTGAAAACTATTCAATTTGCACTTTTCTTGCAAAAAGTTTGGCTCTGGCCAGTATCTGGGATTTACATGGCGTCAATTTAAGCCAATAAATACACACCATTTCTCAATTATTAAAAAAATCACTGTTTTTTAAATGCAAAAAAGCTAAACTAGAAATAATCAATGAAGTTTCCTAACAGTAAAAAGGACTGACTAGGGAGCAGGTGGTTTGGGATCCTACTCCAGGTAACATTGTGCCTCTGGACTCTAGTCTTGATCTGTCAAATGAAAGGGTCAGACTTCACATGAGCTCTGTAACAGGTTATGTTGCATAATGACCAGATAACTAAATGTGCCGATCTAGAATTCAGGGGAAAACAAAAGATAAAGCTGGCAAGAGCCAACCCTCTCTCCATATTTCCAGCACGAAGAGCAGCGTTCCTCTGGGAGTGCTGGAGTTGGAAAATCATCATTTTCCAACTATCACAGTAAAGAATAGTTTAGGCAGAATCATCACGGATCCTAAGTCTGGGGAAATTTTTGATGAGGAATAGGATATTTGCATGGTCTTAATAAGTCTTCGCATTTATTAGTTGCAAAGGAAAAAATATTAACTATAAAGTGGAAAAATAGTGATCAACATTTAACAAATAACATCACTAACGACAGGCAGATGGATATCATGTGCCTCAGATGTCAGATGCTGAGGACACCCCATCACTTATGTAATTTTCCAGCCTGGAATGTATAACCTAAATCTTAAGGAAATATGAGACAGTCCCAAATGCGAACATTCTATTAAAATAAAGAGAACTGTAGTCTTCAAACATGTCAGTGTCATTAAAGACAAAGAAAGCTTTGGAAATGTGCCAGTTTAAAGAAAACTAAAGGCAAAACCTCACCCGAAGATCCTACACTGGGGAAGATGCTATGAAGGCATTATTTGGGTCATTTGATTAGAATGTGGATGGTAGAGTGAAGTATGTGTATTAATATTAAATTTACTGTGGTTATGTTAGAATATTTCTATTCTTAGGAAAAACACACAAACATACTGAGGGGCAAAATATAAATATCGGAATTCAGAGAGACAGAGAGCATGCATGGGCACACAATGATACAGCAAGAAAGATCACGTGTAGCAACAAGTGAACCGGAGTGAAGGGTACGTGGGTGTTCTTCGTACTCTTTCTTCTTTTAAAAGAACTGTTTTGTTTGTTGTTTGTTTTTGCTGAGGAAGATTCGCCCTGGGCTAATGCTCACTGCCATTCTTCCTCTTTTTGTATTTGAGCCACAGCCACAGCATGGCCACTGACAGAAGAGTGGTGTAGGTCAGTGCGCAGGAACGGAACCTGGCCAGCCAAGTGGAGCATGCCAAACTTAACCACTAGGCCACCAGGGCTGGCCCTCTTTGTACTATTCTTATTCTTGCAACTTTTCTGTAAGCTTGAAATTATCTCCAAATAAAAAGCTGAAAAACAACACATGCTGCAAAACTAATTTATGCAGGTAGAAGTCAGCATAATGGTCACCCATGGACGAAGGGCAGTGACTGTAAGAGAGCATGAGGGGGCTTCCGGCATGTTGATAATGTCGTTTCTAGATCAGGAAGCATTCGCAGGTGTGTTCAGTTTGTGAAAACTCACTTAAGTTACACTTATGTGTACTTTTCTGTTAATATATTTCAATGAAAACTAAAGAAAATAAAAAATGCCTTCTGCCAAAGGACAGAGAAGAATTTTCTGGAGAAGGAGTCTAAATACTTTTGTATTTCACTGATTTTCACTGATTGGAGAACTGAAAACACTTGCTTACATATGTCTCTGTAATCTAAGACAGAACACTCCTCGATTCTGTCTTCTTTCATGTATCATCTACACCACTCAGCAGAAGCCCGCCATGCAATAATTTCTCAATAAGTAAACTAAATAATTTCTCAATAAATAACATTTTATAATCTAAGTTAATTTTCATTAGTGGTTTTATCCTTTCAATTATTTTAATCCATTTAATTATTAAATTATTTATTACAAATACTTCTCAACAAATGAACATGCCTGTTAATTGGCACTGGGCTAACCGGGAACCACTGTAAGATCACGTCAATTTACTATCCTAGTCAAATTTCCTTTGTCTAGGTCCCAGTTCCTACTCTCTACTCCCAAACTTCCCCTCTTTGTAAAACTCTCTTCCCACTCACCCCTACCCGAAGAGCACAGTTGAAGAAAATTAAACTTAGTTTGAGCTTTCTGCAATAGTCCTTCATATAATCGGTGAAAAAACAAAGGAAGAAAAATTTTGGCTGGAGGAACAAGAGAGATTATTTTACTACACTTTTTCCAACTCTAACATTATTCTCCTGCTAATCAGCTCTATGTTAGGACCAAAAAGCTGGTTTCAAGGGTGATTCTGATGTCCTCTCTGGTCAGGACTTGGAAGTGATTCACCACGGCCACTCCACTAGCCTTTGTGTGTTTAAAAAGGGCAATTTAAAAAACCTCCTGTGGACAGCAAGCCTCACAGGTGCTGGGCTGGGATGGCAGAACCCATGCGAGCTCTCGCCTGCACACCGCTGTGTCATGCACAAATTGCACATCCATATGCAGAAGCCCCATGACTCACATTTGTCTCAGAAACTTTATTTTCTTTTAAAAATCATGATAATGATTTAAAGTCACTTATTCATTAATCTACAACATTTTATCTAGGTCCTCACATTCAGCGAGGCATTTGGTCTATTCTCTCCAAAGGAATAACCACGCCATGCCCTTCTATGCAAAGCTCTCCTCTGTCTCCCTGCAGCTCTCCACCCGCATCACCTGAGTGCGCACCGAACCAGCCGAGACCAGCCTAACCCTCCCAGTCCTTCTGACTTCCTGGCCGAGATGGGCCTAACCCTCCCAGTCCTTCATATTTCCTGGCCGAGATGGGCCTAACCCTCCCAGTCCTTCATATTTCCTGGCCGAGACGGGCCTAACCCTCCCAGTCCTTCATATTCCTGGCCGAGGTGGGCCCTAACCCTCCCAGTCCTTCTGACTTCCTGGCCGAGATGGGCCTAACCCTCCCAGTCCTTCATATTTCCTGGCTGAGGTGGGCCCTAACCCTCCCAGTCCTTCTGACTTCCTGGCCGAGATGGGTCCTAACCCTCCCAGTCCTTCAGACTTCCTGGCGTCTGATTACTTGATTCTGTATATGTCTATAAACTTATTTATCAATGAGTGCTTAAGGAGATTCAAACTTACTTCATACAAAAGAGACACCTAACTGGAGGGCAGAGCTGTTTTGGGGCAGAAACTATTCTTTCTAGTTGTATAATTTCCTTCAAAATCCTCAGAACTGCAAAGAACCCTGCCGGCTAGAGAAGGCTCTTTTGAGACAGCTGGCCACCTGCCTCCTAGTGGGAAGTCAGATACCTGAGTCACAGTGGTATGCATAGATTCTCAACATCTCTCATATAATGGTTGAATATCGGGAAGCTGATTCCTCTTTATGTGTGTTAACTCTATTCTCTGTGTTCCAAAAGCACAACATAAAAGACTGAACTGTAGATTCCTTGAAAATTTCCTTTAAGTTTAACACATCTACATTAAATAAATATATATATATTAAACAATATCTGCTATACAAGTCATGTATACATATGAACAATTATTGTTTATATGGTAAATTTTCACTACTTCAGAAAAGTAGCAAAATGTCAATTATAAAAGTTTAACAAAATTTACTTTCAAATCTATCTGCTGACTAGAATTGGGGTAACAGTGCGCCAAAATATAAAGATATAAAAAGATAAAAGGACATCTGCTTTTTAAAATACATACAAATTCATAATCAAGATATCAATTATTTGAATATATTTTTGAAAAAGTTTTCTGCTGTAACAAAAACAATTCCTTTAAGCTCATTTATATAATGAATCTGTTGAAGAGCTTTTCTTACAAAGAAAACATCAATTATCGGCTTATTTCCTAATACACAAAACAATCAGTATACAGTCAACTGGTGCTCTTTTCTCAAAATAATACCATGTAACACCCATCATTATGTACCATACCAAATAAGAAAGCTACAAAGCTCCAACAGACATCCACCTGCCTCCCTTCCAACACAGACTACATGAAACAATTCATTAATTTTTATCTGGCATTACACATATTTTAGAACAACAGAAGCTCCCCAAAATCATCACCAAAACATCTAAGAAAATACTGATGCATACTTAATCCTCACCGTACTGTTTTCACACTTGGGATGCACCTACGTATATTTCACAAGTGTACACTACGGGTGATATAGCTCCTCACCGCACCTTATTGAACTAACAGTCTCATTTCAAGTTCTTTTCGAGTAATTAAAAATCTAACTGAAGAAGCACCTTTGCATAACATAGGCTGGTGAATAAAGGGCATCAAGAAAGCTATATAAACTGATTCCAAAGGTTTAAAAAAACATGAACGAAAATATAAAACTTTCCAGTTTATATAATTAAGAGAATAAGATTCTTTTTAAAATTAAATATTAACAATCCCTACCTATCCTGTTGCCCAATTTTAAGTTGTTGTGGAAACCGAATAATAATTTTCTAACTCAACAAGAACACACCTTTATTAACTACTTTTAGTGACGATACATCGATCTATGAAATAATGTTTAAAAAATTCTTTTTAAAGACAGGTTTCTGGCAGTCTTACCATGAGCTGTGTAGTTTGTACAGTTCACCGGCTCTTGTGTAGCATCATTTATTTTTGGATCTTTACAAAGATATATAAGAAAAGTTAAGGAAATATAAACTATATTCCAACACAAAACATTATCATCTTTAATATCTCATATTATACACTCATGTTTATATTCACATATAGTGTTAGTTTGTCTAAGTCACCAGCACAAACGTACTTTTAGTGTCTCTAAATCCCTGAATGTAAATTCATTACAGGAAACGTGTATTAATATATATTAAAAGCTCTGTAGAGAATGCCATCCTTAAAGAACGTCAGTTAGGGTTTAAGCACAAAGAAAAAATGAAAATAAAACTCAACAAAATTATTATAAGAGAGTTTCAGGTTAAAAAAAAAAAGTTTCCAGAGATTTGGTTGAACTAATTTACGGGGCCCAGGTATTGTCACATACATGTAACCCAAACAACCCTGTGAGGTAGATACTCTTTACTCCCACATCCCAGCCTAGGGCACCTGTATCAGCCCACAGGGAAGACGGTTGTTTTATGTGGGTCTACAGCCTCTCCCCAACAGGATTCTAAGCTTTTGCAAACGTATAAAATGATCCTCTTACAGACATTAGAATACTTGAGTGTGTTTGGGGGTGGTTTTCTGTTCCCTAAATATTTTATTGACACTGAAATGGGATAAATAAGGCATTCACAAGATGTCTCTGGGGAGAGAGAGCCCGACACCTCTTTAAGGTTTCTGACTCACTACTGGAAACCTCATCTTTATGGCAGGAGTCACAGACACGTTCTGGTTACCATCACCTCGGAGTCCTACTAGCTCAGCCTCTCTAGGGTTGAAAAACCACAACTCTGCATAATGCCCAGTTATGTTCTTAAAATCAGAAACACTGGAGCGACTAATCACACAGCTGGTATGCAAACACACCGTCTCCTGCATCACTACTCACAGTACACGCAGCCCTACTCTGTGCAGCATTGTGCTCAGGAGCATTGCACCAACCCATCCCACGGCCTGCACGTTGGCACACCATCACTGTCAGCTACCTCACTACTCAGAGCACACGCAGCCCTACTCTGCGCAGCACTGTGCTCAGGAGCACTGCATGACTCATCCCACGGCCTGCACGTTGACACATCATCACTGTCACCTGTGTCACTACTTGGAGCACAAGCAGCCCTACTCTGTGTAGCACTATGCTCAGAAGCACTGCACTGACTCATCCCACGGCCTGCACGTTGGCACACCGTCACTGTCACCTATGTCACTTCTCAGAGCACACACAACCCTACTCTGTGCAGCATTCTGCTCAGGAGCACTGTATGACTCATCACACGGCCTGCACGTCAACACATCATCACTGTCACCTGCGTCACTACTCAGAGCACACACAGCCCTACTGTGCGCAGCACTGTGCTCAGGAGCACTGCTCTGGCTCATCCCACGGCCTGCACCTAGGCACACCGTCACCGTCATCTATGTCACTACACAGAGCTGGGCGCTGGCACGTCCCCGTTACGCAGGGCGCCGCATCCCGCGGGGTGACGGAGGGTGACACGACGGGTGGCGTGAAGTCGAGGACGACTATTCGTCGCCCCGGTCGGCGCCCTTCCTGGGGGGCCTGCCGCGTTCAGGCCTGGCCCCGGACCCGGACCCGATTCTTCGGGCCACCGCACACGCAGGCGAACATGCAGAGCCACTACGCGGCCCCCGCACCCCCTGGGCGGCCCGCCCGCCCCGCCGGGCCCGGTCTAGAGGCCGCGGTCCCCGCCCCCGGCGCCCCGGAGGATATTGTCCCACTCTGAGGTCCTCGCACTTGAGCGCGTCCTCGCCTGCGGCGGCGGACACGAGCCATAGCACGCCCAGCAGCCGGGCGGCCGCAGCTGGGGCAGCCGGCCGGGGCGCCCCGGAGGCCGCCATGCTGGAGCGGCGCGCACTTCCGGTTCCGCTGCGCCTGCGTGGGGCGGAGAGCGGGGTGGGAGGGCTCTTAAAGGGACGGCGCACCGGTTGGAGGCAGGGTCCTCCCGGCGGGTGGGAGTGCGGGGCCGGCCGGGGTGGTCTTGGAGAACTGCAGGGGGCGGAGGCTCCTAGGACGGTCGGCCGCCCGCCGTGCTGCGCTGGCGCCGAGCTGGCTTGCTGCAGCCTCTCCGTCGGCGGGAGCGGCCTGAGAGGCCCTGCAGGAGCTGGTTTGCGTGGTCCGGGCAGGCTTTGGGCGGGGGATGCCCGCCGGCTCACAGGCTGCGCGGGGACTCAGTGAAGTGGCCCGATCGGAGTCTGCTCTTCCTGTCACCTGGGAGGAGCGCTGTGGGGGACTCCTCACAAAGATGGGCTGTACACACTGTCCCAATAGTGAACGCGGGGGTGAGGGACAGGGCCTGCGACAGGAGACAGCGCTGCCACTGCACTCGGGGAGCTGGCGGTTTCTTTCTCCATCTCTTCTCCCTAAATTCCTGTATAGTCTAAAAGTTCTGCGGTAGGGATAGCTTGTATACTGAACAAAATGTGTACTTTTTAAAATGAAAGTCTAATCCTTTTTCTCGAACGTAAAAATACATGAATTTGAATGGTGCCTCTTCCTGCACAGTAGCTCTGATTTTGAAGAACTGTGTTATGCAATCGTTCTCAAACTTCAGGGAGCTTCAGAGTCACCCGGGGATTTGTTAAAAAGCAGAAGGATGGGTCCCACCTGCAGAGTTTCTGATCTGAAGATGCAGAAGGATAATTTGCATTTCTAACGAGTTCCCAAGGGATGCCGATACTGCTGATCCCAAGAACACACTTGAAGAACCCTGGGTGATAGAAGTATCATTTTGGAACAGGAGGACATGAAACTGTTTGCAATAATATTTTGGTATTGCAACTACATTTAAATTTTTTCTTAAATCAATTTTACAGCATTTCTATGCTAATTTTAAATTGACATTTATGCTTAATTAAAGGTTTAAGTGAAAGGAAATTTGAAATTTACTAGTTAATTTTTAAACTTCCTGTTTTAAGTGGACATCTTTCTTTTCTCTTTCCTTTTTTCCCTCTTTCCTCCCTCTATCTCTTCCTTCTTTTTTTCTTTTTTCTCTCTTCCTTCCCCTCCATAAATGTCAGGCATTTATTATGTACCCAACATTAGGTCAGACCCTACAGAGTCAAAAAATGAAGAGAGAAGAACCCAGTAATTAAGCACTTTAAGTCTGATAGCAGAAAAGACAAGCAGTTAAAGTACTGTTTGCTAATTGTTGCAGTAGAAGCACGCACGCGCTATTAGCAGGACAAGGGCTTTGATGAAGATATTTCCCCCAAACAGTACTGGGAACACAATTTTTGTCACTAGCATCAGAATAATTCAAAATTCAGGTCAAAATGGAGGAACAGAGTTGTATCTTCACAGGATACATGACCACCTGAAAATGTACAGACTAGAAAACTAACCGTTAAGTTAAAAGAAACACCAATACTGTGTATAATCTACAGCTCAACACCATCCGTCAGCCTCATCCTGAGATGAAATTTAGGAATCGGGTAGGGGCCAAGGGTTAGGTACAGTCCAGGGGTAAAGATCAGAAAATCTATTGCACGTATTATCTGGTAATAAAAGACAGTGACTTTGCATTTTGACACTCTTTCAAAATGTTCTGGTTTGATTTTCAAAATACAGTCTAATGAAAATCAGAAGGTTATAGAAAGCAACTTTCCAGTTTGACTTTATTGAGATTATGACAAAATTAGATATTTTCCTGGTGACTGTAGGAATATTGCTGATCTCTGTATTTGTGTCATTTTTCATAGAAATTTTGAACAATTGACTATTTGAAAATGCTTATGCTTTGCTAGTTAATCCCACTGCAAAATCTATTTCTATGGTTCTAGTGATTATCTTCATTCTCTCCTGCAGTGTATAAACTGGAGAGAACGACAGAGTCTCCTTGTGAAAGTAGAGAAACAACGCAAGATTTTTGACTCTTAAACTGATGGTATATTAAAAATTTTACTTTCTCTTCTGACTGCCCCTTAATCTATTTTCTCATGGCTCAGTAAAATGTATTACTTTATTTCTTTGCAAGCATATCTCTGATCACATGATTACTACATTGTCTACTTTTAGTAAGAAAGTTCTTAAATCTCAATCCTAGACATGTTTTCAATGCCAAACTTCTTTGTCACATAAAAATTCTATAGAATTCTGTAGAAATTCTATGGAAAGCAAAGGACATGGATAGCACAGCCCGATATGGAAACTGTTGTATAGAAACATTAGGGTTGAGGATTACCGAAGCCTGAAGCAGGGCTTCCTCTTGGATTCCAGGGCTCTGTACATCGGATCTTTCCATTCCTAAGATGCCAGCACACACCTAATTACATCAACAGATGGTGTTGCCCATAGCAAAGCTTTCTGAGGAGACCACCCCAACTCCTGTTTCCATGGTTAGGACAGCAACATTAAAAGATAAAAGATTGTTACTCTGCAAAAATTTCTTTTTTATTTGACTTCGATGGGCGATGTTTTCTCTGGTGATGAATTCACAATATCAGGGCTCTGGCAGGCCTTTATCGCAGTCTTCTGCACATGTAGATTTCCACTAGATCCGTGCTGTTGACTCGCAAGTGTTTCAGATGGCGTCCTCTCTGCTGCACCAATCTAACTGCCTACCGTCCAATGAAATTAGCTCAGACCCATCACTTAATTAGGCCTACTGTATGCCAAGTATATTTCATCTTGATTGTCAATGTAAGATCTAAAACTGACTTTATCAGAGTCCTGCTTCTCAAAAAAACAAAACAGAATAAATGGACTTTTCTCAGTTTCACCACCAATATCTCTTTTATCAAGTTCAAAACTTAGAATCATCTCTGCCCTTGAGTTTTCTCCTCGTCCTTCGTTAATCCCTTTTTCTTGTGAGGAAGCAACTGATGTTTCTAAGTGTTCATTTTTTATCCTGTATCTTCACACTATTTCAGGTATTCATCCTTCCCTGTGCACCTTGCTATATGGCTGCTTCCTTCCTCTTTCTGATTCTACGCCCTGTCCCAAACTTTGTCAATCCATTTTTCACACTGCTTCCAGATTAATCTCTTGTTAAAAAAAACCCAACCTAGATCATATTCAAAATCCTGTTTAACCTCCTTGGTATGTATCCAAAGGAGTTGAAAACTTATGTCGACACAAAACCCTACACACAGATGTTTATAGCAGCTGTATTCACTATGGCCAAAACTTGGAAGCAACCAAGATGTCCTTCAGGAGGTGGATGGATAAATGAACTGTGGTCCATCCAGACAATGGAATATTACTCAGTGCTGAAAGAAATGAGCTATCAAGCCATGAGAAGACATGGAGGAAACTTAAGTGCATATTACAAAGTAAAAAAAGCCAATCTTAAAAGACTACACACTGTATGATGCCAACTGTATGACATTCTGGAAAAGGCAAACTAGGAAGACAGGAAAAAGATCAGTGGTTACCAGGAATTGGGGCCTGAGGGGATGGGGGATGAGTAGGCAGAGCCCAGAGGATTTTTAGGGCAGTGAAAATACTCTGTATGATACTCTAATGGTGAATACACATCATTATATGTTTGTCCAGACCCACAGAATGTGCAACACTAAGAGTGAACCCTAATGTACACCGTGCACTTTGGGTGATTACGACGTGTCAGTGTAGGTTCATCAGTTGTAACAGATGTCCCACTTTGGTGGGGGATGTTGATAACGGGGAAGTCTGTGCATGTGGGGGAGCAGGGGGTAAGTGGGAAATTTATGCACCTTCCTCTCAATCTTGCTGTGAACCTAAAACTGCTCTAAAATAAGTATTTTAAAAAATAAACCCCAGGGCCCAGCCTGGTGGCGCAGCAGTTAAGTTTGTGCATTCTGTTTTGGTGGTCCGAGGTTCACCAGTTTGGATCCTGGGTGTAGTCTTAGGCACCACTTGTCAAGCCATGCTGTGGCAGGTGTCCCACATATAAAGTAGAGGAAGATAGGCACGGATGTTAGCTCAGGGCCAGTCTTCCTCAGCAAAAAAGAGGAGCATTGGCAGCAGATGTTAGCTCAGAGCTAATCTTCCTCAAAAAATTAAATTAAATTTAAAAATTAAAAAAATAAACACCAATCATTAAATGTTAAAAAAAAATCCTATTCAGACATTTTCAGTGGTTCTTTAATTTCTCAGAGGTGAAGGATAAAGCCTCAGAACCTAGTGTTCTCTGTGGTATTCTCAGGCCTCTACCATCTGCCCTGACCTCACCTTAGTTACTGCTGCTCTTGGCTGTCCCCTTGCTGTCACCAGTAACTGTCACGCTCTTTCCCATCTATGTGCTGCTTCATTTATTGAGGACTTTCTCTGTGCCAGGTCTATGCAATACCTGTACTCCTTCATTTTACCTTCAAATCTGCCATATGAAGTGAGCACTGTTCCCACAATTTCAAGAATGAGAATTACAAGGGTTAAGTCACTTGCCAAAGTCACATATTTTAGGAAACAGTGGAGTCAGGATTCAAGCTCAGATCTTTTGATTTCAGAGATGTGTTCTTAAAAATTGCGTTCAGCTTCATTATTCTATGAATAAGGCAGTCTTGAGGGTTCTCAGAGGTAAACATTTTCAGAGTAAACTCATTAAAAAAATGTATTGAATAAATTTAAAAAATTTTAAATTCCAGGTAAGAGCCAAAGGGAAGCACACAGGAAATTAACACGACGATGTGGAGAAAATCAGATGAAATGTGGTGGAGAGAGGGGTCTGGGGTGGAAGCTTCTGGCCAGAAGGAAGATTTGAGTCTAGCCCAGGAGGAAGGGCTGGCCTTACAGGACGTTCCGGGCACTGGGAAGGGGATGGTGACCAATGGACAGTTTTGTTTGGTGAGTCCTAGGACATGGAGCAGGCCTGTCTGGCCAGAGTAAGATCCCGGAAAGGTGAAGTGGGAGATGAGTCAGCAAAGAGGGGCCAGTGTAGAGGCCTTGAATACTTAGGAAAGGAGTTTGAACTGTGTTTCACACTCAACCGAAATCACACTATTTTTTGAGAAAGAGGGGACTATTCCCTTCTCACAACCATCATCAGATGTTAGAGTAAGAAGAGACCCAATGTTTGCAGGTGATGCTTTGAGATCATTGACTTCCACCTGTGTGCTGCCTCCCGACTCAGGAAGCATTTCCTTCTCCATTTGAGCTTAAGCAAAGCCCATACACGTGTTAAGAACTAAGTCCTAACAAATGCTTACAACAAACATAATCTCTTTATTTTCTGAAAGTTCTGGCTTTATTCTAGTTGGTAATTTGTCGTGTGTATTTCCATCAACAGTTTGTTAGTTCCTGAGAAGCACGACCTTGCTGAAATTGTGCATCTTTTTATGGGCCTAACAAGTATTTCCTTTAAAACAAGCAAACCAACAATAACACTATGAGTGCCACGTGCATGATCTTACAACTGATGTCACAGTGCTTAACAAACACCACATTTATTCAAAGAGTACATACATGAAGATTGATTCTCTTTATCGTTAACGTGTGGACGTATTAGACAAAGTAAGCCGCCTGTCATCAAAATTCTCGAGTTAGTTACATTAATGAGAGTGGAATAATGCCATTGTCGTTGTCACACAGATCTTTCTCAAAGTCAAGTTATGATACCAAGGATAAGAATGTTAAAATGTGGAGTGAAGTCAATGCTGGATCTAGAGACAGGAGACCCCGTGTGGGTACCAAACTCTGGGCCAAGCCCTTGAGCTGCCAGGGGAGCGCTTTCTTCAGAGGGCATGAGGTCGTGCACCAGCGGCCGGGCACGGTGAGGCCACTACAGCTGGATCCTCTTTCCTCTGCTCAGCGAGAAGAAACAACCCCGGCGTTACATTTCTGAGAACTCCGCGTGGGGCCGCGGGTAGAGCGAACCCGTGGGAGGGATCGACGACGCGCCCTCGCTTGCCCTCCAGGCTTGGCGCGGGCACACCTGTACAGCCGGCGCCCCTCCACCTGGCGCCTCACCTGGGCACCTTTCCAGCCCCGCAGCCCGCCTCCACCTGCGTGGCCACAGGAGCCGAGCGCCCGCTCCGCCCCACCCGGCGGAGGGAGGAGGAGGGCACGGAGGCGGGGGGAGGGGAGAGGGACGGGGAGGGGGAGGGGATGAAGGGGACGGGGAGGGGCAAGGGAGGGGGAGGGGGGAGGAGAGAGGGGACGAAGGGGAGGGCAAAAGGGGGAGGGGGGAGGGGGGTGGAGAGGGGGCGGGGCGGGGGGAGCGAGGGGAGGGCCTCAGGTGAGGCGGCGGCCGGGCACTTCCGCCCAGGTGACGAGGCGGACGCCGCCCCGGGAGCAGGTACGGCGGCAACGAGCCGGGCGCCGGGGAGGGGGGGAGGGGAGGGGAGGGGAGGGCAGGGGGCTCGGGGGCGCTGGCGCCGGCTGGACCTCGGGGCCCGGCTCGGCCCACATCCGCCCGCGAGTCCGCACAGGTCGGGCCTGGCCGCCCGGAGCCGGGGACGGGAGGCGCTGGCCGCCTCGGGCCGGCGGTCCCGGGGGTCGCAGGGGTCACGGCGGGCACGGGGGTCTCGATGGTCTCGGCGGGCCCGGTGGGCACGGGGGTCACGACGGGCACGGCAGCACGTTGGTCTCGGGTCGTCCGGCCCGGCCGGAGCCTCGGGGTGGGCCCCGCGCAGGGCTCCCCGGCTCGGCGCCCCCAGGTTCCCCGCCGCGCCCACCTGCAGGCCGCGTGGCGCCTGGCCGGGCTCGCTGCCCGCGCGCGGGGTCGGCCTCGCCCGGTGCCCCGAGGGTGGCCCCGAGGGTGGCCCCGGGTCGCGCGACAGGCCGGGGCCTCCCGGTGAGGGGAGGGGCCGCCCCGAGAGCAGAAGCAGCAACCTCAGTCCAGCCGGACGGAGACGCCCCTCCCGGGCTGTCCAGGCTGCTCCTGCGGCCGCTCGCTGGCACCCACCTTTGTTGGAGGACCGCTGGGGAGGAGGGGGCTGACGCTCACATTGGTTCGTTCCGCAGCCTCAGAAAAGTAGGGTGAGATCCTGACTTTTAGCTAAAATGAGCTTGATGTTTCTAGGCCCCTAACGGCCTTTATAAGGGCCGTTAAAAATTTAAAATAATTAGAAAGTTAATAAATGTCAGAGCTGGAAGGAACTTTATGGAGAAAATTTATAAACTAAGTTCTGAAGAGATTTGCCCTTGCTAATTGAGATCCTGTTAGTGACCATGTCAAATAAGCGTGGCATCAGAATAGTTTTGTTTCAAGTTGGAAAGAAATTGTATGAAGCCCTCATCTGTGTTTAGAGATGCCTTGGTAAGTTCTTGTATTTATTAATATTTTATAACTATAAAGCTAACATATATTCGTTGTAGAAAAACTGGAGAGAATTTTCAGGAAAGGAACTAAAAGCACGCACAGACCCACGTACTGTTGAAAATAACCACAAATAAAATTGGGGTATGATGTCTTTCAGTCAGTGTTCTTAACAAGGAAAATCGGTATACTGCCCCATAGTGGACTCACCTTTAGAACTCTGTGATTCTGAGACAGTGGCTCAGCGTTAGTAATCCTTGTAATTGCATTTTTACTTAAACGCATTAATAATTATCCTTAAGCTAAACAATCAAGCAGTGTGGGTTTACTTGCTTTGTTAAAGTTTACCCAAAAAAACATCAGGTTGGGGAAGCCAAAATGGAGTTTCGTTTGTTTGCTACTTAAGACTTCACTCACCTTGGGAGAAGAGCAAATTTTTTGAGAAACAGGACTATTCCACCTTAGTATTTGAGAGTGCTTGACCGTTACTATGTTTTTTTTGTGCTCAGATGTGTAGATTTGGAAACCCTTATTGAAGCCCTCATTGTAGGTTGTGGTGCAATTGGGGAGAAATTTAGAGCCTGTCCATACCCCTCCTCTAGTCATCGTTTGGGGCCCTGCTGAGATGTCAAGCCCACTTAATTTTGTGTCTGCACAAGTGTGCAGTCTGGAGTTTGGAGATGTGGAACTGGGCCCACTCACCGTATAAGTCCATCTTGGCGAGTCACTTGACTCTGGCCCGCTGTTTTCCCATTTGTAAACGATCCACCTCCCTGAGCTTTGGGGAAGTTACGAAATGATGTTTAAGAATGTGTCTTGTAAACTGTAACCCATCATTCTCCCACTTTTTGCTCCTCTGTGATGTTTAACAATGATAAAATTATGGAGTTGTGCTATTTTTATTGGGTAGAACTCAAGTTTGTGAGTGTTCTCACTCTGATAGTTACTTGGATGAAAGGCTTAGAGACCGAATTAGCTAATGAACAAAGTCTTTGTTAAAACAATGTGCAGGGATCTTTCTGAAAAGTCATAGGTTAAAACTGCACTGTCAGCGTGGCCAGCCACTGGCACCTGTCACTTCTTGGCACTTGAAATAGGGCTAGGTGGAATTGAGATGTGCTGTGAGTGTAGGATACACGTCAGATTTTGAGGATTTACTGTAAAAACAAAGTCTAAAAAACCTCGTTAGGGGCCGGCCCCGTGGCTGAATGGTTAAGTTCGTGTGCTCCACTGCGGCGGCCCAGGGTTCGGATCCTGGGCGCGGACATGGCACCGCTTGTCAGGCCACGTTGAGGCGGCGTCCCACATGCCACAACTAGAAGGACCTGCAACTAAGATGTACAACTATGTACCAGGGGGGATTTGGGGACAAAAAGCAGAAAAAAAAAACAACACAGATTGGCCATAGTTGTTAGCTCAGGTGCCAATCTTTAAAAAAAAAAAAAAATTAAAAACACCCTCATTAATTTTTTGTATTTTTTTACATATTGAAATGATAATTTGTATATATTGGGTTAAGTAAAATACATTAAAAGTAATTTTACTTTTTTTTTAACCTTTTTCATGTGGCTACTAAAAAAATTAAAAGCTTACTTATGTGGCTCACATTATATTTCTGTTGAACACAAGTGGGTTAGGATTCAGTATGGGTATGTTTATCCTTAAGAGGGTTCAGTTTACTGGAGCACTTTCATTCCCATTTATGACCTGATTCTTTTAACTCCCAAGTTACAGTCCTCCCCACATCCCTCTCCTTTGTATTCATTGCATTGCTGAAAGTTTTTTTTTTGCAGTCTTCTGAGAAATCGCTATTATTGATTACACAGCAAATCTCAGCTAAAATAATTTAATTGTTCACTTTTTTGAAACCCCGAAAATATCTTCAATAATTTTGATTGAAAAGAGATAATAATAATAGTTGCTACCATTTATTGAATGTGCACCTTGTGTCAGGCCGAATGCTTTATCTTATGTAGTCCTTTCAGCTGTAAAGATTTAGTAATTTTTATTAACTCTATTTTACAAATGAGGAAGCTGAGGTGTAGGGAGATTTAAAGAAGGGGCCACAAGAACGCAGAGCTGGTCCTGGGACTAGAACCCAGCCAGGTCTCTGATTGAAAGCTCATAGGCTGTTGATTGTCCCATGTTTCAAGAATTGGTTATTGAATCCCCTGGAAAAAGCCGATTATTGAAGTAGATGTTTAGTTCCAATCCTGTTTTTGTGTTAGTGACTAATAGGAAACAACCACATGCTGTCAGCAGGAGACTGGTGAGTCAGTCGAGGATTCCAACAGTGGAATCCTGTTGAGGTTGCAGTGACGGAAGATGAGCTGTGTGTGTCCTCCTGCCGAAATCTTAAACATGTAAAGTTGAGCTAAAATGTATTGCTGGAGGGTAAATATACAGTATGATTACCGTTTATATAAAGACCTGACAAAGAATAATATTGTGAACGAAGATAGTGTGTGTTTTAAGAGATTAGGATTGGAATTCTGTCTGCATTGATTGCATGCGTTGTGAAGCTGTCTTGTGGTTAGAAGAGGTTGGTAAATCTCTGTGAGATAAGCATCCTCCAGTGTGGGTCTTTCTCTTAAAGGAAACTAAACCAAAGACCTGCCCTTTGCTTTGGCGCTCTGCACACCTCGCCTGGCTGGTGGAAAGCTCTGGGGGCCCAGGTTGCAGCCCTGGGGCAGACCAGTTTCCTTAGTTCAGCTCCTAATTGATTGGCGTGGCTTTGGTAATAGGGCCAGGGTAGGGCTGCCTTGAGAAACCCCGTTCTCCTTGGGGTTATTTTCTGAAGCTTCTTCTAATGAAGCTCCAGGACAGAGTGTGGTAAGAGGGGGGGATGCACTAAGTGGATGTTGAGGGTCAGGTTGACAAACATTCCCTCTCCACTGAAAATCAGAAATATCAGACTCTCCTTTTTAAAGTCAAGTCGTTAACACTTGACCGTCTCTCACCCCAAAGTGACATTAACTCCCTTGAATGACATCTATATTGTCTTCCCTGTTATTACCTCTTTCAAAGCCCTTTCCCCCTTGTGTTTTGAAATTGTGGGAAGTTTTCTGCATTTGCAAAATGGAGACGATAATACATTGTTAAGAAGATAAGTGGGATGTTTATACAGAAAGACTTTGCGTTATACATGGTAGGCACCAAAAACCAGTTACTTGACTTGGTGACAGAGAACATGGCTTTTGGGAAAAGACCAGGAGGAGGAAGGGGGTGAGCATTGGTGGGGAGAGTGTTCAAAGCCTGGTTTGGCCTATTTCACAGTTTGCTAGGATTGTTTTGAATATCCCAAGCCTGCCAAAAACAGCTCGACTGTGTTTCTGGAGAGACGCTCAGGTGCACAGTCTGCAGCGTGGGGAGAACTGAACAGAGAATTTGAGGTGGGAACTGCCCGTAGTGAAGAGTGTGAATGCCTGGGTCTTTTCAGTGAGGGACTGGCTGTGCCATCAGAGATCCTATAAGTGTGAAAATTGTCCAGATTTGGTTTTTTGTCCATCATTGGAGAAAACTGCCTCCAACAGGAGTACAAAAGCATGCCATTAAACAATTTAACTTTGTTCAGACACAGTGGCCAAGTTACAGGCAGAATATTCATGGGCATTGACTGACTTTGAATAGTTCAATGAGAATATTAGTATTTAGCCAGCTGAATTATTCTGAACTGACTCAATTTTCAGTTCTGATTCTGAGTTTACCACGGTATCTTTCAGCTTCCATTTTAACATGTCTGGTATGTCCGGCATTTATTGGACTTAAATATGGTCTATGCCTTAGGTATATGGCCCCAAAATATCAGGATTGTTCTGGAATTTATGTATCTGTTTCCCAGATTCCATGGATCTTGTATTTTGGCAGTAGCCAAAAATAGAGTATTTTTTACATCTGAGGGGTTTGGAAAAGGCTTGTCATTTGGTGGGGGGGGGGGACACGAGGCTAGGTCACCTGTCTTGAATCTGCATTAGCACGGCAGCAGGTGTGTTTATTTGCAGTCTGAGTGAAGAGCTGTTGTTCCTGTTTGTTTTCCATTTAATCAGTCCTTCATAAATGCTGAACTTTGAGGTCAAAGGCATGGTAATTAGACACAACCTGAGCTTTGCACTCCACAGGAAGTAATGGAAACCGAAAGTTGTTCCTGGACTTCAATGTGACTTCGTTAATAGTTAATAGCTCTCACGTGGTTCAGATTCCCTGGTTCCCTCGAGCTCTGGGGAATCCCATGGAGGAGTTCCGTGGGTCTGATTGTGATCTGCCCAGTTCACACCTGCAGTCCGAGACAGATTGCCACTGACCTTTTTCTCCCAAATTTTCAAGATAAGTGTAAGTCTCCTTATCTTGTATAAGTGTCAGCTGCATACGTGTAAGATATCTTAAGTTCAAGATAGGAGTATCAGATGTCTTGGGGAGTTACATTCTTGTGTGCTCCTGGGAGTCTGAAAAGTTCATTTCTTAGGGTCCTTAATTCACCTATATTCTTGAACTGAGGTCGATAAATCTTTTGAATAAGTTTCTTCCAGCGAGAAATTTAAATTTCTGTCTCTGCAGCAGCTTTTTTTCAAATATTCCATTAATTGGTGATGGCTAAGGGCATGGATATTTTAACCACAATATTATAATAATTTCCTTCAGTCAAATCCTACGGTGAACCAGATGTGAAAAATTCATGTCACAGGCCCTCCTGATCCGTGCTGGGGTGGAAGCTGCTGAGCACAACGGGCTCCGGTCCTCGGGGCTGTGTGGCGACAAGGACAGCGGCACACTGGCTGTGTGATGTTAGGCTGGGACTGATTGCAGGTGGCCCAGTGACCCAGCTTTACCATGTTTACGCAAACTTGAAATGCCCTGCTCTAAGCCCTGGTAGTTTCTTAGCCTAGCCGGTAGGTCAGAGTCGTTTGCCTGAAGACTCCTCCCACCGTAAAGCGAGTGAGACAGGTTCACTACCACCCGCGGGGTGCCGGCTGGGTGTTCCGCTGTGGACTTGTGCATTTCTTCCTCTGTCCTCCTGTACTCTCAGGGCGTCAGGCCCTTCCCTGGATGTCACTACACACCGTGGAACCGTAGTAAATTTCCAGGCCTGCTTTTGGACATAGTCTAGCCTTTATTAAACCCGGGGGGAACTTGGTGAGAATGCAGGTTCTCTGGGCTCACTTGAGACCTACAGAATCAGAAAGTCCGGGCTGGCCCAGCCATTCATGCTGGCACAAGCCCTTCGTGGTGATCCTGGTGCGTGCTAAAACAGGAGAACCGCTGACCTAGGGCAGCCCTGTCTGTCCCGATGCAGACCCTTCTGCGAGTGAAATGGAGCTCTGTCAGCTGTGATTCTGGGCAGTCGGACTCTCTAGGCCAGTGAGGACGCACGGTCACTCTTCTTCACAGCCTTCTCGCCTCCTGGGAGAGATTCTGCTGTGCTGCCCCGGCAGAGGCGGGGTTGGTCACCTCCCTTCACAGTTCTGGCCTGGGGGACACACTCCGCCAGTGCTGCACTGCCATATGGACAGTCACCCTGTGTGTTGTCCTCATCTTGCTCTCTCCTGAGGCCATCTGAGCCATTCTCTTTCTGTCCCTTCTATTCTTTGAGTTATAAGATTAATATACGCTTTTTGAATAAAGTTCAAACTAAAATCTGTATGGTAAAAGTCTAATTTGTTATCGCCCCGTCCTCACTTCTCCTTTCTAGAAGTAATCACTATTACTGAATTACTATCATCTTCCTAAATCTAGAAACCTACACACACACAAATGTGTATATTTTTTTCTTAACAAAAGGAGAAAATAATGCACACGTCCTGAAACTTGCTGTTTTCCCTAACCAATATTGTACATTAGGTCACGTCCCCGGGGCAATTGTCAGAGCGACTCGTGTGAGTGACCGTCTTAGCCGGCCCAGCCCTTGCTCATGACCCAGGGCTTCCAGGCAGGCGTGGGTACAGGCCAGGCGCAGACAGTCCTTGCTGGAGGAGTCCCCAGCCGCTGGGCACAGCTTCCAAAGAACATCACTTTCTTCCATATCAGGACATTATCAACACGCTTAAAATACATCGTTACATATAGACTGACATTGTCATTTATAAATGTGTTTCTGGCAGACTTTTACTGCAATTTTTAATTTGTTTGCAGGAGTAAAATTAAACCTTGGGACACATCTTTTTAAATGTTTTGGGTTGCCAGACAAGTTCTGAACAATATGTACAGAAACTTTTTCCTCAAAAGAAGCCTTTTCTGTTTGGGGGATCCCTAGTTTTATCGTCTACTAGTTACACAAATAGAGAATGTCAGTGTGATTACCTCCCATCCTCCATCCAGCCATGCCCCTGACTCCGTACTTTCTCAGATTATTTACAAAAAGCAGTTAAGACAGATGAGATCTTTCCTGACATTTTAAAATGAGGGACTCTGTTATCTGTTAAAAACCTTTGGCGTCCTTTGCAAGGGGGTCGTATCAAGCTGGAGTCCTCGCTGCTCCCTGAGCCACAGGCTTGCTGGCGGCCTTCTCCCTCCCACTCCCGCTTCAGTCCGTTGAGCCCTGCTTCAGTACATTCATGACTGATCGCTCCTGATACTTTAACTTCTCCAGGAGTTTTGTTATTAAAAACAAGCATTAAGTATCCTCGTACACACATCTGTGTGCCCTTCACAGGTGCTTCTTTAGGACACACAGAAGCAGATATTCTGGGTAAAAGAGAAGGTAGATTGATAGATGTTGCTAAGTTGCTGTTCTAAAAGATTGTGCCAATTTATATTCCCACCTGTTTTTCCATGACATCTAGAGTACAGGCCATTACTAATTTTTAAAAAATGCCAATCTCACACTAAAAAATAGCCTCTCATAGTTTCAGCTGCTTTCTTTGATTTAGAGAGGTGGATATATCAATGACCGCAGAACTTCGCTTGTCAGTCCTTTTGGCCGAATGCTGCTGTCCAAGAGGACAGCTCGCTGTGCGTGCCCGTCGGTCCCTCAGTTACTGTCAGTGCGCGTCGTGAGGCCTGCACCAGCGCCATGCGGAGTGCTTCTGCGATGCTCCATCCAGCAGTTCTGTTGCTAGTTCTTGTTGGGTCTAGTGACCACTGGGTAGAATACGTGGACCTCAACGCCAGTGGCATCCCTCACTGGTTTTTAATACGCTTTCTTACTTAATGACCTTGACTTAGAAGATAACGATCTCGTTCAGCAGCTGTATCCAGGGTCCACGTAAGAAAATTTGGGCTGTATGATACTGATATTTCTGTGGTTCAGCACAGCAGTATACTGCTAACAAAAACGACCACCGTGAAAGTGACATTTAGGTCATAGCAAAGGGTCTGCAAGCTTTTTGAGTTTCGATTACATTACGTTTTGGGCTAGTTGAAGCAAATCCCTGGAATTAGAAGCATTATCCCTGGGAAATGCCGTTTTGGGTGGTTAACTTTGGAGATTCTCTCAGATGACTAGGAAGAGTCTGGGATCCTTTTTGGCAGCTTGCGGATTTTTTTTTCCTAATGTCTCTAAAATCTTCTTGATCCCTTAATTTGGGTGTTCTTTCCCAGCCCGGGATCCTTTCTAAATCAACTTTATTAAAGTATAGTTTACACACAATAAAATGTACCGATTTAAAATATATAGCCCAGTGAATTTTGTCAAACATATACAGCTGTGTGAACAGTACCCCATTCAAAACATAGGACATTTCCATCCCCCCAGAAGGCTCCCTCACATCCCGTCCCGGTCAGCTCCTGCCCACCCTGCTCTGGTGGACTAACCTGTGACGAGACCGAAGCTCATATGTGTGGGGTCCTACCGTTTGTATCCTTTTAGTCTGGTTTCTTTCCTCAGTATATTATTTTTGAGATTAATCCATGTGTGTCTATCAGTAAATTTTGCCCTTTTAATTTCTGAGTATTCTGTTATGTTTCATACCGTAATTTGTTTATCTGTTCATCTGTTATTAGACATTTTGGTTTTTCTCTTTTTGGGCTTTTATAAATAAAGATGCTGTGAAGATTTACAGATAGGTCTTTCGTGGGCGTATGTTTTCATTTCTCTCGGGTAAGTGTTAGGACTGGAAGTGCTGGGTCAAGTAGTAAGTTGTATTTTTAACTTAAGAAGAAACTGCCAAACAGCTTTCCAGAGTGTTTGTGCCGTTTTACGTTCCTGCTAGCAACGTGCGAGAGCTCTAGTTGCTGCACATCCGTGTCAACACTGAGTATCGTCTGCTGCTTTGCTGTATAGTTTTAGCCGTCCTCATGGGTGTGCGTGGCACCTCGTGGTTTTAATTTGAATTTCCTGAGTGAAGTCTTCTGATGAAGAATGTTCTTGAGGTTTTCTTTAATTTTGGTACATTTAATTTTTCTTTAATCATTCTATAGTCGTGTATACACTAATGGAAAGTCACCTGTTGTATTTTAAATTTTTCCTCTAGGTTTCTTTAAAAGTGCTTGAAGACAGTAATTCAAAATGCCTGAAAATCCTGCTGCAGGTAGTCTGCATATATGCTTCTATCACTACATGAGTTAACAACTCAAAAACAATATGAGATGGGGTTTAACTTGTGCTCTGATTGTCCTTCTCCAAACAAGACAAACTGCAGGTCCTGCAGGTTCTCGATCGCCTGAAAATGAAGTTGCAGGAGAAGGGCGACGCGTCGCAGAACGAGAAGCTGTCTGTGTTTTATGAGACGCTGAAGAGTCCTCTCTTCAACCAGATCCTCACGCTTCAGCAGTCCATCAAGCAGCTGAAGGGGCAGGTCAGTTACCCATCAGGGTCTACCGTTGATTTGTTCAAGCCAGCAAAGAAAGATGGGAGGAGACAGAGACAGACAAACTGTCTCTAAATACTCTGAATTCGTCAACGAGGCTGTCTTGGCCCTTGTGACCTGTGGGTGGCCTTGACATGGACAGTTTAAAAATGTTGATAATAAATTTTGTGTTTGGCTTTGGGATATGGTTTTTGTACTTAAGTTATTTAAATGTGTAAAGGTCAGATGCTTTGAGAATTCTCAACGTTTTCTTCAAAATTATAAAATAGTGTTTAGCTTAAATATATCTCCTTCGTGAAGTCTTTTTTTCTAGCAAGCGCTGGACACGCCCTTGTAGCACATTGCTTATTCCTCTCAATAGTTATCAGATAGCTATCAAATGTCGTGAGTGTTATGATTAGAAAGCCATTGGAAACGGTGTACCTGGTGTTATCGCTGTGTCCTCCACCACATAGAACATGTGCCTGGACTCCTGCAGGACTAAATGGTGGCTGTTGAACTACGGGACATGTGGCACCACTGCTTAGAGTGAGGTAGATTAGTCGTCTTAACTGTCCGGTTGGTTGCTGTGTTCTGGGGTCAGGGATGGCAGATTGATTTTAAATCATCTGATCTAGAAGCTGAGCTTGAATATTAGCTATCCTGTAGATAAATTTGGGGAGAATTTTAAATGTAATTGGAGATAACGTAGCAGAGTTGTTAAGTGAAAATTAAGAAAATTTGGGAAAAAATGTTTTACTGATAAAATGCCTGCCATAAATATTTAGTGAGTGATTTTTTTTATAACTAATTAAGGATTAAACTCTGCACATATGTCTGTTCCTAGATCAGAATTTATGCCATAATTTTATCACTCCCCATGTCGAAGGTTAGTTTTCTGTGGTGCCTGGTCATGGAATGAGTGCCACATTGCAACAGTGAATGCTACTGGAGGCAATGGAAATTGGAGAAGATCACCCCAAATCTGTCACTCTTACTGGACTAAGAGTGGACTTAACCCACCACTCCATTATAATGACAGTCTTTTGTGTTTATATAGTTTGCAGTTATGTGCATAATTGTATTTTGTCCACTCACTATAAACCCCTGTGATTTTTTCCTGTGGCTGTTTGTGTAGAGTTTCTGTGGTGGTGATTTTTTCTCTGAGGTCCTATTGACATTCGTTCTTGATGTTACCTTTATTCCACTGTGTTGGCACTTGTATCAGCCAATGATATTTTAAAAATTAACCTCTGTTTTCCTGTTCCCCGTAATTACAGGAGTCTCCCTTTGTTACTAATATTTAAGTAGCTCTGCGAACCATTTGCTGCTCATCTTGGGCAAGTTGCTTAACCCCTGTGAGCCTCAGTTTTCATGTTCACAGTTGAAACACTAGAATAGGGCCATCGGAAGGATTAAATGGATAGTATGTAAGAGTTTGGGTTTAGTACCTTGCTCGTAGCACGCATCAGTACACAGTGCCGTTATTGTTATTTTTCTTAACACTACCTGCACATCCTCTGTGGCGCCTACGTTGAAGTTTACAGATCAGTGTAAAAGGGCTCAGCATCTTACACGCGTGTTAAATGACTGGACAGATGGGGAGAGTGATGAGCTGTCATGCCATTAACTTGAGGTGATAGTAGCAGGCAGGAAACGAGAACACATTTAGCCATTAAGCATTTTGTGTAACACTAACTAAAAAATGATAGCCTTGTAAACACCCAGATTCATGTACATCTCATTTCTTTCGCATGTATATGTTTAACATGCAAATTATGTGTGATGGGCAAAACGTATTTTGCTAAGTAGAAATAATTTCTTTTCTATGGGTTCTGTTGATGATTCTCTTTTGTTTTTCTCTCCAACAGCTCAGCCATACACCCTCAGATTGTTCCACAAACTTTGATTTTTCTAGGAAAGGTTTGTTAGTGCTCACAGATGGTGCCATTACAAACAGGAATGCCCACAGGCCCTCTAGTAACTTGACTGTATCTGGGTTATTTCCTTGGACTCCTAAGTCGGGAAATGAAGACTTTCACTCAGTTATTCAACAGATGGCTCAGGTAAGGTTCTATCTTGTTGTGAGAATATTTAGCTTTATATTGCCTGTTACAGGTTAGAAGAAGAACCTACACTCACCCTTTTTGCCTTAAAATGTGTTACTCTGTGTTTTGTTTGCTTGTGTTTTTATATTATTAGGAGGAATTGGTACTATTTTCTGACCTGTGTTTTGGAAATTTATTGGGTTAAAATTACATAAGGAGCGGGCTGGCCCCGTGGCCGAGTGGTTAAGTTAGCGTGCTCTGCTTCGGCGGCCCAGGGTTTCGCCAGTTCAGATCCTGGGCACGGACATGGCACCGTTCATCAGGCCATGTAGAGGTGGCGTCCTATATGCCACAACTAGAAGGACCCACAACTAAAATATACAACTATATACTGGGGAGATTTGGGGAGAAAAAGCAGGAAAAAAAAAGAAGATTGGCAACAGTTGTTAGCTCAGGTGCCAATCTTTAAAAAAGAAAAAATTACATGAGGAAATATCTGTGTGCATGGTGAGGAGAGCAGATAGACCATGACTCCAATTTGACATGTCTCTGCTCTTGTAGGAAAGAGACTCTTACAGTTTTGACCATAGGAGGAAAATTAATGTGTCTGCCAGGAGTGATGAAACTCCTCTGAAACTGTTTTTAATTTTATATCAGAACAGAATTAATGGGAGTTAGAACTAATGTAATTTGGAAAATCTGGGGAAACATTCAGAAGAGTCGTCATCCAGTTTTATCCCTGATGCCTGTTACAAGTTCAAGGACAGACATTGAGCTTTGGATGTGTTGGTTCTGTGTTTATTCACCTCTCTTTCTAAGTGTCTTAAAAAAATGAATCTTGAATTTAAAAGTTAAAAAGACCTTCAGGTGTGGTAGTTAAATAATGTTCTATACCTAATTGGTTTTTGACTTTATGGCTCTCTCCCCTTAATTTGACTAATTATTATTATTTTTATTTTTTAACTTTATTGAGGTCATAATATTTATAACATTGTGAAATTTCAGTTTTACATAATTGTCAGTCACCATATAAATATGCCCCTTTACCCTTATGCCCACCCCCAACCCCCTTCACCTCTGGTAAGCACTAATCAGTTCTCCTTATCCATGTTTTTGTTTATTTTCTATATATGAGTGAAATCATACAGTGTTTGTCTTTCTCTGTCTGGCTTATTTCCCTTAACATAATACTCTCAAGGTCCATCCATGGTTTTGCAAATGAAACGATTTTGTCTTTTTTTATGGCTGAGTAGTATTCCATTGTGTATATATACCACATCTTCTTTATCCAATCATCAGTTGATGGGCACTTGGATTGCTTCCAGGTCTTGGCTATTATGAACAATGCTGCAGTGAACATAGGGGTGCATAAGTCTCTTTGAATTGTTGATTTTAAGTTCTTTGGATAAATACTCTGTAGTGTGATAGCTAGATCATATGATATTTCTATTTTCAATTTTTTGAGAAATCTCCATACTGTTTTCCATAGTGGCTGTACCAGTTTGTACTCCCACCAGCAGTGTCTGAGGGTTCCCTTTTTCCACATCCTCTCCAACATTTGTTACTTTTTGTCTTGGTGATTATAGCCATTCTAACAGGTATAAGGTGATATCTCATTGTAGTTTTGATTTGCATTTCCCTGATTTGTGATGTTGACCGTATATTCATGTGCCTGTTAGCCATTTCTATATCTTCTTTGAAAAATCTCTGTTCATATCCTCTGCCTGTTTTTTGATCGGGTTTTTTGTTGTTTCATTGTTGAATTGTATGAATTCTTTATATATTTTGGAGTTTACCCCTTGTTGGATATATGATTTGCAAATATTTTCTCCCAGTTGGTGGTTTTTTCATTTTGTTCCTGGTTTCCTTTGCCTTGCAGAAGCTCTTTAGTCTGATGAAGTCCCATTTGTTTATTTTTTCTTTTGTTTCCCTTGCCCAAGTAGACATGGTATTCAAAAAGATCCTTCTAAGGCCAATGTCAAAGAGTGTACTGCCTATATTTTCTTCTAGTAGTTTTATGGTTTCCGGTCTTACCTTCAAGTCTTTGAATCCATTTGGAGTTAATTTTTGTGTATGGCCAAAGATAATGGCCTGCTTTCATTCTTTTGCATGTGGCTGTCCAGTTTTCCCAACACCATTTATTGAAGAGATTCTCCTTTCTCCATTGTACGTCCTTGGCTCCTTTGTCGAAGATTAGCTATCCATAGATGTGTGGTTTTATTTCTGGGCTTTCAATTCTGTTCCATCGATCTGTGTGTCTGTTTTTGTACCAGTACCATTCTGTTTTGATTACTGTAGCTCTGAAGTATATTTTGAAGTCAGGGATTGTGATGCCTCTAGCTTTGTTCTTTTTTCTCAGGATTATTTGGCTATTCAGGGTCTTTTGTTGCCCCATATGAATTTTAGGATTCTTTGTTCTATTTCTGTGAAGACTGTCATTGGGATTCTGATTGGGCTTGCATTGAGTGTGTAGATTGCTTTAGGTAGTATGAACATTTTAACTATGTTTATTCTTCTAATCCATGTGCATGGAATATCTTTCCATTTCTTCATGTCATCATTGATTTCTTTCAATAATGTCTTAGAGTTTTCATTGTATAGGTCTTTCACCTCCTTGGTTAAATTTATTCCTAGATATTTTATTCTTTTTGTTGCAATCGTAAATGGGATTTGTATTCTTGAGTTCTCTTTCTGTTAGTTTGTTATTATAGAAATGCAACTGATTTTCGTCAGTTTATTTTGTACCCTGCAACCTTGCTATAGTTGTTGATTTTTTCTAATAGTTTTCTGATGGATTCTTTAGAATTTTCTGTATATAAAATCATGTCTTCAAACAGCCGGAGTTTCACTTCTTCCTTGCTTATTTGGATTCCTTTTATTTCGTTTTCTTGCCTAATTGCTCTGGCCAAAACCTCTGGTACTATCTTGAATAAGAGTGGTGAGAGTGGGCACCCTTGTCTTGTTCCTGTTCTCAAAGGCTTTCAGTTTTTCCCTGTTGCGTATGATGTTGGCTGTGGGTTTGTCATATATGACCTTTATTATGTTGAGGTACTTTCCTCCTATACCCATTTTATTGAGAGTTTTTATCATAAATGGATGTTAGAACTTGTCAAATGCTTTCTCTACATCTATTGAGATGATCTTGTGGTTTTTATTCTTTATTTTGTTGATGTGGTGTATCACATTGATTGATTTGAGGATGTTGAACGATCCCTGCGTCCCTGGTATGAATCTCACTTGATCATGGCGTATGATCCTTTTTTTTTTCCCCTAAAGATTGGCACCTGAGCTAACAACTGTTGTGAGTCTTTTTTTTCTTTCCTTTTTCTTCTTCTCCCCAGAGCCCCCCAGTACATAGTTGTATATTGTAGTTGTGAGTGCCTCTGGTTGTGCTATGTGGGATGCTGCCTCAGCATAGCCTGATGAGCGTGGCCATGTCTGGGTCCAGGATCCGAACCAGTGAAACCTTGGGCCACCGAAGTGGAGTGCATGAACTTAACCACTTGGCCCCAGCGCTGGCCCCAGCGCTGGCCCTGCGTATGATCTTTTTGATGTATTGCTGTATTCAGTTTGCCAATATTTTGTTGAGGATTTTTGCATCTATGTTCATCAGCCACATTGGCCTGTAATTTTCCTTCTTTGTGTTGTACTTGTCTGTCTTTGGTATCAGGGTGATGTTGGCCTTGTAGAATATGTTGGGAAGTGTTCTGTCTTCTTCAAGTTTTTGGAATAGTTTGAGAAGGATAGGTATTAAATCTTCTTTGAATGTTTGGTAGAATTCTCCAGAGAAGCCATCTGGTTTTGGACTTTTATTTTTTGGGAGGTTTCTGATTACTGTTTCAATCTGTTTTCTTTTGATTGGTCTATTCAGATTCTCTATTTCTTCTTGTTTCAGTTTTGGGAGGTTGTAAGAGTCTTAAGAATTTACCCATTTCTTCTAGATTGTCCAATTTGTTGGCATATAGTTTTTCATAGTATTCTCTCATAATCCTTTGTATTTCTGTGGTATGTGTTGTAATTTCTCCAACTGATAATTATTTTTATGTGATGCTTTTGTTGCTTGATTACATCTATGAATTTCTCATGTTGTGAATGCAGCTGTTAACTAAAGCAGTAAAATACTTGTCTGTCACAGGTAGAACCCATTTGAACGGATGGTGGCCTTTCTGTAATCTTTCAAATTATCCTAATACAATGGAGTATTAATGCATCACAATAGAATTAAAAAAAGAACCCTAGAAAATGCAGCTGTTCTGACTTAGGCTAATCACTAAACAGAAAGCAACTTTTTAATGTATCTCATTTGCAAAATACACTTTGCATCAAGAGAATTTAGAGATATTCAGTGTAAAAAGTAATTTGAATTTACTGTGGGAAAGCACATTTTCTTCAGGAATTTGCGTCCATCTGGGATTTATCTCGTGAGGTGAATGAAGTGTGGAAATCCCTCTCCGGCTCCCTGAGGCTGCAGAGCACTGCACGTTCCTCCCACGTTCTGCTGAAAATAATCGAGTGAGAGGGTTTCCCGGAATAGTTTATTACTGAAATGCTACGTGTCTTCGGTTTTATCGAGATGACCTAGGAGGAGCTGTTGTTGTATTCGCAAAGGAGCAGTTTCAGTTCCTCAGAAAGGGTGTGTCGGTTCGGTGTCCTTCCCTGCCTTTTCACCCTCCCTTAGGGCCGCCAGGTCGAGTACATCGATATAGAGCGGCCTTCCGCCGGAGGCCTCGGGTTCAGTGTGGTGGCCGTGAGAAGTCACACTCTGGGAGAAGTTGACATCTTCGTGAAGGAGGTCCAGCCAGGGAGCATAGCGGACAGGTGAGGAACGTGTTCATTTTGCGTTTTGCCAATTTTTGTCTGACTGTTCTGACAACAATGCTATAAAGAGAATAGAAACTAGTAATAAAAACAGAACAAGAGCAGCTAATGCTTCCCCTCCCTCTTCCACGCATTGGTCAGGCCGTTGCAGGTGCTCTCACGTATAATTGGGGCAGCGGTGTGGCTCGTGGTCTTGTTAACTGCCTCTTATAGATGAAGACAGAGTTCAGAGAGGTTCAGCAGCGCACCTGGCGTCACACAGCTGTTAATGCTGGAACCAGGATGTGAGCACAGGGTGGTCTGACTACACAGCTCGTGTTCCTCCTCCTCCACCGCTCTCACACGGAACCCGGTGCTTTAGCTGTGGTCTCGTCAGTAAGATGGGAATCTGCACTCTCAGACTATATCATTCATTAAACTTAAGATTACAGTAGCTTTTTTGGTGGTTGTATCACGCTGTTGATTATTTTACTTTTCTTCAATTGAAAGCCCCCTCGAGCCTGTGGGATCCCCCATTGCACTGTGTCTTGGTTTAATTTTTAAGGGGTGTGGAGCCTTGTGCTTTGTCTCTGTTTGATTTCAGGTCTTGAGTTTATTGTTTTTAACAATCACACTGTTCGTTACGTTTACTGCCTGTTAGAATAATAGCAGCAGTAGCAGTGTGATTATGAAAACGTTCTCAATTGGTGATAGAGTTTTGAATTCACATTCTCCACTCATGGGGGATCAGTTCAGGGCTTCCCAACTGGAAATAACAGATTCAGAAACGATGGGTTCCCGTGACCGTGCATCTGCGTTCTGCCACGCAGTGTGGCGTCCCTCACGTGCGTTCTAGGAGCCAGAGCAGCGGTCAGACACGTGTGAGGAGCTCTGTCCTATGCTTGGTGATTGGGTGAACAGAGTTAGGGTAATCGTGTGGCTTACTGTCCAAGCTGGAAAAGTTTTGGGAGCAAGAGGCTGTGCCATTACTAATGACACTGAGACCACAGGTATAAACCAGGAGGGATCTGGCAAACCTGGACAATCCAGGGTGAACCCAGACCTCAGGTCACTCAGTGTTAGCTTGCTCATGGCTGCGCAGTCCCTTGACAAAAAGCCTGTTTAACTTCGGCCCAACTTTTTAATTTTTTTCCTTTTTTTTTTGAGGAAGATTAGCCCTGAGCTAAGATCTGCTGCTGATCCTCCTCTTTTTGCTGAGGAAGACTGGCCCTGAGCTAACATCTGTGCCCATCTTCCTCTACTTTATATGTGGGACGCCTGCCACAGTATGGCTTGAGAAGTGGTGCATAGGTCCACACCTGGCATCTAAACCAGTGAACCCCAGGCCGCCGAAGCAGAACATGTGAACTTAACCGCTGCGCCACCAGGCGGGCTCCCCCAACTTTGTAATTTTTTTAAACTTTAAAAAATTATATTTGGGATATAATTCACATAACATAAACATTGTGATTTTAAAGTGTACAGTTCAGTAATTTTTAGTGTATTTTCAATGTTGTGCGACTTTTTTGTGGTCCGTCATTATGTCTCAGTTACTCTGTACTAATAGGTCTGTGATCGCAAATTGGGGTGGGCACTTCCAAAAGAGGACTTTGCTGTTTGGAAGTGTGCAAAAAACCCCGACCAAGGCTGAGGAGTCAGGTGGCCTCCCAGAGGCGGTGGTGCTTGAGGGAATTTGAGAGGAAAGAGTGGGGTCTGTAGAGAGCAGAGGCTGTCGGGAGAGGAATAACGAGACGCTCTTGACCAGCAGCCCTGTGGGCAGAGGGAACACAGCTCATGTCCTTGGAGTGTGGCTGGTACTTGCCTGGCATGGAAGGTTAGTGCAGGATGGTGTGAGAGGGGCTGGGGCGAGGTAGGGCCAGCCAGGCAGGACCTTCTCGATCGTGCTAAGTGGCCTTCACGGTCAGTTCTTCCTTTCTTCTGAGGACTGTCCACACAGAGCTGTGTCATTGTGGGAGCTTGCCTGAGACCTGTTGGCTCTCAAAGTCATGGGAATCCGTTATTTCTGAACGTTGGGATGGAGAGACCAGGACTGGTCTCCCCTTGGATGCAAAGGTCAATTCAGTTTCATAGTATGGAGGAGTTAAATAATAAATAACAGTAGTGGTAAAACTAATTCTGCTCAATTTTAGAATGCATCAAAATCGTATTTTCCAGGAAACTTCTCTGTAGCTTGTTTATCTTAGGCTGAGTTTATATTCCCTGAGCAGATACTAACTGGAAAGAAACAAGGTGTCCTGGAAGTCTCTTGGGTAGGGAAAGAGGAAGATTACAGTAGATCAATTTCCAGAAAATAGAAAACTTGTGTGTGAGCAAACTAAGGACTGATTTATGCAAAATGAGTTACATCAGAATTGAAAAGATTCAAGAATAACTTATTCCTTTGGGATTAAATAATAAATTTTCCTAATGAACAAGCTGTGAATAGGAATTTTGGTGAAGAAGTTAGAGAAAGGACGACACTGGAGATGGGAAGATGAAAGTGATTCCGGACAGTGTCCTGTAGCGGTCACATTTAAAAATACGTGTTTTGGGCCCTGTGGCCGAGTGGTTGAGTTAGCATTCTCTGCTTTGGCGGCCCAGGGTTTTGCCGGTTTGGATCCTGGGCGCGGACGGGGCACTGCTCATCAGGCCATGCTCAGGTGGCGTCCCACATGCCACAACTAGAAGGACCCACATCTGAAAAAAAAAATGCAATTATGTATGGGCGGCCTTTGGGGAGAAAAAGGAAAAACAATTAAAAAATAATAAAAAAAATAAAAATCTAAAAATACGTGTTTCTTTAGGACTAGGGAAAAGTTCGTAGGCAAGATTCTCAATTTTGAAAATATGTATTTTGAAATTGTGAAAATCATTATGAAAGTGATACATGCATATAATAGAAAATTATAAAATAGAGAAATCTAACAAGGCAAAAAAAGAAAAACCCCAAACCTTTTGGACTTTGACCACCCTGAGACAACTAGGAAATACCCTAGAAGGTTTTCTTTTACTAAAGATAAGGTCATGGAGTACATTCAGTATCTTATTCTTACTTCTTAATATACCATAAGCCTTTCCTAATATTAATAAAAGAATATGAAAGCAACATTTTAAAATGCAACATGATCTATTGTGAGAGCCACCCACAGTTTTGGCCCCCAAAATGGAAATATCCAACTTGCTAGTTTCAAAGGAGAATCTAAAGTGGATGAGTCCCTGTGCTCAGAAAGCCTGAAATCGAACAGGAAGGATTTAGCTGGCTCTGTGGACAGCATCGTTAGTGTAAATGAATATGCCGTGAGTGATAAATGAGCGGTTCGGAGCACCAGTGAGGGAGAGAGACAGCTGGACGGCGAGGGAGGTCTGAATTTGGCTGAGCGGAGTGGAAGGGCATAGAAACGGAGGGAACCGTTTACACAAGAGCAGGACGTGCAGACGTGTCTGAGAGGAAAGAGTAGTTCAGAGTAGCGAGAAAAGGCGTTTGTGAGGCAGGAAGCTAAGCTGGAAGAGTGCTTTGGGGCCAGGTGTAGCCGTGTTTGTGTCTTAGAGGTCAGAAGTTATAAATTCGGGTCCATGACAAAGTTCTGCTGAACCTGCTGTGACCTGAGAAAAATGAGGGCAATAGAGTGGAATTTTCATGGTTCTAAATTTGTGAATTAGAATTCTTCGTTCAGAGATTAATCCCTTCTCAGAGAGAAAATGTTGTTTTATGAGACAATCCTGGCAAGAGTTTTTCTTTCCTTGTTGGTCAATAACTGCAGATAATCATACATTTTTGAGTTGGGAAATACCAGCCTGAAGAAAGCCTAGAAAAATAAACCTTGAGGGATTTTCGAGTTCGGTTTTAGGTATTAGACAAGGAGTCTCAGCTGGACAGTTGACGCTGGGGCTGGAAAGGAGGAGCTGGGTGGATGCAGGAGAGAAAGGAGGGTAAGAGAGAGCGGTAGGAACGGAAGAGGACGGTTCTGGGAGATCCTGGAGTCAGGCAGAAATCAGAGCAAGTCCTACTCCAGCACGCACTTTGAGAAGTCAAAGAGTTTACTTCAGGGGCTGGCCCCGTGGCCGAGTGGTTAGATTCGAGTGCTCCGCTTCGGCGGCCCAGTGTTGTGCTGGTTCGAATCCTGGGCGCAGACATGGCACCACTCTTAGGGCATGCTGAGGCGGCGTCACACATGCCACAACTAGAAGGACCCACAACTAAAATATACAACTATGTAGTGAGGGAATTTGGGGAGAAAAAGCAGAAAAAAAGAAAAAAAAAGAAGATTGGCAACAGTTGTTAGCTCAGGTGCCCATCTTTAAAAAAAAAAAGAGTTTCCTTCAGAATCAGATTTCTTGGATAGGATGCTAAGCTTGCCCGGGCTCTAGTTTCTCACGTGTATAATTTAACTACTTTAAAGGCGACTGAGGATTAAGTGAGATCACGTCGGCAGAGCATTTAGCACAGCACCTGGCTCATAATAAGTGCTCAGTAAAAATTAACTAGAATAGTACCTTTTTTTTTTTTTTAACATTTTGCTAATTTCTTTTAAAAATAGTTCCTTTTACTGGGGTTAGCAGTGGGGAGATTGGGGCAGAGAGTAGGGCTCAGACGTAGATTTGGAAGTAATCCCTGTTGATTTTCAAGGAGAGTGTGGCCTCTATTGACAAACGTTGGAGCAGTGAAGGACGTGGGGCCGGGATGCATCTGCCAGGGGGAGGTTGCTGGTGCGGATCTGCTCACCCCAGGGTGGGACGTGTTGAAGTCAGGTTGGAAGGGTTCAGGAATACAGGGTATGTGCACGGTCCATACTGCAAAACCTTGGCAGTGGGGCCCTTGACATTGTTTTTGCTTATTTTTCTAGACAAAAGTCTTTTAAAATGTGTGTGGGAGTGTGTGTGTGTCAGGGGGTGCTCTACTTAATTGGTTAATTAGCTAATAAATGCTTTGATGACAAGCACTCTGAAGACCTCTGTTATATTATGTAATTATTTGAGTGAGTGTCCTAAATGAAGTAGTACCATAAGAAATAATCTCCTCAACTTGAATAATAGATTTTTTTTAAATCAGACTACTGTATCACTTAAACAATATTTTCTTTTCTGATTTCATCAAGGGATCAAAGGTTAAAGGAAAATGACCAAATATTGGCTATTAATCACACACCACTGGACCAGCGTGTTTCCCATCAGCAGGCGATTGCCTTATTACAGCAAACCACTGGGTCCTTGCATCTGGTTGTGGCCCGGGAGCCAGTCCACACAAAAAGCAGTGCTTCTACCAGCCCACCCGATACAACCCTGCCTGAGACAGTGAGTTGCAAGTTTGGAAAAATACTCAATTTTGAATTACGCCATTGATTTTAAGGAGTGCGAAGACATTTAGAGGGTGTCATTTTACTTGTCAGAGTTTGAAAAAGATAATAATATCTCCAAATGCAGCATTAGCATATTAAATAAGATATTTCATGGAGGGTTTTTTTTGGTTCTTTCCGATAGTTCTCCTTATTTAAGATTATTATTTAATATAGAGGGCAAATTGTAGTATTAGGTATAATTTATTGGGTGATGGAAAGAGTCTTGTGTTCCTTGGTGATGTAGCCAGTTAATTAATTAAGCTGAGAGTTTTTATTAGAGATTTACTGTTGAGTGTCTTAAGTAAGATTTGGTTATTTCAAAAGCATTATTTTTGTAAATTATATTGGGTGTTTATGACTAGCCTATTGATACTGCAAAATTATGGAAGTTTTTCTTTTTTTCATGTAAGGATGTATACTGAGCAATTTAGAAGAATAAAAGTATGTGTCTCTTTTGGGAATCTTTAAACTTGCTTTATAACATTTTACAGATTTTGGCCTGCATCTTTGGAATGCGAGCTAATAAATCTTATTTTCTTATAACACTAAGTGCTAGCTGATGTATTTAATTTTTATTCATTGGGACAAAAGGGAAAATAGACTGTCTGGGTACAGTACAAGGTCACAACAACACGAATTAATATATGGACGTTTTCCCTGTTGTAATCAGTCATATTTATTCAGCACAATTTACATAATAAACAGAATGAACAGAGTGGCGAGTTGTTTGGCCCTGTGGTTGAGACCCAGGGCTCTGTACTCAGACTCAGGAGTGGGGTCGAGTCCGGCTCGTCCACTCCCAGCCGTGCCACAGTGGGCGGGTTTCCTGACTTCTCCATACCTCAGCTCCCTCGTCTGTTACTTGGAACCAGTAACAGTGTCTGCTTCACAGAGATGTCGTGAGGACTAGTGAGAACGCACGTGGAGAACTCAGCACAGTGCCTGGTGCCACGAATGTTAGCTGCTCTCACTAATTCAACTATATTTTTGCACACATTGCTGCTGCCCAGGTATTAGATATTGTTCCAGACGTGAATTTATTAAATATTCCCAATATTTCTGGTCATTTTAACATTGCACAGTAACTTTCCAAGTTAGTGTAATGGAAGAACTAAGTAGTAAGTACGGCCTGGTGATCTTGAGAGGGCGAATATTGTCCTGCAGTTGGATTCTGCGAGTTTGGTGCGCGTTTCTGATGGAAGCCTGCCAGTGAGAGGGAGACACTCGTGTCTTTTCTGACTTGTGTCGTCCTATTGCTCTATCTTCAGTCGGGCCTGCTTTCCTCTCCCTGGTAGGAGTCTCCTGAACTGGTCTCGGCACCTCGTGTCCTTCTCCCCATCCGACTTCATGTTGCTGCCAGGTTAGCCTCCTGAACCGCCGCTGTGGCCCGGGCTCCCTCCTCTCAGACTGCCCTTCCTCCCACTCGCTCCTCCGGCCAGCTCCGCTCAGACAGTCCCTCGCGCGTGAATGCCTTCTTCTCTGCAGAGCAGTTAAAATGCCTTCTCTCCTTCATGCTTCCCATAGTCACTCACTGGATTTGACTGCTCGCCTCCACCCTCACAGCTTTATAGTATTTTGTGATGCTCTTCCACTTCAGATACGATGTAGCTCTTGGTTCCTACGGTGTGCTGTGCACTATGCCAGATGTTGGGCGTGGATGGGGCATGAGACTGTTCCGTCCTCTTAGGATCACAGTGTCCGATGATCCAGGATTCGGCCCTGTGTTCCAAGTTCTCTCTCTACTGGCTTGTAAGACCCTTAGGGGCAGGGACCATGTGATCATCTTTACATATCCCCTAGACTCTAGAAACTGCCTTCGTTAATTGTAAGAAGGTTTCCTTCGTGGTGTCTCTGTTGCTTTAGTGATCGCCGTGTTGAGAAGCTAAGACTGTTGCTAACACTCTGACTCTTCCTTGCCATGAATCTGTAGGTTCGCTGGGGCCACGTTGAAGATGTTGAGCTCATTAATGATGGCTCCGGCTTGGGCTTTGGCATCGTCGGAGGAAGATCGAGTGGCGTGGTTGTGAGGACGATAGTTCCTGGAGGGTTAGCAGACCGAGTAAGTTGACCTTCTTTGTTTTTGTTTGGTTTTATACAATTTAAGTTGTATGGCTTGAAATGTGATTTTGTAACATGGGTTACTAGGATATGTGATTCCACAACTAGAATTTAAGTAGATCTAAAAATTTTTTTTCCATAAATGTTAATGTACATTCATTCTGCTTTACTTTAGATATTTCCTAAAGCAACATTTTCTTCTTTCTTTTTTTTTTTTTTGCCTGTGATTGGTGGTCTTCTTGATTCCATCAGAGGATGATATTTTTTATTGAAAAGAACTGTTAATGGATATTGTATTCTGAGTGACTGTATTGTTCTCTCCAAGGTTATCTTCCAAGGGCCTAAATGTTAAAATCAGATGGTACAGTGATTGTAAACATGTGCAATGTTGTACATGGTAAATTTCACTTGAATTACAGTTTTCTAGCGTCATAAATCAAATGACTTCACTTCATTATTTAGCTGTGTTTAAACTGAAAGTGTGCCATTTTCAAACTTATTAACTATTTCTGCTTAGTTTTACACTGAAGAAAATGTTAAATTCTACATTTAGTTTTTAGAAAGTGGTTTAGAAATTTGGCTATGAAGTCACTTCGTAATGAGCTCAGATTATATAGACTGTCTGTGATAATCAGAATAATAAGTAAATTTCACTGACTAATATCCAGTTACGTATAAATTTATCCATTCTAACAAACACGTCAAGTGAGAATGAACTTGCTGTGCAAGCACAGCTTTGAGACGAGTCCTCAGCTCCTCATTTAACCAGCATCGCACCACCTTATACAGTGTGGAGCCGCGAACATTCCTACTCTCCCTTCAGCATCCAAGTGGGTGCATTTAGAGCAGTGGCTCTCATGGTTTTGTCTCTGGACCCCTGGGGGTACCTGAGTCTCTTGCAGGGGTTCTGTAAGCTCAAGACAAGTTCTCTAATAATACTGAGATGTTATGAGCCTCTCACTGTGTCAGCATTTGCACTTATGGTGCAGACACAGTGGTAAACTGGACCCGTGGTGCCTTGGTGCGAAACGGGGCAGTGGCTTCAGTCATTGCATTCTTCTTCGCCATGTGCTTGCCACAGAAAAAGAAGCAAAACGCCAGAATCACTTAAGAAAATGCAGTAAAAATTATTGGTTTTAGTAAATTTTGACCTTTAAGTGCATGTCTTTTTAATATTGTGTGACAAAATGGGATGTGCCATACGGCACTTCTGCCGTATACTGAAGTATGGTGTTTGTCTTGAGGAAAAGCATTTGTGAGACAAACCAGCGACTTTTTAACATGGAGCAGCATTTTTCTTTTTTCAATTTATTTTATTTTTTTCTCTTATTCAAAAAAGCTTTGGAGATGTAATTAACACACAACGTTATATTAGTTTCAGGTCTACAACATAATGATTTGCTATTTGTATATATTGTGAAATGACCACCACAATAAGTCTAGTTAATGTTTATCACCACACGTAGTTACAAAATTTTTTTTTCTTGTGATGAGAACTTTTAAGGTCTACTCTCTTAGCAACTTTCAAACATACAGTGTGGTGTTATTAATTATAGTCCCCATGCTGTACATACGTCCCCAGCACTTATTTATTTTATAACTGGAAGATTGTGCCTTTGACCTCCTTCACCCATTTCACCCACACCCACCCTCCACCTCTGGCAACCACCAATCTGGAATAGCATTTTTATTTTTGAAAGAATAACTGACAGAAAAATTATGATTATTTAGACTTGACTGTTTGGCAGACATTTTCTTAAAAATGAATGATGTGAGTCTGTTACTTTAAGGAAAACAATTGACAGAATTTATTGGTGATGATAAAATTTGAACTTTCAAGGAAAAAGTTAGAATTTTGGAAAATTCGTGTTTTACCATGAGCTTGAAATTTCCCAGTATTTAAAGACTTGATTAGATTGTTGGTGATGTTGACCTACCTGATTTTTTGATATTATATAATGAAATATGTCAGTATTTGGAAGATGTGCATAACTGTGAATCAATATTTTCTGAAGAACAATGCATGATATAACACAATAATATATGGGTAAAAAATCCATTCAGAATTCAAGACTGATCAATAGATTTTAAAGAAACAGTATCTCAAAGTTTATTGATGTAGTTTAGATTCCACTTTGCAACTGACCTTTAGGAAACCACCACCTGTCAAGTTTTGGTGTGTTATCAACTAAGAATGGGCTGCAAGGGGGATTAAAATGTCCTTGGTTTTCCAGCTGTGTATCTGATTGAGGCCGGACTTTCTTTATATCCTTCAACCAAAACAACATGTCACGACATAGTGAATGCTGAAGCCAATATGAAAACCCAGCTGTCTTCATTAAAGCCAGGCACTAAAGAGATTTGCCAAAATATTTTAAAATACCACCCTTCTCACTATTTTTTTTTGTTTTAGAAAATATAACTTTAAAATAAAAAACATATACATCAATATATATAAATATTTTAAAAATTTCTCGCTGCCATTTTCTAATTCAGCAGATGTCAGCGGAGAGAACCACAGAGAGCAAAGCTCTTTGAGAGTCTCAGTACTGTTTGAGGGATAATTGATATACAATAAATGGCACATATATAAAGTATGCAGTTTAATAAATTTTGACGTGGGTTTACTTTAATTCTGTAGGGCAGACCAGCAGGCCAGACACAGGCCAGAGTTGGTGTTGCAGCCTGGACTCTGAAATTTGTAGGGCAGGTTGGCAGGATTTCTGTTACAGTCTTAAGGCAGAATTCCTTCTTCTCCAGGAAACCTCAGATTTTGCTCTTAAAGTCTTCAACTGATTAGATGGAGCCCAGCCACACTATTGAGGGTAATGTCAACTGATTGTCATGTTAATCTCATCTGCAAAATACCTTCCCAGTAACATCTGGACTAGTGTTTGACCAGACACCTGGGCACCATGACTCAGCCACGGTGACATATAAATCTGCCATCATACCATCTATCCCTGAGTCAAGGGGAGGAATGTATCCTTTGTTCGTGAAACACCCACGGAAGTTTCCCACACCCCTTCGCCATTCCCAGTAATTTCTCAGAGTGTAAAGGGGTTCTGAGACCAAAAAGATTGAGCATGGTCATTTTAACACTTCATATCACTTCATATGGGTCTTTATAACACTTCTATGGCACAAAACAAATAATCATCTTTAAAAAGGGTTTTTTGAAATTTTTTCTAACCTGGGAAGAATGAGATATTGTGGAGTATTTTGATATCTTTTCCCACGTCCCCTCCCCGCTTAGCAATTTTAAAGGCTTGTATGCAGGAGTAACATTTTTCAGCATGCAAAGTGGAGAGAGGCTGTGCAAAACAGAGGGTCCAATAAATTTAGAAAACACCAAGTTAAACAAAATCAGATAGCTCTCTTTACTGTAAAAGTTTTCTGAGCTATTAATATCCTACGGTGCATTATGGCCTTTCACAGGGAACATATGACATGCAGAGTTTCCCAGGTTAATCCCTTTGAGGCCCAGTTGGGAAAAGCCCAGGCCTGACTTTCGCCCTTGACTGGAAGGACTCTTGCTGTTTCAGGGCATCAAGGATGGGGAGGGGTGTGCCCGTCAGAGTCGCAACAGAGAACCAAGGGTTTACGCCAGACGTTGTTATCTGACTATTACCTGTTATTCTCATGTAATCCTTAAAACAGTCATCAACTTTATTCCCAAGTTATAGATATGAAAACTGTTAAGAAATTGCCCAAGGCTACACAGCTGGGAAAGGATGACGTCAGGATTGGGGCCACATTGGTCTGACTCTGCAGCCTGTCCTTTGCTGCTTAAATCTGTTTATCCAAAGTTGATCCTGCTGTTTTCCTGATATGCACCTGTCCGGGGGTGGTCAAGCCCATCATCAGGGAATAGCCAACTCCAGGAGCAACAGAGCTGTATGCTTCCCTGTAGGGAGTACGGGGGGACCTAACAGAGGGCACAGGGCAGCATTCACTCTCTCTTCCCCTAATTATAGCTTTAAAAAGATTAAAGGGGGTGTTGCTTTTAAAGTGTCCTCATGTTCTGAATATTAATGCTCACTGTTGATGGTGGCAGTCTTCATGGTAAGGGAATCTGGACGTCTTAGGTCATTAGTTCAGATGTGACCAAGAATAATAATAAAGTGATAGCTACATTCTGCTAATGGGGTTAATTAATACTACTTTCTTCAAAGACTATAAAATTGTATGATAGAAAGTTAGAAAAGGAAGTCAGTATTTCTTATTTAAAAGGGCTTCATAAAATTGCACCCTATATGTCCTTTTGTGTAGAAACAAGTCAATATGTATAGTTAGAGATGGGAGAGAGTTGAGGGGACGTGGTAAAGAACACTTACCCGAGGTCAGTGCACCTAAAGAGGCCTTGGAAGTGGATGCATTGGAGGACTTGCTGGAAAAGCATAGGCTAAAGATGTTACAGACAGCATTGAGTTTACTGCACACAGCTCCTCAGTGAGAGAGGAATTTATTTCCACTTATTCCCAAGAGGGATCCGAGGTTTAGGGAGGATTAGTAACTGACCTTTGACCTACAGTTTGATCAAAGCAGAGCCAGGATCTGAACTTGGGTGTTTCTGAGTCCACAGCCCTTACTGTCCTTCTGTCTGTCTGCTGCTATACAGTAAATGAAATGTAAAAGTACTGATTTAATGAGCTTTTTGGAAACAGTTATTGAGATCTAGTGACAGTGACCGAGCAGTAGGTATAGTCAGGGCCAGTTCCATGGGTAGGGCAAGGGTGGACCCACCTGCCTGGCGTCCTCAGCACTCCAGAATGACAGTGCCCGAAGCATATGTCTTTTGAGAATTCTGCTCAACTATGGCAAAAATTTCTAAAATTTTCAGCAGCTAGAAGTTTGGTGTCTTTTTTTGAAATTGATAATGAGCAGTGTAAAACTTTGTTTTGCAAGATCCCTTTCATGTGCTCTGGAGGAATTCTTGGGAAATCAGTGCTGACTGACCCCGTTGTGTCTAGAAGGTGCCGCTGGACACGGCCCCTTCAAAAGGTGTCCTGAGTTACTGCCCTTTTGGTGTGAGGCAGTTGTATTGTGAGTCAGACTATCGATCCGGTGACTGTGAATGCTCAGAAGGGTGGAAGCAACGGGGACTGGAGGCTGGTGTGGACGCTCAGGGAGGTTCAGTGAGAATGAGCAGGGCCCAGTGGGGCCGCTGGACTGTTGGTTGTTGCCGGCAGTTGTGCTTTGAGCAAGTCTCAAAACAGACGCGTTCCTCCTCCTTCACGACTGTTCCTTCTCCTTAACTGTCGGTCGACGAGGGCTCTGGGAATTTGAGTAGGACGGGCAGATGTGTTTAGTGCTGTCCTTTAATTCCTTGAGGGAAAGAGTGTTTATTTTATTTTCTGCCAATGACATATTGCCTTTTGATTAAAGACCACTGATAGAACTGGCCTGGAATTAAAACTAGTGATCGTTTTCTGAGTTGGGGAAGTATCTGGTGCCAGTTTTTAGTTTTCAAAGAAACAATCTGATTTCTTTATTTCTTTTGTAGCTCAGGCCAGAATTCCTTTATTTTTATTTAGTTATTTATTTTTTTGGTGAGGAAGATTGTCCCTGAGCTAACACCCGTGCCATTGTTCTTCCGTTTTGTATGTGGGATGCAGCCACAGCATGGCCCGATGAGTGGTGTGTAGGTCCGCACCCGGGATCTGAACCCGCAAATCCTGGGCTGCCGAAGCCGAGCACACAAACTTAACCACTACAACACTGGGCCAGCCCCATGGTTTTCAAATATTGAAATTATCATCCACCCAGCCTATCAGAGAACTGAAAATGCAGAGTAATGTATATTCTTTTTAGCTAATAACTACTAATAATGTATTTTTTTAAACCATATAAATGATACTGTTAGTGTTTTCACTGTAATAGTGTGTTGTCCTGTTACATCAGCTGTTTTAATTATTCTGCCTTCCTTACTATCTTTGCCCATATGCATAATTTTTTTTCTCTTTTGAAAGAGTATGGGTTAATAAACATTTATATTTGGATGTTTGATTAGCACACTGTCTATGCATCTTGGCACAGCTGTTTATTTGCTGTCATTGATTTATGATTTCTGTTAAAGAACAAAAAGGACTCTTTGCCTTTTAGTTTCCTTGCACAGTAGACAGGTTATGGAAGGAGAATGTCAATCAGAAAATATCAATAAAAATCAGCACTTGCGGCTGCTGGTCTTAAACGAGGTAGCTGTCATTTTGGTGTCTTTCCTATCAATCTGACTATGATTGTTTTTGCACTTATGAATTCCTTGGAACACCTGTTTTTCTGGAAGAAGAAAATGTTTGACTTTCGGTGACAGATGCAAATTATCTACATCATTTTAAATGGAGTTGAGGTAAAATAGGAAAAAAATAGTGCCTAGGAAGTGATTAAATATGTACTGACGGTGAAATGCCCTTTTTTGGCCAAGCCGAGTATGAAAACATGCATTAGACATGATCTTTATTCTTTGTTCAGGCTGTAGTTCTGTTCAAGGATGGTTTGAGTCACAGAGGCCGCTTCACTCTTGTTTGTGTCACGACCATGGACTTTCTCTTAAGTAGTTGCTTGTTTTATTTCCAATTTGTTGGCTTGATAAAAATGGAATATCACATTATCAGTGCTCAAAGCAGAAATCCAGCAATTCTTTATCCTTTTCCATCCTAATTTCCTCCTCACATCTGTTTTTCCCTCTGAGTCTTTCCGCATGTTTCTGAGTGGAATTGCGTTTCTGTTTCCTGGCTCTTTGGCTGCCTTCTGCAGAGCTCACAACAAAGCACTTAGCTGTCTACTCGTCATTTTGATCTAATGCCTGCCTTCATTCAGGTTTCTGCAAAATCAGAGAAGAGGAAGGATGGGGAATAGACTTTGTAGTTTTAGGGCTTTTTTCCCCCTTACTTTTTTCTTCTGAATTTCATCTGTGACTTAGAGGTGGTGCCTCCTGGAGCCAGGAATATGGCGGTTAGAACGACACCAGCCCAGTCGGTGCCCACTGCTCCCCCCTCAGGCTGTCCTCTCCCAGCTGCAAAATAGAGATTTTTCATCTTCACTTTATTCAAGTTTTTTGACAGTTATGGCAATTTCTTGGAGAATAGGGAAACAGTGAATTTACTGTCTACTAATGTTACTCTGGAGATTTCGAAGTATAAGGAAGTGACTACGTGAGGACAGGTCTTCAGGAGACAACTGATGTTGAACTTTGGTTCTGCCGTTTATTAGCTTTGTGACCTTGGGCAGGTCAGTCACCCTTTTTGAATCTCAGTTTTCTCATTTGAAAGTTTTCCTTCTCTGAAGGAGATCATGTACGAAAAGTCATGTTCAACCTGTAAAGTGCTCTGCAGGTGTAATTTCTTGTAACCAGCCACGTTTACATTCTGGTATTTTAAATACTGTAGTAAAGATAAGTAAAGAGAAGGCAAAATTTCTGATGGAAAAAATTCAGTGAAAAAGCAGGTTGATCAGCTTTCAGAAATTTCACAAATGAAGATAGAATGGAAAGGATACACATTTTGAACTGATACACTTTTGCTAATTTATTTTTTAAACTCTGTGTATGAAATGTATATATGTGTAAAAGTGTGTATAATGTCTGTACTCATTTTAAATAATAATAACAGTCACCAATGTACATATCCCCAAGTTTAAGAAATAGAACATTTTAAATTATAACAATAATGGTCATAATCACCAATGCACATATCACCAGTTTAAGAAACAGAACATTGCGTATCCTTTCTCTAAACTCCAAACTCATCCGGAATCGGGACTTTAAATACCTTCTGTATGCTAATGACTCCCAAATTTAAATGTGTAGTCTGGACTTCTCTGAACTGCAGATCTGTGTGTCCAGCTGCATTGCTGATGTCTCCACTGGCATGACAAATAGGCATCTCGGACTAGACGTGTCTGGAACTGGCCTCCTGGTTTCCGTGCCCCCCATCTGTTCCTCTGTGGTCTTCTTTATCTCAGTTAATAGCAACTCTGTCTCTCCAGGTGCTCAGGCTAAAAACTTGGAGTCTTGCTTCCTTTTCCCCCTCACACCCCACATGGAAACTACCAGCAGAGCCTGTTGATGGTTTATAGAAATACACCTAGGGTCTCGCTTCTCAGCACCCCCTGTGCCGGCCTAGTCCCAGCTGTCATCTTTTCTAGGTTATGGCTTTAGCCTCCTGACTGGTGTCTCTGCTCTCTCGTTTCCTCTCCTGTGGTCTATTTTCAGTACAGAAGCTTGAGTCATCTTGTTAAAACTCGGTCAGATAATATCCCTTCCCTGGTCATCACCCTCCAGTGACTTCCCTTCCCGATCACTCAAGCAGATTGCTCCACACCGCTGACCCAGCCAGTGTGCTCATCGCCCCTTTCTCTTTCTCTTCCAGCCGCACTGACTCCTTGCTGTTCCCTAAAGGTGCCCTGAGCTTGTTGGCCTGTAGCGTTGCCACCTTTATGCCTGGGGCTCCTGATCTGACCCCCTCCTCCTCTGGAGGCCCAGGGCTCTCCCACCTCTTCCTTCTGTGCGTGACCATTGATGTCCTGGCTCCAGGCTGTTAGGCAGGAAGGGGTATCCTCACGTACATGCCTGTTTTAGAATTCCAGTTACTCCTCTCCGTTGAACACCACCCCCCCATCTTTTTTTTGTTTTATAAGGACTTTCTTTTCTCTGTTGCCAATTCAGCCATTCATTAAAAATGTTGTCTTTTATTCAGCATTTATAGATGGCTTCTTTGTCTGCTATTTTGCCAGAATTGAAAGTCCGATGAATTGTTAACTGGTGAAGTTAGATCATTGATTTTTCAGAATGGTTTCGTTTTGATCTTGAACTAAAGGATGGAAGACTCCAGACTGGTGACCACATCCTGAAGATTGGTGGCACAAACGTGCAGGGAATGACCAGTGAGCAAGTTGCACAAGTGCTCAGGAACTGTGGGGATTCCGTCAGGATGCTTGTCGCAAGAGACCCAGTTGGTGAAGTCTTTGTAACCCCGCCCACCCCCTCCGCCTTACCTGTTGCTCTGCCTGCTCTAGCCAACAGCGCCCCGAGCTCTGTGAGTATACAGATCGTTCATTCGTCGTAAATGCAGGCGTGAGACACTGCAAGATTGGAAATGGCTTCAGCTCCAGGTCCCCGTGGGTGTGAGTGGTGTCTCAGTGCTCGCCGGTGAAGCAGAGGAGAACCCAATTTGGAGACACTGGACAAGTTTGATTTTCTTTTTTGCTGTTTTCCAGGGTTAAGTCACTTAACCCTCCCTGAGCCTCAGCTGCTCATCTGTAAATTGGAGAGTAATAATTCTTGCCATTTCTATTTCATTGGAGTGGCGAAGAGACATCCAGATAGTGGAGGGGAAACTGTAAATACTGGTCAATGTAGGAGAGTTATCAGTGATAGGAACAGAGTGGCCAAAGGGAATAGACCTTAATCATGATAATATTATGATTAACAACAATCATAATAATTATATAATAATAATTATCATTACTATTAATTGATATCAAGCACCTGGAATTGTCCAGGTCATCTGAAGTCCTCACGGGAATTCTGCCAGATTGGTCTTACCAACGTCTCATCAGGAGAGGTCTTGCTAAGGTCTTAATAGTTTCCTCATCTAAGACCTGCTAACAGACGAGGAGGCTAAAGTCCAAATAGCTTGTTGAAGGTCACCTGGAGAGTAAGTTGCGAAGCTGGAATTTGAATTCGGATCTTTCTGGTCCATTCCAAGCTTTTGCCAACTACCTCACCGGCTGTGCATCAAGTAGATGATCAGACAAAAGGAAAGAGAGTTTTTGAAAGGAGGGGCCGGGAGGAAGAGGACAGAAAAGAGAAGCGACTGTGGTGGGAAGGGGGTGGAGACCACCGTTCATCTTGCCTTTCCCGACTGGGAACTGTTCGAGTGGAAGTTTCTGTCTGAGATACTAGAGCCATTTTTGTTTTCGTTTCCGACCTCAGGTTACAGCCGTTTTCTTTGCCCTCCGTTCCCCTCGTTCTCTGGAGCCTTCTACCCGGCACTGAGGGACCATGTCGCTGTGTGCTAGATGAGAATTTCATGCGATTAGTTATCTTATAATGTTAATGTTTTGAATTGAAAGCCAGGTGTTCTGTTTTTAGACACCTTGCTCTTTACAGAAACGTTTTAGCTTAGAAGACAAGTAATGAAAATAAGTTCTAGGTCAATATTTTTTGCTCACAATAATTATTACAATAATTAGTCTTACAATTTGTGTGTAAATTTTTCTTTCCATTGAGTTCTTTCAGATTCAAATTTACCCTGAGTGTTTTCTAGGCGGCTGCGTTAGTTTTCTGCTGGTGTGAAGCAAATCGCCACCGGTTTAGGACGCGGAGCAGCCTTCTCTTAGCTCCCGGTGCTCCGGGTCAGAACTCTGGGGGCTTGGCCAGGCCCCCTGCGGAGATTACAAGGCCAGAATCAAGGCCTGGCTGAGCCCTTATCTGGATTCTCTGGGGACGGTCCATTTCTAGGCTCCTTCCGACTGTTAGCAGAGTAAAGCTCCTGGCAGCTGCAGAACTGGTCTCTTTTCTTTGCTGGCTGTTAGCTAAGGACCCTTTCCAGCTCCTTAAGGCCCCTGCGTTCCTTCTCACGTGCCCCTCCATCTTCAGACTCCAAGCCCAGTCCTCGTGCTTCACGTCTTTTTCTGCCACGAGCAGGAGAAAACGTCTCTTTTCAGGGATTCCAGGTTAGATTAGGCTCACCTGGGTGGCCTCCCTCTTGCCTTGTAATGTAACGTAAACCCAGGAATAGCACCAGGGACCAAAGTCATGAGTTCTTAGTCTTAGAATTCTGCCGACCACAGATGCTGAGAAAATACTTGACAAACCACACACAAAGTGACTATGTGCACACGGTTATGTAACTAAACATTATATGTAACTAAAATTATTTTTTCCTTTTAGGACAAATCTGCTCTTTTTGAAACTTACGATGTTGAACTCATTAAAGAAGATGGACAGAGTCTTGGGATTAGAATTATTGGCTATGCTGGAACTCCTAATACAGGTAAGTGAATCATTTCTATTTTATATTTGGAAATAACTGTAAAAGATGTTAAGGTTTCTAGATAGTAAAATTAATATCTGCAAATTTTAATTTGAACATTGAACAATAAAACCAGGACTCTGTGAGAGCAACCAGTTACTTTCCAGTGATTCGAGGATGAGTTTTATCTGAATGGTTTTATGGCTGGCTTGATAGTTGTTAACAAAAGAATCTAATTGTCCGACTCATTGTATAACATTGGATCGAACCTCCTCTTGCTTCCAAGAGACAGATATTTTGAATATTCTGACTGTTACATTATGACATTTTACATGTAATAAAATAGGTACTGCGTATATTTTGTATTATGAATGTCAAAAAAGTATTACTGTTATGTTTAATCACTGGAGAAATAAGATAAAACAAATACTTTAATTACAGTTATTTTCCTTTCATTTAAAGGGGCTATACTGTAAGAGTAAACACATGGCCCGCGTATCTTTGAGTAATCCCCCCTCAGCTCCCGCATGCCAAGCTTTGGTAACTTTCACTGTGAGACTGACTCTATTATTATAAGAGAATCATGAGAGTAAGAAAAAATAAACCTTCTTCCCAAATATCTGCTAGTAACGTGAAAATCCACAGTTATGAAATGTTCTAGTTTTAAAAAATAGCAAGATTAGAGAGTGATTTAAAAAAAATTATTATTTTGCATACTTACAGCAGGTGGAAAGATTAAGAGTGCTAATGTATTCAGAGTCCTGAATGAAATTCATGTCAGACCACCTTGTGCTATTTTAGCCTAATGAAATAACTGCTATCAGACCGTTAGATTTTTCTAAGTGCTACCTTTTTTAGGTTCAGAATTTAAATAAGTTCCGAAAGAGCTGAGTATGGGTCGTATAGTGATGTTGCAAAAAAACTGTATTGAGTAGCTCCCAATATTCTGTCCGGTCAGAGAAATCATGGCTTAGTTTCTAAACTTGTGGCTTATGAACTTTTATCATATTAAGTTTTCAAGGTGTTCTTGTAAACCTAATGACAAATGTACAGGGTAAAATGAAAGTGAATAACTGATAGAACATTGAGAATGTTTGGTGTTTATGTTACCAAATAAAGAAAAGAATCATTTTACTTCTTCACCCTCGAAAGAAGTTTTTGAGGCTGGCTTGGGGGCAGTCGTGAATCCAAAAACTAGAACGTTTTAGAACTCAATATGCTTTTTAAGATGTAGTCTTTCAAAATAATTTCCCCTTTATTCCATTCATTGGAACTTTTGAGCAGTTACTTTAGTGGATTCTGGAAGGGGATAGAAAAATGGATATAAGAAAAGTCTATTCAGGGAGACAGACTTGAAAATAACTCTCAATTGTTCGAGGATAAGTGAAATACGTGTTTCAGCAGAGTTACCATCAAACCATCATCATATGGCATTGCAGGAAAGATTCGATTTGACAGATGGAAATGGAGACTTCGCAAGGAGAGAGCGTTTGTGCTAGGCATGGAAAAGGAAAGGATTTTGATAGAAGGGGTGAGGTTGACAGGAAGAAAAATGAAATGAGAAAAGGGATAAAATCATAAAAATACTAGTTTTGGTGGAATATCGAGTCTGTGTGTCTGGCCTTTGTCTTGTTGGAGGGAGCGTAGTTGGAAGATGAAGTAAAGAAAGGTTGGGGCAGATTATGGAGGTCCTTGAATGTGATTCTATGAAATTTATATTTTATTCTATGGGCAATAGGAATCCATTGATGTTTATTTTTTTTCTATAGACAATATTTTAAGCTCATTTGAAGTTAAAAAATAAAAATATAGAATCATCCAGAGTTGTAGTGTTTCATTTTCCAATTTCCCCTCCAATCTTTGCTCATAGACATGCACAGTTTTTATATAGCTGTAATTTTTCTATAGCCATTTATTTCTGTTTAAATGTTTTATTTTAGGATATAAGGATTATTCCATGTTGCGATATTATTCTAGTTTTTAAGGCTGTGTGTGCTTTCCTGTGTCTGGGAAGCTAACCGGAGCAGTGAGCTGAATATAGGCAGGAGGACCTGTTGGGAGCCTCGTTGCAGTGCTGGTAAAGGATGAGGACAGCCTGTGCCGGGTCCACGGTGAGAAGGAGAAGACAGGACAGGACAGTCCCCCTACCTTGGGCTTCCTGAATCCCAGCTTCTATTGGGGAGCGTTTCATCAAGCTTTCATTACTGATTATGTTTCCAGAAATAGTCATCAGCCACATCATTTCAAATTTGGGTCACTTGTGATGGTGAGAGTTTGAAACAATGCGTCAATTTCTCTGCTTGTGTTCCAAGTGGTATTTATCAAGCCTGCAGTCAGCCTTCAGCTAATGAACCTCTCGATATGAATTTTGCAATCAAGGCCTAATTAGAGCTTTCTTCTCTTTTCCGTATGTTTTGTGCACCTTAGGGGAAGCTTCAGGGATTTATGTGAAAAGTGTCATACCTGGCAGCGCGGCGCACCACAACGGCCAAATTCGAGTGAACGACAGAATCGTCGCTGTGAGTAACCGCCCTCTGTTTAGAATTGACTCGAGTTGGGGAAAAGTTATCTTCATTGCCATGTGTATGAGAGGGGAATGGCTTAATATAGTCTCATAGTATTTTAAAATTTAAATTGTTAGTATGGTGAAATCTCATTAATTTGGACTCTTATGGTCCTAAATTTGGTTTTTATTTACTGTCTGTGACAAAAGGGGTCACTAAGTGTATTGGTAGGAAAATGGTTCTGTGTGTGTATTTGGAAGGTAGCCTAGTTCTCCTCGAGAGCCTTCTGGGAGCCTCTTTGTGTTCCTAACTCACCATTTTATCCACAACTAACAGGCCCTCAGCAGCTCCCTGTCGTCTCTTCATGAAGGTAATTTTTCTAATAACAGCCATTTTGGGTACATACAAAATTGAGATATTTTATATACTGGAGCATATAATAATAATCTTTCATCAATTCAGACTGCTTGTTCCTCCATTGAGTAGAAATTAGTTAAATTTTACAGTTTACTTGAATATTTTTGAAGTAAATACATACACACATTTAATTTAGTGATTTATGTAGAAACAAATGTTCGTTGGTGTAACCTGAGTCTTTCTCCTCCAGTCCATCTGAGGAGGCCCCTTCGTGACTCTTGGCTTTTACACTGTCGCGCTTAGGAAGTGCCCTGTGATTTGCGGAGTTTGGAGACCAGCAGTGGCAGTGGATGCTCTGCAGAAGATGCTGTGGGAAAGCTAAAGGGATGGGCTGGCTAGTTGGCTGGGGTTGAGAGAGGATGGAATGCGTTTCCTGCTTGTGCTAGAACACTGGAAAACCAGTGGAGGGAGAGCAGCGTGTTTCTCCTGGAGAGTGCCGCATCTGCAGTGACAGGGCAGAGGATGAAGTGTTGGATGGCCTCTTCAGTTCTGATGTAATGATTTCTGTTGATACATCCTGGAAGCTGTGTGTAGCAATGACCACTTTTTATGACACTTTGAATTTTGAGTAGCGTCAGAAACTAAGGCCCTATACCTCTCAGGCTTCGGTTAAAATGTGTGACTTGGGCGCACAAGTTTGAATTTGCTTTCTAGTTTTTCGGAAAGTTCATCGGCATGTTTTACTTCTAATTTTGCCTCCTTATTCAAAAATACTTTTTTAGATGTAATACAAACTATTTTTGGAATAAAATGATTGCCTCATTTTATTCTGCCTTGCTAGAATTAAAAATAATAGCAAACTTGAAACCTCTCTTTGGTGTGTCTCTTAATGTCTTAGGTCGATGGTGTGAATATTCAGGGTTTTGCCAACCAGGATGTTGTGGAGGTGCTACGAAACGCAGGGCAAGTGGTACGTCTGACTCTAGCTCGAAGGAAGACATCTTCATCTGCTTCTCCACTTGAACTGCCTTCAGACAGAGGTGATTACTTCCAATGTCCCGCTCCCCGGCTTGTGGTCTGGGTTTGGAAGAGTAGCTCCTTTATGGACTTGGTTCTGTGAGTCTGGGAAGGAGAAACTGCCCGCTCACCCTGTGTAATGCAGCAGTGGAGAAACGCATCAGCTCGTTTGTGCGGTGAAGTTTCCTCTGCCTGCTGTAAGGCGCCGTCCACCTGTTAGAACGTGAGCCCGGCCTGACGTGCACCAAGCTCTGAGAGCTTCCGTAAATGGAGATGGAGATCATCTTCCCATAAAGCTTCCCAATTTCATTTATTGCTTATACTTGAATCATAAAGCTTTGACACCTTCTGTTCCAAGGGCTCTGATTTGTATGATGCTTTGACACTTTGCAAACTTAAGCTTCATATTCCTTCTAACCTTATATTTGATTCTGTCTGTTGATTTACCTTTTGAAATATAGTGAGAGAAAATAAAACCTGGATTTCTATCAAGAGCATTTTTATTTGTAAAATAACACTTGTTATTTTGGTTATAAGAATAGTAAATTTTCATTATGGAATACATGTATAATTGCATGCATGCCAATTTTTAATTATCAACTTATAAATGTATAGATCAGCAAAATTTGACCATCATGGGAACACATGTTCAAGTTAAATGAATGGCTGGTTGTATAACTAGTGAGTCAGAAATAATTCCATTAGAATGTGTCAGAAGATGAATACATTTTTTTCCCCTCTGAAGATATGATAAGCCTGGAAGCCTTTGCTTTCAACTGATATGGATTTATATTTAAATTGGAACTTGTTAAGTTTTATCTGATCATGGAAATTCTGCTGCAGAGAGACAGCCGCCCTGTCGACTGCACTGTACGTGTGAAATTTCAAGTTGCCTAAATGATACACATTGTGCCAGTGCTGTATTGACCTTAAAAGGTTTGCATAAACACTTGTATCAATACAGTGGTTTGAATAGCTCTGATACAGCTCTTGGCCTCCGTCTGCTGTGTCAGATGACTTGTGGCATCTGCGAATGCGCAGTTCTTTACCAGACACACTTGCATTTGACATTGGTGTTGGGATGTATTTTGACTCCTAACCTGGATTTCTTCCTCTGTAGTTTGGGCGCCCTCCCTCTGTGTTTCCCTGGCTCCTTTGAAGAGCACTCCCGGTGCGCTGTAGCGTTCGTCACACTCCGTTGTGGTCACCTGTTCCGTGTGTGGCCTCTGCACTGTAGGAGAGGGGTGATACCTTTGTCCCCTGCCCTACGTCACACGTCTTGTCGTCAGCATTTAAGTCTGTTTTACTGAAACAAACTGCACAGCTTCCAGGTCTTGCCTGATACCTTCCTCTCCCGTTCTTAGTCTTACTTTTTCTCCTCTACACTTCTGCCCTTTGCACACCTTGTATACTTATTTGTGTACCAATTTGTATACTACTTGTAGCACACAATCACGTCATGTACTGCTCCGTACTACAGAACCTTCTCCCCAGCTCTACCAGTGGCTTCTGGCTGGCGTTTCTTTTGCTAGCCTTGGGCTGTGCTTTTAGTGTGTGTCAATAGATTGATAATCTAAAATATCTATGTATCGTTTAAAATCTCATGTTAAGATCATAGGAACTTTTAGCTGGTTATGTTTTTCAACTTTTTATTGTAAAAATTTTCAAACATACAGAAAAATTGTAAAATGGTATAATGAACGCCCACAAAGCCACCACTTAGATTCAACGGTTAACGTTTTGCCGCCTTTCCTTCATCTGTTTATCTTTTTTCCCCGGAGCATTTAAGAGTGAGTAGCAGATGGTGCCACACTTCAGCCCTACGTGCTTCGGTCTATAGCTTCTGAAGGGAAGGATGCTCTCTTACGTAACCATGGTGTCATCATCACACCAGAGAAGTTTAATAGTAATCCCCGGGTGCCCGATTCCCAGAACATACTTACATCTCCCCAGTTGCCCTTGAATGTCTTTTGTAGCTTCTTTTTCCATTTCCCCTCTTTCCCCAAAAAACCCCCATAAAGTCAAGATCCAGTCATGCATTGCCCTTGTAGCATGAGTTACATTTTTTTGGTTTCTTAACCTAGATGAGTCCCCCACCCCTACTTTTTGAAGGGATCTGTCCATTTGTCACTAGAATGCCACATCCTGAATTTGATTGCTTCCTTGTGGTGTCATTTAACTTGTTCCTCTATCCACGTGTTTCCTGTGAGCTGGAAGCTAGATCTAAAGCCTCAGTTAGGGTCAGGTTAAATATTTCTGGTAAGAATACGTTATGTCACGTGTGACTATTTAAAAATAACCTAAAGTGACTCTTGCTCAGCCTCCCCTGTGTGTAAGGTACACACAGACCCTTGCGTGCTTGAGATTGAAAGCTTTGTATGTCCTGTTACTTTCCTTGCCTCAGTTTAGCTCAGGGAGAACCTCTGTGCCAGGGCATTCTCTCCGGGTCCCTCCCAGCTCAGGAGGCTGCCTCTGTGAGTTGTTTTCACACTTACGACAATGTCATGCAGAACCCCGGAGAGCCCAGCGCAGTGGGGCGGGCTGCCCTTGCTTGTATCTTACGTCCTGCTCCTGCCCCCACAGCAACGAGAGCACAAGACTTTGTGCTCTCCCTCCTTGCCAGGCCGCGTGGAACAGCATCTGATCCTCCTTTGTCATTGACTTTAATTTGCTTTTCTCTTCCTATTGCCTGGTTCCTTATTCTTTTCTATACTACCAGCAAGCTGATTTTTTTTAGGAATTGAGTGGTTATCAGACATGGCATTTTAAATAAAGGAATCCTGTATGTAAGTTACCTGAAATGTCTGTACCGAGGTTGTGAGATGGGAGACAGGAGCGGAATGAGCTCAGTGAAATGTGGTCTTCAGCGCAGAGATTCAAGTTAGCAATTCTTCTTTCAGGAGCTGTTGTAGAGCCGCCGAAAACACCAACCCTCTTTCTGACTGGAGCGGTGGAAACGGAAACTAACTTGGACAGTGAAGATGAGGACACTGAAGAAAGAATGGATAACCTAAAAACCAACAGCGTACAAGCCTTGGAAAGATTGGGTAGGCACAGAGCATTCAATGCATAGCAAAGTAATTTGTCTCTCTAGTTTGTTAACCATTTTCTCTCTATAAATGTGAGGAATTTTAGAGGCATTTTGGAGATATAAAGTAGGATATTCTTAATATCAACATCCTAACATTTGTGGCAGTTTGGGACCAAGCATATTGTTGTTAATCTTTGTTTGATTACGTTAATTTTGAATGCCTTTTTATTAGTATGTGATGGCTAGTTTTTGTCAGCACTTTTAACTACCACACACTTCAGTTTGTATGTTCTGTTCCCATTGATACAGCTATAGTGATACAGCTGTCTGTGTACACATGGCAGTTTCTTTTTCATCATAAAAGTCAATAATGTATACATTATGTGTTTCATCAAATTGCCAGGTTGCTGTATATTTATCCTTTAATTTTCTTCTTAATGTGCAACTTTGTCCTTTTTTTTTTTTTAAGCATGCTTTTTGGTGAGGAAGGTTGGCCCTGAGCTAACATCTGTTGCTGGTCTTCTTTTTTTCCTCCCCAAAGCTCCAGTACATAGTTGCATATCCTACTTGTAGGTCCTTCTGATGCTTCTATGTGGGGTGCCGCCACAGTGTGGCTTGATGAGTGGTGCTACCTCAGGGCCCAGGATCTGAACTAACGAACCCTGTGCTGCCGAAGCGGAGCATGCAAACTTGACCGCTTGGCCACGGGGCTGGCTCCAGCTTTGTCGCTTTGTGCTTCGATGCCTCGCTGCCTTAGTCGACTCCGTTCTGCAGCAGGTCGCATAGCAGCTTTGCATGGTTCCCTGCCAGCGGCGCCTGGGAAGCCTGCCAGCTGAGTGAGGTGGAGTACTTAGCGCCATCCGTGTGCTTGAGCGGCTCTGGCTGCTGGCTTTGATTGTCTTGTCTCAGGAAGGAATGGCCTAAGGAGGGAGTAACCCCTCGTTCAGGCTGAAACATTCCCTGTGATTTGGAAATTTACCTTGTTCTTTTGGACCCACGTAGGTGGCAGTTGATCTTTGCTATTTGACTCTAAGTGAACCCAGGTGGATTTTCAGTAAACTGTCAAGCGACACTCAAATACATTCTGAAGTTAGAAATACTTTTAGAAATATTTTATCTGCTCTTTTGGGATCAACCTCACTGTGTGTCTTTTTTCATGAATATGTATAGTTTCAGCTTGAGAGTAAGACCAAAATCTTCTAACTGCTGGGAAGTTAGCTCTCTTTTTTCTTGTTGGGGAGGAAAAATTTTCCCTTCTTCCCTTCTAGGTTCTGTGGCTGGTCTAATAGTTACAATGGCATAAGACAGATTAACAGCAGAAAAACAAACTTAACTGCATCTAGGAGCTCCATAAAAATATGAGACCCCAGGGCAAGTCGGGCAATTGAGGCTTGTGTGCCATCCTGAGCTAAGGAATGCGCCAGGGGCCAGGGCCTCCGAGGGGGCAGGGCAGTGCACGGGACGGTAGGAAGAGAAGATGTTTGCCCTGCCTGCAAAGTCTTTCCGATAAAACATCATCTCTGGTAATGGTTCTTGTTCTGGGACAGGGCCTTTTTCTAAATTCTTTCAGGTAGTTGAGGGAGAAGTAAAAGCTTTTCCTGAGTCTGCTGGGTCTTGATTGTCTTCAAGACCCAAAATAATCCACACGCCAAAGTGGCATGTTTTGGGGTGGCATATTCTGCTCCCCTTCATTGCCATTGGAATAATTGTTTCAGATCATCATACTATTCATTTTTTGATCATTTTGTGTAGCTCAGGATTTATCGAGCTGCTGAAAATAAATTAATCTCTTTCCTCTGGTACTTAGGCTTTTGTGCTGTGCTTTCAAACTCGTGACAGTGTGTGCTCTCATTGTACGACTGAAAGGTAAAAATATAGTTGAAAGAATTACAGGCAAAACGTCAACATTAGTATACATGTGTATGAAATATCATCTTTAAATATCATGTTTTTAAGCTTACAATTCAACAGTACATTGCAAATTTTGTTTAAATTAGCTTCCCAGATAAGAAACTGCTGCCCGGAAGAAATACAGCAGGCGAGATGGTAGAACTCTTAATGTAATTTCTTACGGAAACAGTAACAGGAGGAGGTACAAACGTGCAGGGCCCACATGAATGATATTTGTTTTCAATGGGATCTTTGGTTAATTATTCCCAGAATGTCATCTAGCATATCGGTTAATATTGTTATTTCATGGATCGCCTTTTGTGAATCTGGTAATTTAAGTTCTCTGGTGTTCATTGGTCTTGGTCTCTGATTTCTGAGGTTAGCCTGCTTTACCTAATGATTGAATTATGTAATTAAGCGTTATGTGCGTCCAAGATGAGCTGTCCGTGCCGAAGATGGGAAGAGCTGATATTGCAAGTGATGTTTGATTTTAGACAGATGGCATTGTCAATTGTGATAAGTATTCTGTGACTTGTCCAGTCTTGTGACAAAACGGAGAGAGTTTTTCTTTAACTTAAAAAAGGTGGAGGTTTGTTTATTTTCTGCTACTACTATGGGGTGTAAGTTGAAATTATAGTTTTAGTTCTTTGACTTCTGCCTATTAGGCATTATTCAGACTACCGACTGCACTGAGCTTCCGGCTAAGACCATATGGGGACAGGCAGGACACCTAAAATCTGTCTTAGCTCTTTACTTATCACAAAAGACCCGAGGAAAGTAAAACCCACAAAAGTAAAACCCAAGCTTCTGTTCTGATAAAGCTCGTGCAGCTCACTGGTTGCATTAAACCAGACAAGCCTTTCTGTGGCCCAGTGGAAAGTCTGCGTGGGCTGTGCAGTGTGCCTAGTCGACAGGGGAGATCCTGATGAGTTTTTAGTTTTCCTGTGGGTGAGCGGAAGGTACTACTTCGAAGTGATCAACATTTAAATTAAACCCTTGTTTGTCCTAACATATTATAAAGCAAATCCAGATGCATTTTACTTGTAAACTACAGGATGTTTACATATAAACTGTATATAATTCAAATTTCATTTATAACTCATCATTTCCGTTTCCCTTTAAAATATTCCTTCCCAACGAAAGCCCCTTCGTAATTTGGTCGCAGCCGGTCCTTACATTTCCGTTATTCTTATAAGTCACCTCTGTTTTACTTTACCCGGTAGAGCTCAGTTAATGCGTTTTCCTTTTTATTCATTTCCCATTTACTTACTGAAACTGCACTCTAAGTGAAGAATTTAGTAGTTAAGTGTGTTTGGCTCACAGTAGCTTCAACATTCTTTTTTTTTCTAATTCTGAAGGAGTCCCAGACTTTCCAGAAAATGAGCTGAAATCCAGGTGGGAAAACCTACTGGGCCCTGATTATGAAGTAATGGTATGTTAAACCTTCTAATAAAAACGCTCACGGCTCACTTCATGTCAGGCTCCTAACACTACAATTTAAAGAAATGGGAGAGTCGAAGAATCAGCCTGCCTTTATTTTTTCCTCCTGCCTTTCTTCTCTTTTGGATCAATCAATTCTGTTTTTTTTTTTTTTTTTTTTTTTTTAGCATCTTAAGCTGTAAGAACGGTTAAGGACTGCACACAAGTTTCAGTTACAATTAGCAGACACTCAGTCCACGTTGAAAACATTTAAGTCGACAGTAGGCAGAAAAATGTGAGAGGAGAAAGCGCTGGCCTTTAAATTTATAAGCTGTATCAGCTGCTTAAAATCGCTGGCATTTTTATGATTGCTTTTATGATCTGTTTGTTTTATTGTACACTGAAAGGGCTGTGGATATTAGTCCTATGTTTCACAAAGAATCTTACAGTTTTATGAGAAAAATGAAAGAATGATTATCAGATGTATCTGGGAGAACAGGAAGTAATTTAGGTTGGTATAAGTTTATAGAGCCAGTGGTCCATTAGACTTCCTTTCACCTGTTATTAGATTCATCGAGTGAGGGACTGGTTACGTTTCCCGGTATTAATCCACATGAGAGCAGAAAGCTATGCTTAGACAAGACTCTACAGTGTTCACTAAATGCGTTAGTAATCACACATTCTGTTGAATTCCTGTTGTCACTCACATTTCTGACATATGTTTATCATTAGTACTTGGCTGGTTGGAGATTCTTTTCCTCTTCTTGATCCAGAATATACAGCCACTATCTATTGTCAGAATTTCCCACCGTCATTAGGATGAGTCAAACAGTCCACACTTTCTCTTCTTGCTAGTTTTGTGCTTGCATGTCCTCATGCACTGCTGCTTCTTGACTTCATAGATTTCGGATGCTGTGTTGTTACCAGGCTGTCCTCTTTGAGAAGCATCTGTCACCTGGCAGATGGCCTTTTCTATCCTTAGTGCTTTGATAGTCAAAGTAATTTGGCGAACCAGTATTTATAAACGGCCAATTTTTTGATGGGCACTTTTTGTTAAAATTTTGTCCTCCTTGTAACTACCCTTCCAAATTTCATTGATCACATGGTGAGGTCGTAACAGAGGGGCCAGAAAGAGGAGACAGAATTTCACGTTGGAAGTTTAAAGTGACAGCTTAGTCAGTGGAGTTGTAACTTGTTCTCAGGGATGAGGAGCAGGCAGGAGAAGCAAGGCAAGATGAATGCATGCACGTTTTCAGCGTTTCTTGTTTTATTTTCTTCCAGAACTTACTTATCTGCAGTGCAGTACTTTTAAAAACTTTAGTTGGGTCATTGTTGAGCTCATCCCTCCCTCCAGATGCACCCTATTTTATTAACAGCTTCCAGATGCAAGTCATCAGTATTTTACTTGCAAGGAATTCACTTCCATGGATGTCCGCCATTGAAGCTTAGAACAAGTTTCAGGCCAGGATTCAAAGCTCTAAGTATTCTGTGAGCTTCCCACCCGTCCAGGTCTTTCTGTCTGTGTCCTCGCCAGCTCCTTCTCCTGGGGAAGTGGTTTGAGCTTGCTGTGGAAAGTTGCATGTTTCAGTTTTTCCAAATTTGTCTGACTTTTCTGACCTTGCAAACTTTTGTTTTAAGGCCTGAATTTAAAAGTAAAAATGACCATACTCTTGGTTTTGTCAAAAGAATAAAATTTTTATGAATTCAGTATAATGGAGGATTATATTAAAATTTTAAGGATGATGGATTTTTAAAAATGGTATATGTATTTGCCCATTACCTTCTGGTTCAACTTCTAAATAATTTAGGAAAAAAAAGTGCTGTGGAGAACAATAAGAACAGAAAAGCAAATATTCTCTGAAATTTTACATTATGCGTTATATTTATGGATTTTAGAAATAGAGAAAAGAGATTAGAGTATAGGTCTGATGGAGTTATCAGTATGTTGGTTTTTCAGATTTTTTCAGGAAACTTACAAAGAAATAAAGTTATGTTTTTACAAATATTGGAAATTTTTTTGTTATAAATTTAGGTTGCTACCTTGGACACACAGATCGCAGACGATGCTGAGTTACAGAAATATTCAAAGGTAAGCAGTGTTTTAAAAAATGTTACCAGTTTTTTATTATTTGAAGAACTTTCTTCAAGTTCTTGTCAAAGAAACGAAATTAGTGCTGTGACCTAAGTTTCCAGAACTTCATCTCGGATGTCTCCTGGAAGTGAGGTGAGTTCTCGCCGTTGGGAAGGTGACAGTCAGATGTGCCTGGGGAGAATGTGGTCCCTTGTGCCACGTCCAGAAGCCAGGAACTCAGGTTCGGCTGCTGTGCCCACGGTCAAGGTGGCACAAGAGGGACCTTGTGCCCGCTTGCCTTAGCCTCTCAGGCGCGACAAGAATCCGTTTAATAGGTCTCCTGAGAATCAAGACCACAAGTGTGGGCTTTAAAACATCCTTCAGGTCCACAAGTTTGAGGACAGAAAAATGGTTTATCTTCTGAGTACAGACAAGGTTTTCTCTTGAACTTAAAAAACGTTATAGTGAAAACTTTATTTCTATCGGCAAAATGCCGGAAGGTAACTTTACAGTTTCCCCAACATTTTTAGTGTCCTCTCACTACAAATTAATTTTATAGTTGCTATTTTGGGCAATCAAAAGGCAGGGTAATTGAAACTTAGAGAAACATTCTAGATGGGTGTCTCAACAAATGATGAGAAGGGAAAGGTGTTGTCAGAAAAGTTTCACAAGTTACACTGTCATCCCCTGTGGAGGACACCAGCCGAGCTCAGCCTGAGCTCGGCTGTCACAGGCGGTGTTCAGAATGAGTTTTCTCTGTCCCATGTGGGTTTGGGAAGAGGTTATCTCTTTAGATAGTTCTACCATTTCCTGCTTTGAGTATTTGTGGGGAATTTTCTCTTCCATAATTTTATGTTATATGGACTATAATTTTACAGGTTTGAATTTTCAAGGCTGCCTCTGGAGAGTGCTGCTTTCCTTCTGAGCTTCCCTGCCCTCTGAGCCTGTATGGGCAGCTGCCCGAGCTTTGTCAGACGTGCAGTGTGAAAGCAGCAGGGCATAGCTTATAGTTAGTTTTAACTTATTTACAGAATATCTTTATATTAGAGTAGAGCAGTCACTAATTACTGCATCGTCTAAATATGTTGAGATGGACTGAATTCAAAATGAGAGTAAGAGAAATCCCTCACCAAATGTCAGTTGTTATTAATTACTGCAGTACAGTTGACCGACTACGTGGACTCGAGAGCCCAATGCCTGAGTTTGAATTCTGGCTTAGCCACTCACTAGCCTGTAAAGCTATCTAAACCCTGTGTCCCAGTTTTGTTGTCTGTAAAGGGGAGATATTAATTGGTACCTACCTCACAGGTTCTATAGGAATTAAATATAATGTGCCTGGGGTAGTTGCGAGCACATTATAGCCTGTTGTTATTATTTTAATTATCATTCATATAAATCTGGTGCTTTTCCCTAACATTGTACTTTAATTTGCACTAAACTCTCAGAATTTGGTGCTTTCTATCAACCTATCTTCCAGCTTCCTAGATCCTGTACCTGATCTCCTGCAAGGGCCCATCTGCTGAGGCCTTGATTTTTGTCATTATTTTTTTCTACTATAGAATTTCTGTTGTATTCCATTTTAGATAATGATTCTTTTGGTGGAATTCTCAGTAAAAAAGAAATCTGTACTTGCCATCTTTTTCTCTATTTCTTGAACATGTTAATCATAGCTTCTAAAGACTTTAAATAATCAGTTCTAGTATCTGGATCAACTGTAGATGTGTTCCTATTGTTTGATATTGTCTCTAGTTATGTTATTTGATGTATCTCTCATCATGCCACAGAATGTCCAACATCATCTGTGCCAACTACAAAAGGACTTGGGTGATGCTCTCTCGGTCCAGAGGACTCACTCTTTCTTCTAAGAAGAAGGCAGAGTGTGTGCGCATGTGTGTGTGGGGGCGGGTGCGTGGGTGATCGTCTGTGAGACAGGCTGAGGTACAGTTCTGGTTCAGACTCTGGTCTGCCTTTGCTCCTGGGACCCAGCCTGCCAGGTGTTCCACATGAGTCTGAGGGTGTTTACCGGTCCCTTCTCCCTGGGAGGACCTGACCTCCACTTCTGTCTCCTCGGTACTTTGGGGCTGCTGACACATCTTTGCTTGGCTCTTGGAGGTTTCCTATTAGCTTTTTGCCTCCTTCCCCACGTGCTGTCGGAACTCAAGATGTCCTTGGGGAGGCCATGCTCCAGCCAGGTTCAGTTCTTCATGTAGTTCAGCTTTACCTGTCTGTCCTGCGTTCAAAGCCGTAGGACCCTGTCTCTCCACACTATGATAAGTGAGAAAGGATGATAACTGTGCTTTGTGGGCGTCTTAAAGAACGGTGTTCTTTCTCCAGGCCCATGTTCTCTCTTTCCTCCGCTCCCCAGCTCCTTGCCACGCTCTTGCTCATTCCATCTTCTTTTCTGATCAACTTCTATGCCATGTGATGTGTGTGTGTACTCAGTGACTCTAGGATGGAGGCGCAGAAAGTCTGTGAGTTGAACAGACTTTCAGAACTGCCTCATTGAAACTCACCACTGCGTTCAGTTGTTCATTCCTTCATCCCTCAAGTATTTTGTGGTATCTGCTCTATGCACGTCCTCTGCTGGTGCTGGGGTTTCAGAAGAGAACAAATGGGAAAAGAATCCCTGCCCTGTAGAACTTATGCTTTAGTGGGGGGAGATGGAAATAAGTAAGTGAGTAACATAGAATGGGTGACGTGTGCCATGCGGAACGTTAGGCAGGGAAGGTGGATAAGGAAGTGAGGAGAGAGAGTGTTTGCGCTTTTAGGTGGGTTGACCAGGGAAGGCCTCATGAAGAAGGAGGCATGTGAGGAAGCACTTTAGGAGGTGAAATAAGCAGCCTGATTCTTCTACATAGATGAACAATAATACATATGTTGTACATGATTACGTCTGCTTAATCTAGGCCCTAATTAATGTGGCTCAGCACCAACACGTAAGACTTGTTTGCGCGTGGTGGTTTTAGCTTCCAGTTGTATGCTTCTAGTGCCTTTAGTCTCTAACCTTTTAAAGCCTCCTTTTCTTAAATAAGCTATTTTGAAACATTTCATTGTTTAATTGAAATTTTGTTGTGGCAAAAAGTTTTTGTGCTGGAAGGAGGAGTTTCCCGTGACTGCACTGTCGTCTCTCCATGTTCAGTTGTTGGCTTCCATGACCACATGCCTGTCGCACTGGCACCATCCTCCTGTGTCACGGACATGAGAGAGAGGAGGGAGGTGTGCCTTTTCCACAGAACATTGTCAAGCACATTTACTTTGTTCTACGTTGATTTCTTAGTTATGAATGTCCACAGATTGTTTCTTTATTTTGATGAGCTGTAAACTTCTAAATCGCCTTATAATTGGGAGTTTACTTCTTAACTCAGTAGCCTCTCATTTCTCCCTACAATGTGTAAAGGAGACTTCAGCCTCTCAAAACCCATTTCACAGATGTGGGTCTAAGGTTTGCACAGCTTGACTGACTCGCTCAGATGACACTGCCACATAGCAGTGGCGGGTGGCAGCGTAGAGTGTGTTCACTCACTCCTCAAGCGTTTCCTGAGCTCCTGCTCCCTGCCAGACACAGGGCCGCCAGCCGCCGGGAGCAACGCAGAAAGGCCCGCGCCCTCCTCGAGCTTAGATTCTGGGCTGGGTGGGAGCGTGATCACAAGCCAGTGAAAATAACTCGGTAAGATGGTTGTAGATTCCACGAGGTGGTGCAGAGGAGCAAAGAGTGTGATGAGAGCTCCCTGGGCCGCTGTAGAGGGAGCCGCCAGCAGAGGCCTTGAGCTCAGGCTTGGCGGACAGAAACGGCTGAGCTGGGAGACAGGAGCAGCGGGTACGCAGCCGTGCGGGGAAGGGCTGCGTGCGGGAGGAGTGGGAGCTGTTTCTGTGTGTTGGTCAGGCTCTTTGCAGAGTGGGATGCTGTTAAATGGGGCTGGTGAGGAAGAGCTGGAGCTGCAGGCCTCGGGGTCCTCGGCCACGAGCCGGGAACACAGTGGAAGGTTTTGGACAGGCTGGTGTCGTGATCTGAGGTCGAGGCTGATGGGGTCTCCTCTGTCGCGTCAGCTTTCCGATGAGGAAACTGGTACTTCGTGGCTGAGGCTGGTGTTAGCCTGTAGATGCCACTCGATCACTGCCCACACCCACCATTCTTCGAGGGACTGTGCTTCAGGAATCCTCTGTGGGTGTTCGGGCCCGTGCGCTAGGTAAGGCTTTCCCTTGAGGTGGGTGGAGTTGTGAGGAGACAGGGAGGGGAGAAAGGCTTGAGCGTGGCCGCACTGCTCCCAGGAGGCCGGTGGTCGTGACACAGGAGCATAGAGAGATGCGCCTTTGGGGACCGTCCTCTTGGCAGGTGCTCCCTCTCGAGATGATCGCAGGACCGTGAGCAGGAGCGTTAAGCTCCATCCAGTGGTGTTTCTGCGGCCATCAACGTGTGTGGAGAGAGCATAATAGTGTCCCCAGCCTGGGAACCAGAACACCAGGTCCCGTGGTCTGGATTTGACCAGACCAACGGACAGATTTCACTTTATTTCCTTCCGGTGATATTCTCTGAACCAGAGGGCATGAAAACGGGAGTTTCCCCCTCACTCTGATGAGCACATATAATTTCTAAGGTGAGGGATGTGCCAGGCCCTGCAGGAGCCGGGTCACTGGGTTACCAGGCCAGCTCTGCTTTAAACCGTCCTCTCCTCTGTTTCTCACACTCGCCCTGTTGACCAGCAGCTGTTTCCTCCTTCCCATTTTTAGTAGATGGAAACAGAGTCTGCCCAAGATCACATGCAGCTCGTAAGTGGCAAAATTAGGAAACGAGTCGGGGTGTCTGGTTTCTGAGTCTGTGCCATTCTTGGCTCTTTTCTTTTTTCTTTTGAATGGATAGTATGTGGAAAGACATAAAATTAAGCTATGGAAGTATGTCCTGCAAAAAATAAGCTTTCCCCCCATCCCGTGCCCTGCTCTCCCAGAGGCACCTGCCACTGTCACCAGTTCTCAAGTGTGTATTGCACACTTTGCTGCTCTCTTTTTGAGGTGCAAAACACAGAACCGGGTAACTACGGTTAGCAGTGGTTTCTTACTAGGGCAGGTGGCCCATAGAAACATCAGAGAAACTTTTTCAAAATATGCTGGCCCTTTTCTGCTCCTCCTCACCAATATTCTGATCCTGTAGGCTTGGGTGAGGTCCCTAAAGGAAATTGTGGTCCCTGTCTTGCCTCTGTCCGTGGAGAATTCTCGTCCAGGTCTTGCTACAATGCATTCTCTGTATTCATGGGAGGAGGTGTTTCTTCTTCAGGACAGTTGAAGGAGGCTCGTTGGGAGGATGGCATTTGAGTCACTCTGAAGAATGGGTTTGCAGCAATGAGAGCAGTGGGTTTTCCGGGGGGGAAATACCATGAGCAAAAGCAGAGAAAGGGTGGGCCCCGCGAAGTGTTAGGCCAGGTGTCGAAAGCTTGGATCTCACCTGGGCCAGACAGGTGACATGAGTGGTATCTAAAACGATGAAGGGCAGCTGACGCTTGGCCTTGGTGTTGGGTAACTGAAGAGAACCTTCAGGATACTTCCATACAGAAGAGCACGTAGCGTGCGGTGTCTGAACGTTCAGAATTAAAATCATAGATGGGTGAGAAAAACCAACATAAATCAAGCTGTGACGGTCTGGTCGATTGTCTTCACAATCTGAGTGAACGCACCCGATTTTGGAGGCCGTTGTGCTGCCTTTCACCATTAGTTTAGAAGCTGGAGCCTTGCTCTCGGAAAGTTTGTTATTTGCGGTAAATTTAGTAATTCTCCCCTCAATCTTTGAACATAAATGGCTATTTGATATCTTCAGACTTGTGTGTGTGTGTGTGTGTGTGTGTGTGTGTGTGTATCGTGGGGTTCTTTCTGTTCTATTTTGAGTTCATCTGTTTTGGAAGCATCCTCCCCATCCCGCTGACATATCTATTCTTTTCCAGAAGTTTTTTTCCTCCTGAAGCAACATCATTTATATTCCCTCTTGAGCATTTTGATATCTTGTTTTTGGGTCCTAAAAGTAGAGCTTTTAGGGAAATGAATGAGCTGTGATCTGTTTTGTGACCAGTCTCCCCACTCATGGGTCGAGGGCGTCTGGGTTCTTGGTCTCATTTGATCTCCATCATTTTAACACTGACAGTAAATCTCATGGTGGCCGCACCGTCCTTGGATTCATTTTCTTCTATCTTTTGCTTGTCGTGTCAGCATCATGAAAATCCTGCTGCTCATTAACTTTGTCAACTTAAATAGGACCCCTTGCAAAGCGCGTGGACTGAGCATCAAGAAGCGTAACGTGCGGTGTGTGAAGGTGTCAGTCACCTGTCGCACCCGCTCCTGTCACTTTAGCCCTCTGCCCCCTAAGAACTCAGCATCCTGCAGGGTGGGCAGCTGAAGGAGACAGGGGAGGCGGCTGATTTGTTAGCTGCTAAAGCAGCTGGGACAGGCAATCCAACGGCCCTGCTCCCGCAGGAAGCCTGCGGCCGTGCAGCGGGGCATCTCAGAGACCCGGCCGCGTTCTGATTCAGGTCCAGAGCTGATGTTAGATGAGCCTGTTTCAGGCAGATGGGTTTCGTAAACATTGTCTCTGGTTTATTTGTCCAGTGTGATTGCAGATGGAGCACCGGTGTCCTTTTCATGGTTTGAGTCTCCAGGGAGCATGTGGTGTTTGCAGATTCTGGGGGAAGCCTGGAAGGGCACAGCCCTGGGTCTGGCAGGGGGAGTCCCCAGGTGGCCCTGCCACCCTCTGTGCTCCAGCCTCTCCTGACTTCAGCTACTCTCTGGTTGTCGGGAGAGGGGTCCACCCTGCAGGGTTCTCCAGGGGGGGCTGGGAGGCAGATTGGGATCAGTTCTCTCCTTGATCCTTTCACTTGTTACAGGGTATGCCGCTGTCTAAGTCGTGGAGATCTCTGCACACAGCAATGTCTTCATCTTAATTTGGACACTTATTTCTATGCAGAAGTTGCCACCACCATCTACCCAGTTGCTCAGAGCACAAATGTAGCAGTTGTGCCTTTCCCTCACTTTCCACGAACGTCTCCCAGCAACCTCTTCCTAGGGCCGACGCATTCTTCTCCCTCAGTCTCACCGTGAGCATCCCCTCTCTGTGAAGCCTCCTCCAGCCAGCTCTCCCAGTGACCTCCCGCTGTGTCTGATGCCGCGCCCCGGCTCAGTCCTGTCACGGCACTCGTCGGAGTCGTCGCTGTTGGCTCCTCACGACCGTCTGTTGGTGGACGGTTCATTTACTTGTTTGCTGGCTCTGTTGCTTGCTTCCTGTCTGTCAGCCACTCTCGACGCAGTTCCATGGGGAGACTGTGAGAACCCATGTCTTTGACGTACCCTATAATTGCAGCTCATGACTCGAATCCGTGCACGTAGTTCATACCCTATAAACCGGTGCTAGATGAGATGCCCAAACAAGGTGTGGGTCAGGGCTGTGCAGGTCAGTGTCTAACTCTGAAGAAAAAGGGCAGCCCCGGTCTCTAGTGTTTGCCGAGCTCTGTGGTGCGAGCAGTCCCATCAGGGCAGACTTCAAGCTCCCGGAGTGACGTCCCTGGACACTGAGCTGGGAAGCGATTCACAAACACTTCATTTCTGCGGGCTTCTCCGCGGGAGCAGGGCAGTTAATTACCAGCCTGCTCACTGAACAGCTAAACAGATCACTGTCTCGTCCGTCTCTTTCAGCCGCCCACCCCTTCAGGGTCCTCTAAGTTCTTAGAGAGTATTTCTACCATACACATATGACAGGTAGAAGTCACTTCAAGGACATATATAAAATGTGTAAAAATAATTAGGAAGTGATGGATTTTGAGTACTTATTGCATTTATTTTTAATACTATTTAATTGTAACTGTGTAATTTAATTTTTAATAATGGCTATATTTAAGAACTGGCTTGCAGAATTCTTGAAAGTTGAACAGTCTGCTCTCTGAGCAGGCTCCAGTACACCGCTGGAGATGACGGTGGTGGACCCATGGACCACTCTGCCTGATGTTTGGCTCACGAGCAGAGGAGGAGGGGTGTTGGTGAGGTGGGCGGGTAAACTGATGGCAGAGACACTCTCTGAGAGTCTCTGGTCCCCTTTTCCTAACGGAGAGGGTACCCGATGTCTCCTTCCAGCTCCAGGTACAGGATTTGGTATGACGATTAGATGGGAAGAAAGAAATCACGGGGAGGGAACGAGAGTGAAACAGTCTTCGCCTCCCCTCAGAGTGCTAGGACGGTGGCAGATCCTGAAGAGCCTGGCGGCCCAGAGCCTCGTCCTCAGGAAATCACGCAGGGCCTGAGTCCTTCAGGCCTGTTCTCGGTCGTTGAGGTCTTGGTCGGCTGGACTGCTCGCCACTTCGCATTTGTCTGTGTGTCTGTGGTGGGTTGGAAGTGAGCTCGAGGTGGTGTCTGGGGCAGCCCTGTGGGGCTCTGGGGACTCAGAGCAGGTGACTCGGGAGGTCATGGCTCAGAGAGAAGGGGTCACCGAGAATAGGAAGCAGGGAAGGAGACTTGTGGGTGCGTTGCTACCTTGTGTAGGGTTTTCTTCTTGCCAAGTGTGCAGTTAGATAAACAGACTATTTTAGCACCACTCACCATCTTTGAGTTTATACGGCCACAACAAGGAACCATGAGCTCTACCCGAGAGGTCATGGGAACGGAGTTTGGCGAATGCCTTTGACCCTTAAAGCCAACAACACGAAGACACTCATCTCTTCACGTTGACGTTGGCTGGAGAGTCTTAACCCTTGACTCAAATCTGAGCCCATGTGAATCCTTTTAACCAGCAGCAGCAGTCCTAGAGTAGAGCAGTGATCGCCTGCCTTATTCCACACCCATGCCTCCCTCCAGATTGGAAACTGTTCTCGCTTAGGTTGGTGAGGTGGAAAAGGACACCTTGAGCGAGGTACCATCTTTCATGGGTTAGTTCAGATAACATTTAGTGAGCCCATGTTTAGTGCCTGGCACTGTTGTAGCGCCTTAGGTTATGGAGAGAAAAGACACAGACTGCGCTCAACCAGGGGAGCAATGAAGAAAGTCAGAATTTTAAGCACAGTATGTGTGAGCTGTGATAGAGGTGTGCACGGGGTTCTCTTGGACCCCAGACAAGGCCCATCAACTCACCTATCAGGAAGGGCTTCCTGGAAGTGACCCTGCCTTGGTATTGAAGTGTGAGTGGAAGCAAGTTAGGTAGTAAAGCAAAGCTAGAATGTTGCAGGGGATGGGAAGCCTGCAGAAAAGGGAAACAGAATACATACTGGCAACTGTAGCAAGTGCGGAGCACCTGTGAGTTGAATTAAGTCAGGACTGTGCATCTGACGCTCCATTCCCAGGGTTTCTGAAAGGAAAAGAGTGAGAACAGGAAGACAAGTGACTTCGTGTTCTACCTGAGGCTGGTTTTCCCATTTTTGTCCTCTGGGGATTTTGGTGATCTGACTCGAGAGGTGGGGCTTTCATGTCAAAATAATTGTCGATGGAAGATTAACAGCTGGGTGTGTCCCTGTCATGTTTGATATTATTGCTGCAGCTGCTGCCCATCCATACCCTGAGGCTTGGCATGGAAGTGGATTCCTTTGAAGGACACCATTACATCTCCTCGATTGCTCCCGGTGGTCCTGTTGATACGCTGAACCTCCTACAGCCAGAGGATGAGCTTCTTGAGGTAAAATTTATGAGGAAGAAAGTCACAGGGTAGGGGTTTCTAGGTTGTAGGAAAATGTATTCTCACCAGAAATCCACTGAGTTATGTTATCACCAATGCCGGTGTAACGTGAGCTATTTAGATTGAAAAATACTTGACTATAGTTAACAATACCGCATCGTATACTTGAAAGTTGCTAAGAGAGTAGATCTTAAATGTTCTCACTGCCCCCCACACACATATGGTAACTAAGATGATGGATGTATTAACTAACCTTATGGTAGTAATCATTTCACAATACATATGTAAAATCATATCATCACCTTGTACACCTTAAACTTACACAATATGTGAATTATATCTCAATGAAGCTGCAAAAAGATAAATAAAATAAAGGCAAAGAAAAATACTAACAGCCTATGTAATGACAAAGAAAGTAGGTACTATGCTTTCAGTTCATTTTCCCCATCTTTTGGGACTCCTGAGATGTGTTTTTGAGTGCTGATTTAAATGATTGACTAAGAAAAAAGCTGATGTCCTGTTTCAGTCTGATAGTGTAATTAGTATTTTTGTAAGCAACATTACTTTTAAGAATATAATCTTTGACCCTTGTTTGCAACATGTAGTCAGTTTCATTTGCAGGTTTTGTTGATTATTTCTGAAAAGCATTGGATCTGGACGACCTCAGGCTTATGCACTATTGACTGGTTTTCAGTGGTCTCCCTGGGGCTCCCTCCCCAACGTGGCAGCCTCCCTGGGCTCACTCCGGCTCCAGCCTCTCCTCAGTCAGAGCAGTTCTGGAGCACTTGTGCTTTTATGTGACTTTCCTGAGACATTTGTAGGCTGGAAAGTTTGGCAGTTGACACAACAAACAAGCCAAACAACATTGGAACCCTTAATTTTACAGTTGAGAAAATAAAGCACTGACTTCCCCAACTTTACACCCTGGTGGAATAATGGCTTTCATTCGTGTTTTCTGATTCCCATTTCACTGTTTTTTCAAATATATCACAGTACCTCCTCAGCTCCTAAACAAATGACATGGAGAATGGTCAGACTTAGAGAAGGCTGTGTAGACCAGGATTCTGCCAAGAGTTAGGATCCACAAGAAGCCCCAGGTTGGGTTTGATGGAATCAGCCTTGTAGCCAAGATTGGAATCCCCGGGCCTTGATTATAGAGGTTTCTTCTAAAGTTTCTTTGCTCACGGTGGGGTGACAAGGATAGCAGATAGGTTTTTTATTGGGTGCAGCTGCATGTTTTTAACACTGTGGCCACTTAGGGGAGCATGTTGGGAATTCTGGGTTGGATCTCGAGGTCAGAAGGAAGAGTGCTCTAACTAGGGGTCAGATTCTGTCCGAAGCCTGGGAGAGCAGGCTGTCGGAGTCCTGTTTTAAGCCGTAGTAAGTTGCTTGTTTGTAGAGGTGTTCAAGGAATGATGTTGGGCTGCCTGTTGCAGGTTCAAGCCCTAGATTTTACTGCGTCATTCGTGGTTTTTATTTGCTTGATCATGTCCTTCTCCTCTGACGTGTAGGGCATGTGGCAGAGCTTTGTGGGTCTCACACATGGTGATCTGTAGGTTGCAGGCAATTTGGAAACCGTTTCTAAGAAAGTAGTTGTTAGGTATTAAGAAATGAGATTGATTTGTTTAGGAGATGTGGAAATATGAGTAAAAACTGATTTACTTCACCTTTTTCGTGGCAAAATATACATAACATATAATTTAGCACCTTAAGCATTTTTAGTGTATGGTTCAGTGGCATTCACTCTAATTCCCTACTGGCACATGGTGGGTGTTAGATGTTGGCCGGATGTGAGGGGCCCGAGCGGGTGAGCCCAGCCAGCAACTGAGCCCTCTGGGCCTTAGCCGAGATCAGGATCCCATGGGACAGACTAAGGTGTGGTGTGAGAAGCAGCATGTAGACTTGGTGAATTCGTATGCACAGATTTCTGGTGAAAGACGTGGGATAGGGAGAGAGGCACAGGAGTGAAGGAAGAGCTGCTTCTGGTTCTGAATTTGTCACAGCCTGGGGGTCCCTGGACGCGCCACTTAACTGTGAGAGTCAGTTTCTTCAATAAATACCTGCTTCACCCTGTGTACGTGAGCATCTAATGGACTGTCGTCCCTGTAAACCATGAGGCATTGTCTCACTGAGAGATGGTGGCAGTACCGTCACTGAAAAGGCGTCAGCAGTCTTGTAGGACAGGACGAGTGCAGATGGAAGGAAGGAAGGTAGGGAGCAGTACTCGTACAGCTTCGTGTCCTCTGTGGATGAGCACCTGTACACGGTTTCTAACCACAAAGTCTGAATAAGTGAGACTTGGCGGCACGGCAGAGGGTGTCAGGGCCTGGAGAAATGCTGTGAGCTCCAAAACGAACTGTGAACTCCAAAATGAAACTTGCCGCCTTCTGAGGAACCGAACGTAGAAATAAAAAATCTCCGTAAAGTTAGCCAACTAAACTCCTGAACTTGAAGTGTGCATGTGTGTGTGTGTGATGTGCTCCTTAGAGCTTGAAGCCAGAAACACAAATCGGTTTGGGGTTAGAACACTGCGCGGAGTCTGAGCCAGGGCCGCTGTTTACAGCAGCCGTAAATCCCCTCAGATGGGGCTGGCGCTGGGAAGGTGGCCAAACCCTTTAGCCTTGCAGAGCAGTGAGGAGGACTCCCAGGCACGGCCATAATAACTGGAGACAATTCAAATGAATAAATAATGAGCTAAATAAATACTTAAATCTACTCCAAGATAAAACCCTGAAATGTGATTTTCTGATCTCTTGACAGTGTGAAGCTCACACTGATGCTCGTGCGGGCAGATCCTCCTGGACTGGGTCGCGAGCTTTGTTTTTAGGGTAGCTGACCACCCACCGGGTGGGTTTTAGAGCTTTCCCTGCTGGTGGCTCCAGCGGGCACTGTGGATGTGGTGTGGCCAGTGACGGTGCCTCCCTGCCCATTTTTTGTGTGAAGATTGACTTGTTTCCAAGGAAAACCTCTCCGCAGTTTGCTGTCCTCGGCCCTCATCATCAGTCACAGTCTGGGGAGAGGATGTTGACTGCTCCGCTCGGGCTGGCTCCTGAAGCGCGCGGGGGTCTCTACCACGTGGTGACTCCTTAGTAAATAGTTAAGATGCAGGGAGCTTGTGTCTGGCCCGATGGCTAAGTGCCCGTGTTCCAGGCCTGACGGTGGTTCCCAGGGAGGGCTGCCCCAGGGCTCCGACAGCGGCTGACCGGGCTCTTCCCCGCCCCCCACACCCCGTGCTCCTGCTCCCTGAGCAATGACAGGTTTTGTGGACAGCTTCCTCCCAGGAAAGTCGGCCCTGCCCGTTAGCTGGACATTAGCACTGCACCTGTCAGAAATTAGTGCCAGAGCAGAAGTATCTTCAAAACTAATAATAATGCTGCTGAACCCCCCCAGGAAGGTAGGAGGAGTCAGATGTGAAAGGTTCTTTGTGACCTGGATTCTGTTCATACCTCAGCTTTTTTGGGAGTAGCAGACAGATCAGCTTTCAGTGACTTTTAGTCAGAACTGAGAGAGCTCCTGGAGCTAAAGTCATATATATGAAAAATTAGGATAGACTTTTTTCCTAAATCATTTTTGGTGCGAAGTATTGTTATTGTGCACCAAGAATAATAGGAAATTTAGGAAGTTTTCTGGTGATAAGCATTAATCATTAAGAAGAAATAGTTATCTTTTTGTTCTTTTAAACATATGCGATGTGTAAAATAATGTGAAAAGTAACACACTGCCTGTGCTTGACGGCCGTGTTGGCAGAGCTTGTAAGAGTGGAACTGATGCAGAGTTCTGTGTGTTTCTTTTCTAAAGAAGTGGTTTCTCTAGGATGGTATTATGAGTTTATGGCATGTGAAAGAAAGTTGTGAACTATTGCTAAATTGTGACCGCTGAGTATCCTAGCCTCGACTGTTACAATCGTTACAGTGTTACCTCTACCTTATAAGTTGATGGTTCTTAACAGCCTTAAAATTAGTGCTAAGGTCCTATCCTAAGAACCTGAAATCAGCAATTCCAAAAGTCCCATGCACCCCTATGTTCATTGCAGCATTATTCACAATAGCCAAGTCATGGAAGCAACCTAAGTGCCCAGCAACTGATGATTGGATAAAGAAGATATGGTGTATATATACAATGGAATACTACTCAGCCATAAAAAAGGACAAAGTCGTCCCATTCACAACAACATGGATAGACCTTGAGGGTATTATGTTGAATGAAATAAGCCAGACAGAGAAACACGAACTCTGTATGACTCCACTCATAGGTGGTAGTTAACATATGGACAAAGAGAACAGATTGGTGGTTACCAGGGGAAAGGGGGGTGGGGGGAGGGCACTAGGGGTGAAGTGGTGTACCTACAGCATGACTAATAATGATGTACAACTGTAATTTCACAAGGTTGTTAACTATCATAATCTTAATTAAAAAAAAAATTAGTGCTAATGTCTATAGTGATACTCTTATGAAAAAGCAACAGGACACAGTCTCAGGAAGGCTGTAAATGGGACTGAGTGTGTGTAAGGAGCTGGGTGGAGGCAGGTGCAAGAATACGACATTGGAGGGTGGGAAGGGGAGACCACAGAGGTGGGAAAATCAGGCAGGGGGCTTACCCAGTTGTACTCTGCACACATTTTATACTTATTCACCCAAGTTCAGTGAAGGCGTAGCCTTAATTTTATAAATTTTAAGGATCTCCAGTGTTTAGTTAGTACTAAATATGATTTACATATAGGCCCTGTGTTTCCAGGGACAGTAAATCGACATCCTGTTTTCGTGTTGGTGGATTGCTACAGCGAGAGACTGTTTTCTCACTGGGGCCTCCCGGTTCTCACTCTGCCCTGTCCCCCAGGTCAACGGTGTGCGGTTCTCTCTCTGCCCTGTCCCCCAGGTCAACGGTGTGCGGTTCTCACTCTGGCCTGTCCCCCCAGGTCAACGGTGTGGGGTTCTCACTCTGCCCTGTCCCCCAGGTCAACGGTGTGCGGTTCTCACTCTGCCCTGTCCCCCAGGTCAACGGGGTGCGGTTCTCACTCTGCCCTGTCCCCCAGGTCAACGGGGTGCGGCTCTCACTCTGCCCCGTCCCCCAGGTCAACGGTGTGCGGTTCTCACTCTGCCCTGTCCCCCAGGTCAACGGTGTGCGGTTCTCACTCTGCCCTGTCCCCCAGGTCAACGGGGTGCGGCTCTCACTCTGCCCCGTCCCCCAGGTCAACGGTGTGCGGTTCTCACTCTGCCCTGTCCCCCAGGTCAACGGTGTGGGGTTCTCACTCTGCCCTGTCCCCCAGGTCAACGGGGTGCGGTTCTCACTCTGCCCTGTCCCCCAGGTCAACGGGGTGCGGCTCTCACTCTGCCCTGTCCCCCAGGTCAACGGAGTGCGGCTCTACGGGAAGTCTCGCCGGGAGGCGGTCTCCTTCCTGAAGGAGGCACCACCCCCCTTCGTCTTGGTGTGCTGTCGCCGGCTGTTCGATGACGAGGCCTCTGTGGACGAGCCGAGGGCCCCCGTGGCCTCCCCTCCCGAGACACAGGTGAAGAGTTGGGGATGGCCGAGAGCATGTTGTGATGTGACGGGAGGAAACTTCCGCCCTCTCTTATGTGGCCGTAGTAGCTCTCAAAGGCAACGATGCTTAGCTTTTCAAATGGTTCCTTTCCATTTGACGTCATAAACCTTTCCTTTTTTTCCTTGGAGTGTTGGTGACATTAACGTGCACACAGTTTGGTTTAGGGAACCTTTCTTTTATAATTGCCTGGGCTCGTTACTTTCGGCTCCCACTTCAACTCAGTTCATCTTAATAAGTTTAAGATGTTGGTGAGTGTTGAGTATCTAATGGACTTCCCTTTTTCAGAGCCTTAAAAATATGAAGATCTATGACCAATTTCGAAGAGAGTCTAACGATTGCTGTAACAGCCGTCGGAAGGTCAGAGGATACAGAATACTTTCTGGGCTCTCTGTCCTCTTGTTGAAGAGCATCGTGACTGTGAAACCATTTCAAGCACGTGCTTTGCCATCTTATGCTGGCTGTAACCTCATCTTTTATGTCCCTTTCTCCCTTTGCAGGCTCTTTTAGACTATAATTCCATGAACACCAGTGTTGATACATGGGGCTGTCCCTTTTACCTGTCTGTGGTCTGGCTTTCGAGATATGTGGGCCCTCGTCCTGCCTCCCCTACTATGTACTGTGTATCCTTAAGCAAGCACCTTGACTTCCTGCTCACGTTCCTCCTCTGGGAGCACTGCCCCGCTCGTCAGTTTACCTGAGAGGGGAATGGAGTAACGTGCTCCGAGTCCTTAGTGCAGCGTCTCGCACGGGGAGAGTGCTCCCCAGGTGGAAGCTGGCTCTGCGTGTTCTCGACTCCTCCCTTGTCTGTTTTCTCATTTCCTAAAGTGCATGGGAGTCTAGCACTGTCTCATAGTCACACATGGTTCCATGTGATTAAGCTTGTTTTTCAAGAAAACTCTTGGCTCCTGTGGGCAGAGGCTTAACATCGTTTTGTATTTCACAGGGTTTTTATTCTGTACTGGGCATATAAGAAGTGCTTAGTAAATTATTGACTATTGATTGAAAATCTTTTTTTGATATTTATCTTTGGTAAAACATATTTCAAGGAAAGGACTCTAATGCCAAACTTTTGTGATTCTTGCTGTCTTTACTAAAATTAAATGTGGGTGATGGCTTACTTCTAAAGGCTGATAAAAATGCCTTCAATCTAATCTTACAGGGTGTGTAAGTCACTGACCCGGCTTTCTGACTCTGTGCTCCCATCTGTCATACTTTACCACAATGGGTAAACAACAGCTTTGAATTATGCTAAATGTCAACCTGGCTGCCCATTAGTTGATTGCTTTCCATTCTGTGAATTCAGGAGTTATGCAGAATTGATATAGTGATATATTTTAGTTTGGAGCATAATATCTTATGTACCTTGGATGCCTTGAAATTTCTATAAACTTGGGTTTTATAGTTGTGTGAGGTTTCTTATGATCCTGGCTCTCTTTTCCATCTGACTCTTTTTTCATTTATCCCCAAACCATCTTAGGTTCTTAAACCCTATCTGGTGAGGCAGCTCAGCCAAAATTCTAATGCTCATTAGTCAGTGAGGGTGTTAACTGCCCCAGTAGAGCATCAGTCAAGCTGTGTTAGCTGTTGGAACTTTACTTTTTATTGGAAGGTGTAAGTGTTTTCTCTTCAAGTGTATCATAGCCTCCCGTCAGCCTGATATATACAGAGGTTATTGATCCAGACTGTTCCCACTAATGTTAGGTTTTGTAATTCAGGAACCAAGAAATCGTTCCCGTGTTTAGATTCCATCCACCATGGATTCAGTATTGACTTTCCGTGACATGCAGGAACTGTCTGAGAACTGGACCAACCCTAATTTTAAAATGTTTTTGTATTAGCTCTGGTGCCTTACTCTTCCGTATTAGAGGTGTAGCCCTTTGGTTCCATTAAATGGATTTTTCCACAGGTCACTCAGTTACGTTTGTGGGAATGATGCACTTTCATTTTGTTTACTAGGATCACCTTAAGTTTTTGGAAGTCTACTTTAAAAAGGATTATTTAGTCAGTAGCTTTATTAAAAAAAAAGAGTTTCAAAGGAAACCCACTCAAAGATGAATGACTCATTAATGTATGGAAAGAATATTTATCTGGGCCTACTGTGCGCCAGGCGTTCTTGTGGGCTGAGTGGACGACCGTGGTAGACTCTGCAGCCGCAGTTTCCATTCTAGCCTGGAAGCCAGGCATTTTGTCAGTTGCTACAGCTACAAAGAAAGCCAGAGTAATTCTGGAGCTTCAGACAGAAGTTCAGAGCATTTGGGGGAAGATAAATTGTGTGAAAACCACAATTCAGTGCCATAGGTGGTATAAAAACGGAAGGTTGGAGCAGCTCTCCTGCTGCGCAGTTGACTCATTCCCCCTCCATCACTTAGCTTCCTGGTTCTGTGTGGCGGTGACTTTTCTCTGACAGGAGGGGACCTGGGGAAGGCGGCTGGGGGCATGAAGGCAGAGAAAATAACCAGGGACCTGTGTACTGGGGAGTTGTGCTGACCTGCTTCCTCCAAGATCAGATTTTCGTTATTTCAACTCAGTCATTTTTACCTGTTTTTAGACTTACCTGACTCCCAAACATGTGGGTTTTTCCCAGCTTATTTTTCTAGTAAAGTTTTCTTGAAAACTTCTGGGAGCCAGCAGAGTGTTATCTGTGTGTCCTGCTCTGGTTCCTGTCTGTGTTGGCACCTTTCTCTCTGTCTCTCACTGTAATTATGAAGTCAGTGCTACTTAAGTGTCTTATAAGCTTTGACTTTCTTGATGTTCTTATTTTTACTTAAATTGCATATTTTTCCTTTTATGCTTCTAATGGGATGACGAACTCATTGAAGTATAAGAGGTCAGTGTTAATACTTTGAATGAAACAGGTACTTTACATTAAAAAAACTATGAACAGTCTGTGTTTTTAAGTCCTTGAATTTTCATGAAGATCTTGTGCTAGAGTGTATGTGCCCCGGTGCATGCCCCTTTTAAAAAGATTAAAAAGAAAAACTACGCATGCCAAAGAGAATCCCCAGTGTGAGAAGAAGCTATGAGATCTCTGATATGCTGTTTCTTTCCAGAACTGAAAGGACAGTGTTTCGAAGCATTTATGTTCTTTGTTCTTTCAGGCTGACCACAGCGTAGACGTCAATCCTGAAGAAGATGATGATGGGGAGTTAGCGCTGTGGTCTTCTGAAGTCAAGATTGTTGAACTAGTGAAAGACCACAGAGGCTTGGGATTCAGCATTTTGGATTACCAGGTATAAGAACCTAAATAGAGTTTTTTGGAGCAATTAGTTTATATTCAAGTTATGTTGATTTAGGCAAAGCGCAATGGTTCGATGTGTACACCACTGTCCAAAGATGGGGCTGTGGTTTCCACTGTTACCTTCACAACTGCTGGCTCCCTTAGTGAATCAGTGGTGGATGATGTAATGACGGGGCAGTAGGGAGGCAGCAGTTCATGCCCCTGGGTGCTTTTGGAGACTGGGACTTGATGACTCTTTTTTTTTTTTTTTTTGAAGAGACAAACGTATTTATTCTGCTAAAATCTCAAGCAAGCGAAAATTTACCAGGAGATTCTTTGTACAAACAGTGGGTAAGCCAGTAGCACCATCTTCAACTGTGGCTTCGCGAAAGCCAGAGGACTGTTTTTCCAATAGATCTTTTTTTTTTCTATTTTATTTTTTATTGAGGTTATGATAGTCTCCAATCTTGTGAAATTTCAGTTGTACATTATTGTCTGTCAGTTGTGTTGAAGGTGCACCCCTCACCCTTTGTGCCCACCCCCCATCCCCCGTTCCTCCTGGTAACCACTAATCTGTTCTCTTTGTCCACGTGTTTGTCTATCTTCCACATATGAGTGGAGTCCTACAGAGATTGTCTTTCTCTATCTGGCTTCTTTGACTTATAATTCCCTCAAGGTCCATCCATGTTGTTGTGAATGGCACGATTTTTTGATGCGTTTTTTTATATGGAGGGTCTTTTTCTCCAGCTTTATTGAGATATATTTCACATACCGTAAAATTCACCCATTTAAAGTGTACAGTTCAGTTGTTTTTAGTACAGAGTTGTGCGACCATCACCACCATCTAATTTGAGAGCATTTTCATTACCCCAGAAAGAAACCCCGCACGTGTCAGCAGTCACTCTCTGTTCTCACTGCGCCCCTTCCCTTCACGCGAAGGTTGTTACCGTGTTGCTTACCTATTAATCTCAGTGAGTTTAATTAAGTAGAAATGCTCACGGTGAAATTATGTTTATATTTATATGTAATATAGAATGCATAATGTTTATGTATTTATATGTACCCCAGTTATAACTAGGGTAAAGTTACTGATACATTTGGGGGGGATGTGAATGTTCACAATACCACATCTATGTTTATACCAGTTTACTGGTTTATAATATTTCTAGACCTTCTGATTATCATGGGGAATTAAAACTGTTGGCAAGAAATCTCTTCACTTTTAAGATGCATATTTTAATACGTTAGTGCTGCCTAAACACATTGTGGTTTAATAAAGCAAAATGTACTCTATCAAAACACATAAAATGCTAAGTGATATAAAAATCAATTCTTTTTTTTTAATATAATAAAGCAGTTGGGAACAGATTAAAAGAAAAGTACTTTGAGCCTTATGTAAGAACATTCAGTTCCATATTTTGGCAGTGTGATTTAAGATTACTGAAATAGATTATACCTATTTTGTTTTTGCTGGCATATTTCTGTGCCAGTACACTCTGTTATTAGAATTTCTCTTTGGAATATTATTGAATTATGAGTTTTTGATTCCAAATAATGCATATTTTGGGAAATGTTTTTGTCAAGAAATATGCATACTGTAAGATTCTGGAAGTTTATCTATTGGTTAATATTAGGGCATAGGAAACAAATGGCAGGTCTGATCTCATTTTCTCCTCCCCACTGTAGCCCTGTCAGCTCACACAGGGCAGGTGACTAGTAAATATTCACACAGTGATTGAATAAAGTTTAGGTTGGGCAAGATTAACTGGGACTAAATGAGCACTGGGAGTTTTGTTGCCCGTTTTGATAGGTGGAGTTAGTTTAGGAAACACCTTTCGGTTGTGAACCTAGCCATCCAGTGCCTCTGGATGTTTGTGTTCTTCTGTAGTGAAGATGTCGTGAGGCTCACTCCTGCCTCCGTAATGGCATCACCTGCAAGTGTTATTTTTGACTGTTGCACGTGTCGGAGCAGAGACGAGCTTCAGAAATTAAAAACAAAACTAAACCAACTTCAGTAAAAGAAGGAAAGAAAAAGTCTGTCATCCTTAACAGTTGAATCTCTAGTTAACGGAAAAATTCCTCTATCAGCACTGACTTTACACTTTTTAAGAAAATATACAGTCAGTTCTGCATGTGGATGGTTTTTTCTTCACTGCATTCCAACAGGTTTGCATTGTAACATACCTTTAGTTTTTTGGAATTTTATTTTTATGTATAAAATTCTAGGGTTTTCCCCCCTCTCGTCTTCCTCACCATCATTACACATACTGACGTTTATTTCTGCGCAAATTATATAAAGTAATTTTGCTGCAAAAGAAGTGTTAGATATTCCTTTTGTGCTTCTCAGAGACCTGATAGAAAAATGCTTCATTTTCTAAATGCTACTTTGACTCACATTAAAGGGCTCAGCTTATTTACTTCTGTAGCTGAACCTTAGAAGAAAAAACATTCAGTCTTAGACTGAATGTTGTTCTTTCGTCCACCTTAAGTACACGTGTAGTTATATACAGCACCTTTTCACCATTTGTCAGTGATAGGTAGAACTGTTATCCTCTGTGACATTTAGATGATACGTAAACACAATTTAAAATTTGGTTTTGGCAAGTTAATTAATTGGCTATACCGTTCCCTGTTCTAATTAGGTAATAAATTCTAAAGTTCAAAACGTTTTTCACAAGGCCAGGTGAAGGTTTAGCAAAAGCCGGGAAAGGCCAGCTCCCTGGTTATTATGGTATCTGATGCATCCTGTATGAATTTATTGGGTGGTTGCAGAGGGCCAGTGCAGATCCCCGCCCCCGGGATCCAATCAGAAGAGCCGTGGAAACGTCTTACCACAGGGAGAAAGTTTCAGTGGAGTGGAGAGCTTCCAGGTTGTAAAGGACTGGCATTAGGAGTATTGAAGAGATTGAAAATTTCCTTTGGAATATTAATTTCAGTTAACCACTCTTCTTGCTAACTGGTTTTTCTCTAGAATAGTAAGAACTTCCTTAGGAGCCTGACAAAATTATATACAACATCTATTTCATTGGTGCTTATGCAATTTCCTCATCTATAAAGTGGGGATAATAGTGTCTAACTCAAAGGATTGTTGTGGATTAAGGAAATGAATGTGTAAAGACATAGGAAATGTTGCATTATTGTGGAAATGTGAGTATTATTATTAATCATCCAGTTTAGAAAATAAGCACAGAAAGTTTTGATATCCTCGAAGATGGAGCCATACCACAATATGTTTGTACTCTATCAATTTTTAACTATATAGTTAGATTAGGAAAATTAATAAGTAGATGCCTTTGTTTAGTGAAGTCTAAATTTTTTTTTTTTTTTAAAGATTTTATTTTTTTCCTTTTTCTCCCCAAAGCCCCCCCGGTACATAGTTGTATATTCTTCATTGTGGGTCCTTCGAGTTGTGGCATGGGGGACGCTGCCTCAGCGTGGTTTGATGAGCAGTGCCGTGTCCGCACCCAGGATTTGAACCAACGAAACACTGGGCGGCCTGCAGCGGAGCGCGGGCGCTTAACCACTCGGCCCGGGGCCGGCCCTCCGTGTGCATTTTATTACAGAGCGTCCCTGTAAGAAACACTGGGCGGCCTGCAGCGGAGCGCGGGCGCTTAACCGCTCGGCCCGGGGCCGGCCCTCCGTGTGCATTTCATTACAGAGCGTCCCTGTAAGAAACACTGGGCGGCCTGCAGCGGAGCGCGGGCACTTAACCGCTCGGCCCGGGGCCAGCCCTCCGTGTGCATTTCATTACAGAGCGTTCCTGTAAGAAACACTGGGCGGCCTGCAGCGGAGCGCGGGCGCTTAACCACTCGGCCCGGGGCCGGCCCTCCGTGTGCATTTCATTACAGAGCGTCCCTGTAAGAAACACTGGGCGGCCTGCAGCGGAGCGCGGGCACTTAACCGCTCGGCCCCGGGGCCGGCCCTCCGTGTGCATTTTATTACAGAGCGTCCCTGTAAGAAACACTGGGCCCCGGGGCCGGCCCTCCGTGTGCATTTTATTACAGAGCGTCCCTGTAAGAAACACTGGGCCCCGGGGCCGGCCCTCCGTGTGCATTTCATTACAGAGCGTCCCTGTAAGAAACTTATTACGGCAGATCCTCCTGTTTTTCCAGCTTGCAAAAAAATTTCGTTTCTTAGAGACAAGCTGCTACATAGTATTCTCATTTTTAACGCTTATATGGAAGTTTAGTAGGTATTAAAAATTAACATAGTGGGTTCATATGCATTGTGTAAGAGCTAGTGTTTATTGCTTTAAAAGAAAATAATTACAAATTTAAGAATCCTAAATTAGTGCAGGTAATTTTTTGTGGGTTAATGTTCAGTGATGAAGCAGTTACTGGGTAGTCTGAGAGTCTGTAATTTTCAATTTCTGCCAAAAAGCTTGAAATAAATTTAGAACCATGTAGATTTTACCTTCAGTTGACCTTATAAATTAAACATGGCAAGTGGATATTTTCTGGTGTTTTGATTTATGTTGAACTTTGAATAACCCCTCATGATTATAATTCACTGGAAATGTTTGACTTTAGCCAATTTTTGAACATTAGCCATGAGATTGCCATCCTTGGTACTTTTGAATTTCAGTGATTTAGAAGGTAGAATTTATTAACCAATAACCCTCCTCCCACGTCTCCTTCCTTGTTTCTCTCCCCTCCTGATATGGATGGACTCAATTTTTGCCAAAGCAGATATTTTTGAAAGACTTTGGGTTGATCTCAGACCCTGTGAGAGAGAAAAATAGAAAGTGCGATAGCACAGCCACTGAGGGGGGTGGGTGTGTAAACACTGCTGGGAATGCTCTGAAATTTGCTGAAAGACCAAAGGAAATGATGACTCATTAAAAAGAGTAGTGAAAATATTCCTCCCTATAAAAATTAACAGTGATTAATTTTTCTTAATGGAAGAAGTGGGATATAAAACCCAAATAGCATGAAAATAAAACGGGGCGGCATTGCGGAGTCCTGGGAGTAGTACGCCTTCGTCTCTGCGGGAAAAACTTGGTGTGCAATTCTG